CGTTGTAGATTTGACCGTGCATAGATTAATGGAGATAGATCATCCAGCTCGTGCTATCCCATCCGAGATCCATCCCATTGTCTTCATAAAAGCCTGGATCTCCCCCGCCCTGTTCTTCTTGTCTTCCGTCATCACATCTTCCATCTTGCAATTCCTGACTTGCATCCATCAGATACAAACAACATCCTCCCCCTCATCTAGCCTGTCAATCTCCATTCCTCGTACAAGGTTAACGTGGGTGGTCTTGACCCGATTGGTACTATCAACCAAACAAGAAAAACCCGTCCAGGCTTCTCGAACCTCAACGTCACGATGGCCTTGACTTTCGAGCAATCCAAGATTGTGCGGGGATCTATTCCCATGCTTAAGGAGCAGGGTGAGAGAATCACCGGCCTCTTCTACTCTACCATGATCACCGCACATCCCGAACTCAGGAACATGTTCAACCTCGTCAACCAGGCCAACCGCCGCCAACCTCGCGCCCTCTGCTCCGTCATCCTCGCCTTCGCCTCCAACCTTAGCCACACCCACGAGCTCATCCCCAAGCTCGAGCGCGTCTGTCACAAGCACTGCTCCCTCGGTATCCGCCCAGAGCACTACGACATCGTCGGCAAGTATCTCCTCCAAGCCTTTGCGGAGGTTCTCGGATCTGGATGGACACCTCAGCTACATGGCGCCTGGTCCAAGGCCTATTCTATCCTTGCCCGCATGCTCATCGGTCGCGAGGTCTCCCTCTACAAGGATTTCGGCGAGTGGCAAGGCTGGCGCAGCTTCCGCATCCATCAGAAAATTGCAGAGACGGAGGACATCTACTCCTTCTACCTCGTACCCTCTGATGGAGGCAGCCTGCCCTCCTTCGTCCCAGGCCAGTATATTTCTCTCCGTATCATGATCCCCGGCAAGGGCCATCTCCAGCCCCGTCAGTACTCTCTCTCCGAGACCCCCCGGCCAGACTACTACCGAATCAGCGTCAAGCGGGATAGGGGCGTCCAGGTCGGCAAGGGCGTTGATGCTTTCCAGCTACGACCGGGCATGGTCTCCAACGAGCTCATTGACGACTACGCCGCCGGCGACACTGTCGAGGTCACTCACCCGGCCGGCGACTTCAACTTTGACACCCAGTGCTACAGCACCATGCCCGTCGTCCTCATCTCCGCCGGCTCCGGCGTCTCCCCATTGACCTCGATCCTCAACACCATCGTCGACAACCAGCCCGACCGCCCCATCAGCTGGATCCACTGCTCCGCGCGCAGAGCCCCCTTCGAGGACCACGTCCGCTCCATCGCGAGGGGCAGGCCCAACTTCGCCATGCGCTTCTTCCGCAGCAAGGTCGCCGAGGTCGACTATCGCAGCGGCACCGCCCGCGGCGAGGGCCTCAGGATGGACCTCGAGCGCATCGACCGCGAGCAGCTCCATCTCGACCACGGCGCCGCAGAGTACTACATCTCCGGGCCCGAGGCCTTCAGCTTCGACATGTCCAAGTTCCTCAGGGGCCAGGGCGTCGACCCGCAGCGAATCAGGAACGAGTGGTTCACGACCGGTGAGGTTGCATAGACTCCGTTTTCTACTGCCGGTTCTCTGCCCTGGACTGCATCACCCCATGTCCATACCCCCCACTTTCTTAAAGCTATTTTTTTATGTTTGCATGTGTTTCTTTTGTCTATCTATTATTTTGGATAAAAATTGTCATCGGATGAGAGAACGAATGAACCCCCCAACCAGAGCAAAAACAAGGCGTTTGAGGACGACGGCGGGAAAGCCTGAATTTTGATATTGGTAAACCAAGTGTATTACGGACCTACATTTGTTTTTTTGTATATGACTAGACATATTGTTAATAATGAAGATGAAAAACGGCCCAGCTTCACAGTATGGGCCAAGCTCTCCCTTACGAATTGCCGTCACCTTTTCGTTGCTGTGCCTCCATGATTGCTCCGGGCCGGTACTGGTCTCCGGACCCCAGGTTGTGCTGAAAGCAGAAACAGACCACTTCGCTGGGCGGTGTCCATGGATCTCGCCATTTCAGATGACATTTGTAATTTCCAAGGTCGAAATCCGTCGACAGGGAAGGGGAGACAAGGGGGGTGGAAGTCTCCGGGAAACGAATCGCCTCTCGTCATTGGTGATATGAGAAGCGGAATAATCATTAAACAAACCATCACGCGGGCGGTTGATTCTGCTGTTTCTTTCTGGGGTGTCGGTGATTTCCAAGCCACACCGAGAAGCTGATGAGATGAAGGGACCCTGCCCTGGTTGCATTCTTTCGGGTGATTCTGTCGGTGATTGACTTTCGACAAGGGCAGAGTTCGTTGCTACGCTGGCTTGGTGACATGCCACACGCCCCCCCCTCCTCAAGAGAGTTTCAGCAATTAAGCTGGGGGGATGGAAACGCTGCCGATCCGGTTCTCGGGACGCAACCACACCAATTCCCACTCTGGCCCTCGTTTCGGCCGGGAACGTTGTGAGTAGCGGCGCACTTGCGGCCGAGGAGCCACACACATGCCCAGCCCCAAGTCATCCGATATCGTCAGAGATGGGCATGCAGTGCGCTGCAGACTTTACTTTAGCCTTGTTCCCGCATCACGAATCGTTGCAGAGTGAGGCAGGGGGGATGCCACTCACAAGTAAACGGCACAAGATTACAATCAGACAATTCCTTGAGGTCTTACCCCTGTCTAACTCAGCTTCTTCCATCATACAGACAGAGAGCACCTTGACACCGTTCTTTGGCAGACGGGGATCATGGATTCTGACCAGTCTACTAGAATAGTTCTTCGAAGCCACGCTCTCTGCTCTCCGGTCATGCCATGGGGGCTTTTGGGTCCCGAAACACGTTGCTCCTCATCCACCCGGATTTTCCCCACTGACTGTTCAACCCCTGTCTGCAGTTATGCGAACACCCCAGGCCCTGATCGGATCCGATTTTGAGAATTTTCTTCCCATCCTAATTTCTTGGGGTCGCTGCGGCTGAATGAATTGTCTTCTCGTGTGCGGAAGCGAGGACGCGGAAGATGAGTTGCCATACTTTGTTTGGCTAGATTGTCTCCGGACTCATCGGATGAGGGTGTGTGCGACTGAACATCCGTGAACACCGGCAAGGTCCGGGACTTGAGGGAATAGCTATCTTTTCACATGTGTTTATTTTCAATCCCAGAAGCTTGTGGCGTGGGGACCGCCTTGCAGACACAACAGGGCTGCATATCTGCACGCAGGCAGCAATCACCAGCCACTCCCGACAAGCAGCAATGATGCGAACTGTTACGAGGAATATTGCTTCTCGGAACTTGCCCCAGCCCGGCTTCCCCCAATGGGAATCGCCGCTAACCTACTGCTAATCTGCGTCGTCAATGCGCAAGGACCACGGCTCGAGATCAACCCCCCATGGCCCTTCTTCCGACTCTTTCTCTCGTTGGGGGCCACGGGCCAGTAAGACAATTCGCCTTCATTCTGTTTGGCCCGGCTGCCTCTCTCTTAAATGACTGATTATCCGCAATCACATGGATTATTCTCACGGCCGGAAAGCATGATGTCATCCCATGTTGGCATCCCCGGGATGGGCTAACAACCTCGGGAACGACGGCCCTTCTGATTAGTTTTCCTTCTCCCTGTCTAGTGTCCTCTCCCTCGACGGGTTGTCCCTGTTATTGAGGTTAGGCGTACGCACAGTTTGTATTTAAAGAATGGCGGCGAAAAAGAGACCAGAAATGGAAAACATACTTATCCAGGGTATAGGGCTTGCCGAATGGTGAGCGGGCGAGCAAGATTTTGGGCACCAGGAGTATGGGTCGGTCGCCGAGATCCAGATCCAATTCCTTCTATACCGCCTCGGAAATTGCCATTTCTGTTCCTTTCCAGACTCGTGGGAGGCCGTGCTTTCCGGCTCGTGGGCAATTGGGTCATGAATTACGACAACTGCTCGGAAACGAGTCCAATGGGAACGGTGGTGAGATGGAGATCAGTGCCTTTGTGCCCCACCAGTGGCGATCGAACCATCGAGTGCCAGCCTCGTGGGATGAGCGGTTCAATGCCAGCCACATGGTGGTCTTAGGTCAGAAACACTGGGCTGGGGGGTGTGATTTAGCAGATGCTCTAAGCTGACTTCTCTCTGGGTAGGGAACCCATGGTGTCATTCTCTAATGCTTAAAAAACTCGTTCGTGAGGGCGATATAGACGGATACCTGGACCCAGTCAAAGGATTCTATACCAACCGGACCGTTTGTGGCATACGTTCTTTGAGGGTGTTCGAGAAGACAAATAATACCCCTTCCTGCGATCAATCATTTCACATTAATGTGATAGGTCTTATTGCTTCAATCCACAATCCTTTGGCTCGCTTATCACGCGAGATTCTGCGCAGAACCTTCAAGAATCGATTGGCGACTCGAAGCTATGGTAGTGCTGATCCTTGCTATCTTTATTACCCGTGCAGGCACTTTGGACTGGACTTCTCTCGGTATCTCGAAGGAGAACAAGCTAACTAGTGTGGGCCTGGAATATTGAAAACAGCTTGGCAGTTTGTCTTATATTGGGTTTGATAAATAGGATGACGCGCCTGGGAGGGTCGGTTGAAGAAGGTATACTCTCGTTTCTCTATAGACACACGTGTATAGGATTGCGAGGTGAGGAATTGAATCTCGGGGCAAATCTTACGGAAAGTTATTGGAGTTCTGTGTTGGAACCTGGCCTGTAGCCAGGAGTGACTGCTTTCGAAAACAGCATCCACCACGAAAGGTGTTCAGGCGTTCTGCCCATTACGTACCTTAGGAGATATTGGACTGAGCCTCCGAGCTGGTGTCCGTAAAGGCTGGATATTAAATGATAGTTCTATTAGAAAGCGAGGTTGCCTTACGGTGTTAGAGGTGGACTATTCATTACCTGGATCGTTTCATAGTGACTGGCACCATTCCTTTATACGTATATTGAATCATATAACCAGAAGAGAAGTTTTTAAGCTAATAGGCCTTAGCCGTATTGGTGTTCCTTATCCACGAAATAAAGCATCATTGGTCATTAGCCAACTTCTCCGCCAGCTTTCTACCCATTGCACCTAGTGAGCCCATGGCCAGCATCTCAAGCACGCTAATGTCCAGCCCAAAGACCTGCCTGAACCACGCTCGCATCTCTACCGCAATCAGAGAGTCTAGACCAAGCTCAGCCAGACCCGCTGTTAAGGAGGGCTCGTCATCCGGCTTCAAGAGCAACGCAAACAACTTCTTGCCAATTTCGCGTGCTAGCATCTCTGCGGATCCGGGCTTGGTGAATAGGGAAGGGTCACTCTTCGCTTGGGCCATGAACGCTTGTAGGTGGTCGGTGCTATCCGATCCTGCACCATGGCTTGCCTGTCCCCTATTCAGGAGAGCAACCATTCTCGCATCCTTGCTGAAGCGCGAGGCGCTGCTGGTGCTGCTAGGCGAAAGCCCAATGAGGATGGTGTCCCTGTCCAATATTGGTGCCCATGGGTCCGATGAGGCTTCTTCGGACTTGACATTGGCAGATGGCAACATGGCCGACCCAAGGACCCGAAGTAACTCTTCTTCCTGCACTGGATTCCAACCAGTGCCCTTCATTTTCTTCAGAAGCTCTTCGTTGTGAGCCAGATATCCAACGCCTTCCATAGCTCCAATGTCCAGGGTTGTTACCGGCAGGCCCATACTCTTCCGGTACTTGGCAAATGCATCAAGGAAGGTATTTGCAGCAGCGTAGTTGGCTTGGCCCGGCTGCCCTAGGATCCCTGAGAGTGAACTGAATAGTATCATAAAACCCAGCTCCAGCCCTTCGTCAAGCGAGACTTGGTGAAGGTGCCGCACTCCATCAATTTTGGGTTTGGTGGCATCATTCCAGTCGTTGATGGTCATGCGCTGGAACGATTGGTCTCGGAGAACCATGCCTAAATGCATGATACCTTTTACTGGCTTCGACGCGCCGCGAATCGCACGAGCCACGTCCTCCCTCTCGGCAACACTGCCTTGGACAAATTGCACCGAACAGCCCATGCTTGCTAGCACGAGCGCAAACTTGTCATGTTGAGGGTCGCTACCAGCGCTGCGGGACAGATAGGTCAGATGCCGTGCTCCGTGTTGTACCATCCAAACGGAAATAGAGCGGCCTAGTCCTCCGAGGCCTCCAATGAGGAGGTAAGTGGCTTCTGGATCAAGATGTAGATGATGGTCAGCCTTGTTGGCCACGGCATGGTTGATACTACTGTCGTTTTCCCCATTTGCGGTATCTTCAGAGAGAGAAACAAGGATCTTGCCGATATGTTGCCCCTTTTGCATTTCTCTAAAGGCAGATTCGACTTTGTCTGCAGGAAACTTCGCTGATTGAGGAATCGGCTGAATCTTGCGTTGCTCATAGTAGGTAGTCATCTCGCTCAACAGCCTGCGAAAGAGCAAGACAGTGTTTGTCAGTAATTGACCAGGTAAATGGGGTTATAATCGGGGGAAGAACATACAGGCTGATTATCTGTGGCCGCTCTTCTGCCATCTGGCGAAGATCGAAACAAGAGTAAGAGCGGCTACCAAGGAACATGTCCATGTCCAGCTTGCCTGCACCGAGCAGATCGACTTTCCCAATTTCCACCATTGTGCCCCATTTTGCGACACAACGCCAGGTCGCATGCAAGAGCTCTCCGGAGAGGGAGTTTAAAGCCACGTCTACTCCCTTTCCTTGAGTTTCCCGGAGGATATCATGTGCAAAGCTCTCATCACGCGAGGAAAATATACGATTTCGGGGCAGGCCAAAGGCTCTCATGAGATAGTTTACCTTCTCTTCGCTTCCGACGGTTGTATAGACTTGGGCGCCAAGCATATGTGCAATCTGGATCGAGGCGAGGCCGACACCGCCGCACCCGCTGTGAATGAGGACAGACTAGAAGCGAGTACAAAAGCGTTAGGTACAAGGTCAGACTTGGTATGTTTTGAGGACGCGTTACTTACCATGCCCTTATGGAGACGACCAACATGTATCAATGCATAAATCGCTGTCAGGAAGACAATGACCATTGTTGCTCCGTCGGCGAAGCTAAGATTGTCAGGAAGTTTGTGACAGAGCATCTCCGAGGTGGTGAAGGCAGTCGAGAAGGCACCTGTGCCCATGGCGAAGACTCGGTCTCCTACAGAGACCTTTATGACTTGCCGGCCGACACGTTTGACGACTCCAGTTGCTTCGAGCCCAAACCGTCTCTCTGTCTCAACGACCCCAATGATTCCCATAGCCTCTAGAACGTCCTGTTTCAAGTTGTTAGTTATGCAAACCGTGGTGTGAATGTTAGCTGTTCTGCAAGGTGACTAACCCGAAAGTTCAATCCAACGACGCGGACGTCGATTTCAACCTCGAAATCTCCCAGTGGTTTTGACCGGCGTTGCTCCCAAGCCAACGAGTCGATTCTCCCTGGATGACCAATGCTGAGCGCAATGTGCCCGTCTGAGGGTTCTCCATTGTCCAGCGTCTTTGATGGCGGTGGTTGAGGGAAGAAGCGGGCGACACGTACAGCACCGCCTGAGATGACAAACTCCAGGTCCTGGCTCAGGTCCGGATCACGCTCATGGAACCTACGGCAAACACGGGCGGCCATCTCAGCGCCGGATGCAGAGTCCAGGTCGTCGACTTCGCAGATGGCAAAGTCGATGCCCATTTCGGAGCGGATGGTGCGGGCCAGACCAGTAACGAGAGCGAACCGAGGGTCTTTGCATTGTATCTGCGAAACCCGCGTGATCCAAAGGATACCTGAGTTTGAGCCTTCAAAGTTGCCAATCCAGTTGTTGAACTTTTCAAATGTTTCGGCGTCTATTCCGGCAAAGAATGGCTCGTCTGTCTCCAAAACCGCAATGACATCCTGGCCTGGTATTGGCCGGTCATTCAGGGTGCATCGGGAAGTCTGTATTCCTAGAGACTCCAACGATCTCTCCAGCGGTAGCTTCTCGGACTCTAGATTAGCTTCACTCACTAGCACCATGACCTGTCTTGTTGGGACAGTCCTAGGTTGCGGCCTCGCCACCATCAAAGTACAGAGGCCCATCGAGCCAGGGGAATCCGACAGGGCAACGTCCAAGCCCCGGTATCCGTTCAACAATAGTTCCTTCTCCCATCGCTTCACATCCACATAAGGTTCGTCTGCTCGGTTATCCTCGACACCGCGCCACCACCCAGGCAGTAACCCGAGAACGTACTTGAGCCAGCATAACCCCTCCCGCGGCTGCGTTAGGATGAGGCGTCCGTCCGGACTCAACAGCTGGTGTATATGCTGCAAGCTGTGGTGGAGGCTTGGAGTAGAATGGAGAACGCCAGCAGCGAGAATCAAGTCAAACTGCTGCTCTTTGAAGCCCTGGGCCGTGGGATCTCTGCTAATGTCCAGATTGGCAAAATCAAGATTAGGAATTCCCTTGAGACGGTCACGTACATCGCTGGTAGTCACAGTCTGTCTATCCGCGTAAACATACCGGGAATAGAGAGGCTGTCCATCCGGATCCTGGAGAGCGCCGACGACACTGCTGACTGCGGGGGCCGTGTCGGACCTGAGCTCGAGGATCCGGAGATTGGGTTGCATGCGCGATAGACATTGGAGCAACGGAGACACATCATAACTTGCAAGGAACTGGTACACCTTGTCCAAAAGTCCGTCTTCGTTCAGAATACTCGAAACTTGAGCGTGGCCCGAGACAAGCGGTACGATGTTGTCGCAAATCCTGGCCACGGCCATGGCGGCATGAGACGCCGGGCCATCTCGGAGCGAGTCGTGGAGTTGCGCAAAGCGAACAGGTAGGTCATCGCCATCATGGGTTTCTGCAAGGGGACAGTCTAGAATCCACTTGACATAATTTTGGACGTGTGTTTCTGGGGGTTGAGGTGCGCCATCCCCGGAAAGAGACCGTCGGCACAGCAAGACGGCTGTGGTCGCCATGTCCTCCAACGTTTCAAAGTATGCCGAGTTGTCTCTTGTCGGCTTGGCCAAGGTATTGGCATCCATGAAGTCTATATGGCTAATCCAACTTGACCGTGCCGTCTTGGAAAGGGCGGAGTGAGCGCCCGTATCGGTCGTGTTCAAAGGAGAAAAGCTTGCGTTGGAGACACGCATGACGACTTGTGATCCGGCAATGCAAGCTCCGTCTGCAGCGGTACTACCGCCGACTTGCTTCGAGGACACTCTGAGAGTGAGATCATCGACCGAGCAGCGCGATATGGCAATGTGGCCTACGCTGACAGGCACAGCCGGGCTGTATGCGTGTGTGAAGCCGTGGTGGGCCGCCGCCCCCACGAGCTGGAAGAGAGAGTCGAGCACGACGGGGTGCAAGTGGTATCTGTCTTCGTCCCCATGCCAGTTGTTCTTCATCCTTGCCACTCCTAGATGCTCTGGGCCGGCCGCGCTTGTCCTGACCTCCTCGAGGGACCTGAAATGGTGCCCGTAGCGTAGCCCTCCGCGACTCACCCGGTCATACCATTGACGCACATTCACCTCGTGAGGCGTGCTTGTGTCATCTAGTACGCTCTCGTCGTCGGGCCGCGAGGCTTGGGGAGAAGCCGACACCTGTCCGAAGCAGTGGTTCGTCCATGCATGTCCGTTGTGGGCCGTGATGGAGAAATCCCACCACCGACTCTCCTGGGACGTCGTCAAGCGATGGCGGCGGAGTGTCGTCACTATCTCGGTCGGTGCCCCCTCGCGGATGACAAGTGCGGTGTTGACGCTTACGCGGCGGAGCTCGACAGATTCCCGGTTTCCCGTAATCTGAGCGACTGCCTCGGAGGCCATGGCGACGTAGCCGGTGAAGGGAAACACAATGTCTTCGTGGATCCGGTGGTCGCGGATCCAGGGCGCGTTGTCGAGATGGAGGAGGTTCCTCCAGACGGGCTCGACGGTCGTGCTCTCTGGCACTTTGAGACCTAGAAGGTCGTGGCAGGGATTCGAGTTCATCCGCCACTCCGATGCCACTCGCGATTCTCTCCAGTACGTCTTTTGGTGATTCCAGGGGTAGCGTGGGAGGTCCGGCAGGCATTTGCCGTCCTGGATGAGGGAAGGCAGGTTGACTGGTACATGGAGCGTCCAGAGCTTACCTACTGCGTTCAGGAGCGTTTCCACGGCGTTCTCTTTCCGCTTCATCAGGGGCACATACGGTGCCGTATTTGACTGGCTGGTCAAGATCTGACGTAGCGGACCTGACAACGCCGAGTGAGGTCCAGCTTCCACAAAGACGAGATTGTCGCTTCCGCTCGCGGGTGGTTGCTTCAGAATGCTGGCCACGGCAGAATTGAAGAGTACTGGAGATTCCAAGTTCGACCGCCAATAACTCGGCCCAAAGAACGATGAGCTATCCTTCTCAAAGAGCTGCCCGGTCACACTGGAGTACACTGGCAGTGATGGTATCGCGCCGGCTACTCCTGCGGCAACTATGAGGTTGTAGTACTCCTCTCCGACATCCTTCATATGGTGCGAGTGATATGCATTGCCCACCTCGAGCGCCTTGGTAAGTGTATTGGGGAGCTTTTCTTTAATTCGGGCCAATACCTCGTTCACTCGTTCCGTATCCCCGGAAACGGTGACGCTTCGAGGAGAATTGTCGCAAGCTACGACGACGCCGGGCAACAGGAACTCTTCCGTCTCCTTCCAGCTGAGCCCGACAGCAGCCATTGTTCCATCGCGGGTTGCCTTGGCCGATACTAGGCCGCGGTAGAAGGCCACAACGATGGCTTCCCTGGCACTGAGACCACCGGCCGCATACGCTGCTCCCATCTCGCCACTCGAGTGGCCCACGACAGCCGCAGGACGGATTCCAACCGACGTCAACGTGTCGACTAGGGCGATCTGGAGCGCTGTGCACAGTGGCTGCGAGAACTCCGCTTGGCTGACTCTACTCGTTCTCGCGGGCTTGAGCAGCTCGTCCTCAATCTTCCACTCGGGCTTTGGGGAGCCTAGATCCTGGAGATGGTTGTCGAGGGATCGAATTGTCTCGCGGAACACCTTGTTACTGCGTAGTAGCTGCCTTCCCATCTGCGGCCACTGCGCCCCTTGCCCAGTGAAGACCAAGATGACAGATGGCGAGGATCCCTTGCTCGAAAGCGGAGGAGAAGGCTTCCCTAGCTGATGCCTTGTACCGACCGCAAAGGAGCGGAAGCTCAGCTGCTGCCGCCGTCTGGCCATGGTATATGCCACATCTCTGAGGCTCAACGACTCGGGTCCGTTCTCGACGTACTCCTCGATTTTCTTTGCGGAGCTCTCCAACGAGCGGTCACTGCTACCCGACAAGAGTACCAAATGTGGCTCGTTGGCGGAGCTCTTTGCTAGGCCAGCATGCCGTGACTGGATGGCGGGGAACCTCCGTGGCGAATCAAGAATAACATGGGCGTTCGATCCACCAATTCCAAAGGAGTTGACACTGACTCTCTCATAACGTCCTTCTGGCCATGGTGTTGCTTCTGTGGGCACCACGAGCTGACCTTCGGCGAAGGGTATCTTGTCACTCAGGGGGTTGCACTTGATGTTGGGCGCAATTGTCTGGTTCTCCAAGGACAAGACAGCTTTGAGAATTGCAGTCAGCCCGGAAACACCCTCACCATGTCCTATATTTGGCTTTATAGAGCCTATATGTACGCCGCCGGAGCCGCCAAAGACCCTTGCGATGGCAGTTGTCTCGATCGGATCTCCCATGGGCGTCCCGGTGCCGTGACACTCAAAGAAACCAGTCTTTGAAATGTCCGACTCGGCAATACCTGCGGTCCTGTACGCGCGGCGAATGAGCGCTTCTTGCGCGTCTGAGCTTGGCATCACGAGCATGGGGGTGTTGCCGTCGGCGTTGGTGGCTGAACCAACAATCACCGACCTGATGGGGTTGCCGTCCCGGAGAGCGTCATCCAAGGACTTGACAAACAGTGCTACGATGCCCTCGCCACGTGCGTATCCGTTGGCCTTGGTAGAGAATGTGTTGCAGGACCCGTCTGGGCTCAAAGTGCCCTGGTCCGACATGTCGGTCGTCAAAGACGGTGCCATGATGATGCTGGTTCCGGCTACAATGGCAGATGAGCAATCTCCCTTGCCGATTGCTGCGCAGGCCTCGTTCAGCGCTACGAGGCTCGAGGAACAAGCCGTACGAACCGTCATACTACAATCGCAATAGGTGAGCTATTCTCCCTCACCGTTTCGCAGGCGTTTACGAGTTGACAGATGGAACATACCTTGGGCCGTGTAAGTCCATCAAGTGGGACACCCGATTTGATACGCCGAAATCGTGAGATGTAGTGATATAGTAGGCACCGTATCTTTGTGAGTCTCTTTGCAAGATATCATACCAGTCGTTTCCGAAGGTTCCTACATAGACGCCTACATTCGTCCCCTGCCAGTTCACCTCCCCAGCATCGTCAATGGACTCCCTGGAAACTTCCAAGAGCAAACGCTGTTGGGGATCAAGGACTTCTAGCTCGCCCCGTGCCATGGGGAAGACGGATGTGTCCAGGGCGCCAATATCGACGTCAGGGTCGAGAAAGTAGCCATGCTTGGTGATGGTATGGCCTGGCTTCTTGGTCGGCCAGTGGTAGCCCTCGACGTTGTAGCGAGTTTCTGGGACCAGAGTCCGAGCGTCCTTCTTGGCCATCAACAGATCCCAGAGGTCTTGTGGCTTGTTGACACCGCCAGGGAGTCGGCAGGCCATGCCGCAGATGGCAATGAGCTTGACTGAAGGATCTGGGCGAGAGTCATTGCTGGACCTATCTTCTGTACTGGCAAAAGAATCATGGTTGGAAGGGCCAGCGTCGTGATTACCGCCAGAGTCAATCATTCTTTGAGGATCTAACAATATTTTTTCACCAAGGAATTTCGTGCTATGCCTTTCAAACTTATGATTGTATTATTGCCACGTCCACGCGTTACTAATATGTCCAATGCTTATCCGAAAGAGATCGCCAAATGTTTTAAAGAGTCTGGTTCATCGGCTTGAGCCGGGCTCGTTCTGGCTCCCAAGTACCAATACGTTTTTCTTGCAGGATCGTACGTCTGGCCATAGCCATGTTGCATGCCAGGAATGCATATGCAGGGCCCAGGGGTCGCACAATGTTGGCAGGCTACCGTTGCAGCGCTTCTGCCTGGGTACCTGGTCCATGCTTTGCTGGCACCTTTGTCAATGATGGGAACTTTGGACCTGTTGGTCTTCCGGCACTGTTGAACCAACAGGCATGCAAAAATCTTGATCTCACAAGTCACTGACAGCCCCAACATCCAAGTGAATATCCCTCACCCCGCCCTCCCGTCCCGAAGCCTGTCGGTTCCGCTTCCATCATCCTGAGAAAGGGGTCTGGACGCCTTCTATCTAGGTATCAATTACGGCTCACCTGGTGGCAGGCAAAGTAGGGGAAAATGGCGGCAATCACCAAGCTGGAGCACAATCCAGCCGACGAAGCCCAGGTTGAAGCGGCTGCCACCGACGTCGCCGCCGCCACTACATCGACGACCACAATGTCCAAGAAAAGTCCCTCATTCTACCTGGCGGTTTTCGGCCTATGCATGGTGGCCTTGATCACCGCCTGGGACGCCACATCGCTGGCTGTAGCACTCCCTGTCAGTATCTATAGAGCTATCCTGGCCGGGGAACAGCCCGGTTGTTGACGTTGACTTGCTGACTTGTCTGCCATCTGCATACATTAGACCATCACCAGCCAGCTTAACGGAACTACGTTCGAGTCTTTCTGGGCCGGAATCGCCTTTATGCTCGGCGTTGCCGTTACGCAGCCCATCTATGTCAGCCTTTCTGATACTCTGGGGCGCAAGCCGCCTCTCCACGTCTCCATGGCACTCTTTGCTGTCGGTGCCATCATCTTTGCTGTTGCCAAAAACATGGCCACCCTCATTGCGGGACGCCTCATCCAGGGCCTCGGCGGAGGAGGCCTCTACGTGCTCCAAGACATCATCCTCGCTGATATAACAAGCTTGAAGGAGCGTCCAGTGTACTTGGCCATCGTCGCTTGCGCCATGGCTTTGGGGACGGTGCTCGGCCCCATCATCGGTGGCCTGTTTGCGGATCACGCCGACTGGAGGTGGATTGGATGGATTAACCTCCCATTTGCAGGAGTCGGCCTTGTCATCTTCATCTTCTTTCTCCGGCTGCGTCCTCTGCCCGCGAGTCTCCAGGAAAAGATTGGGCGTTTGGACCTGTTGGGGATGCTCTTGTTTGCCGCCGGTGCCACTGCAGTGGCCTTGCCGCTTAGCTGGGCTGAGGCTTTATACCCATGGGCATCATGGAGGACGTTTGTGCCATTCATCATCGGACTCCTGGTTCTCCTTGGGTTCAGCTTCTACGAGGGGAGATTCCCAGCCGTGCCTATTGTGCCTTTTCGCATCTTCACCAACATCACCAGCATAGCATCGTTGGTTAGCGGTTTTATGCATGGAGCGATCATGTACACGACTCTTCAGTATCTCCCTCTGCTCTTCCAGGCGGTATATTTGGAACAGCCTCTACAAGCGGCCAAGTCGACTCTACCAGTGTGTGTCGCCACGGTAGTGTTTAGCTTTGTGGCTCCCATCATCATCGAGGTGACTCGCCGCTACCGGCTCCTTCTGTGGTCTGGCTGGCTTCTCTTGACCCTGTTCATGGGCCTTCTCTGCCTCATCGACCAGGATACACCTCGAGCACAGATTTACGCATTCCAGTGCTTGTTAGGTATGGGCATCGGCATTGTCTTTACAGGAGGCCAGGTCCCCATGCAAGCCAGTGTTGAGCATGTCGACAACACGGGACTCGCGGTGGGGACGCTCATCGTGGTCCGCATTTTCGGTGCGCTCGTTGGCCTCTGCATTGGATCGACTGTGTTCAGCTCCGTGTTTGCGAAATCGATCGCAGGGCTGGGGACCTTGCCCGAGCCCGTCAAGATCTTGGAGAACCCTACCCAAGCCATCGAGTTCATCCCTGCACTGCGGACGCTGGACTTGGACCAAGAGTTCATGAGGGAGCTTATTGATGCCTACCGCAAGCCTTTTGTGGCAATACAGATCGCCATGACATGTATATCCGGGGTGGGCTTCTTGACCTCTCTCTTGATCAAGGAGCTCACGCTGGAGAGGGAAGAGGTAGGGAGACAGGGTTTTGAGGAGTCATCATAATAGATAATTTTTGCCTTGTCCCAGCTTGGAGTAAGAGACAAACATTTTTGAACCCCTTAAAAACGAAGACGTGCAATTAATTCAGATCTCAGAGTCTGCCGTCTCCAATGGCCCATGACAGGAGTGAATGGCGAGCACACTAACAAACCCCTGATCAAGCCGGGCCGCCCCTCAAGGTTCTCCTCGTAAATGGACCTCCCGATGGCCCTTGTAGTTGAATTTGAAGTTGCGAGCCTGGTCAGACTATCCCAGTCATCTAACAAGGGTGCCTTGCATCTGGTCCACCTTGATTAGACCATTGTCAATCATGCCACCCAACGACCAACTTCAGACAACAAAAGGACTTTGGTACTGCTGTGTTGCCAACAATGCTCCGCGGGCATGGCCGGACATTGCATCCGAATGTAAGTCTGACTTGCCAAGCTCCAAGGATCATGCATCCAAGGAGCAGTGGGTTGGCCCACGTTTTGCCTCCTTGTCTACTCCTGGTCTCTGGACAAGGAGGTATTGTGATCATCGTATTCCCTACCGGTATTGTGATCATTATATTCCCTCTCGGTATTGTGATCATGTATTGCCTGTTCTGATCATGTATCCCCCGAGGCCTGTACCCGAGGCAATACATTCATGGCCACCGGGTTCGTTCGGAACTACCTTCCCGCCAGGGTAAGGGGAATAGCCTGGAAGAAACTCCCACGATATACTACCTACATGTGTGTATGAGACCGCACTCGGCCACTAAATGAGACCCATAAGTTTTACGGCCGGCGAGCAGATGTTGCATGCCGTACGGGTTGTCGATTTCTCGCTCTCTTGTCTCTTTCTTCTTCTTTTTTGCTCCTCCGCATAAAAGCTCACCCACACCCATAAGCTGCATTTTTGAAGCCTGAAATAGATTGTAAAAGGAAAAATGTATTTCGAGACCATCAACAAGCAATGGGGGGAGGATCACCGCCTCAAGGGGTCCTCCATGCAGGATGAGCCGGCATTCTATCGGAACCTCGAGCAGGCCCTAGATGTCCGTCGCCAGGCGCAATACTTCCTTAATCTCAAGCCTCAATGGGGCAAAGAGGTCGTTGACTTGACGACGTCCGACTTCCTCGCCGTCAACCACTCTGGAAAGGTGCGTCAGCGTTTTCTGGACGAGCTGGCGCAGCACCCAGACTTTCGTCTGGGCGCCAATGGCTCCCGCCTGCAGTACGGCAACACGCCCTACATCAACCAGGTCGAGAAGGAAATTGCCGACTTCCATGGCGCTGAGACGGCTTTTATCGTGGCCTCTGCCTATGCCGCGAACCTGGGCGTTCTTTCCAGCGTGCCGCTCGCCGGGGACGCGCTTGTGTACGATGAGCTCGTGCATGCAAGCAGTTTCGAGGGGTTCAAACTCAGCATGGCGATGCATAGGCTCCCATTCCCCCACAATGACCCGGACGGCCTCCGTGAGGTCTTGGTGCGCCTCAAGAAGGACCATCCCGAGTTTGTGGCCGGCACAAGCTCCATCCTGATCTGCGTCGAGTCCATTTACAGCATGGAAGGTGATGTCTGCGAGCTCCGTGAGCTGGTCCAAGTGGCCAAGGAAGAGTTTCCTCTGGGAAATGCACAATTCGTCATGGACGAGGCTCACAGTATCGGGGTGGTTGGTGACAAGGGGCGTGGGCTGGTGTCATACCTGGGCATGGAAGATGACATCGCGATCCGAGTCCATTCTGTGAGCAAGGCGTTGGGGTCAACTGGCGGTACGTTTCATGCCCCTGGTTAAACCAAGTTACATCATTGATTCTAACAAACTTCCTCCATCATCAGGAGTCATCATGTGCAAGAAGACTGTCCGGTCCATGATGCTGAATAATGCACGGTCTCTCACATTCACGTGTGCACCGTCATTTCCGACTGTTTGCTCCGTTCGGGCTAGCTACCAGCTATTGATCAGTGGAGCATTGGTAGAGGTAAGATGGTGTTCCTCTCACGGCTTGTTTGGGGAGTTGATTTCACTATTCTTTGGTCGTTTTGGGTAAGTTCCCGTTTTCTAACTAGCCTCTCTTATACGCAGGCCCAGGAGAAACTACAAAGCAACATCAAGCGGTTCCTTACGGCTTTGACCGAGAACCCTGTATGGGACGAGGCAGTTGATGAGGGCATTCTCTCGATACACACTCTCGACGACTGGGAACGGCGTCCGTTTCAGACGCAAATCGTCCCCTTGTTCACACGCGAACGCCACGAAACATACCTCTTCTTCCATCTACTAATGAGAAACTTCAACGCCTACCCCTATCAGTCCCCCGTCGTTCCGAAAGGCAAGAGCCGGGTGAGGATAGTCTTGCATGCCTACAATACTGATGAGCAGATTGATGAACTGGCTTCAACAATCTGCGATTGGGCGCGTGAAGTCCTGAAAATTGACAGTGGCGAGGCAGAGGCCGGCTTGCCCTCGGCCGCTCGGCAAGCTTATGCAATGCAGAGAGCCCTCCAGTCATAGGGGATCCCTAGAATTCACACGTGTTAAACTTATCACTATACTATCCAAATAAGGCTAGAGATAGAAATGAATGGAAATGATTGTACTGAGCTGTTGGTCCCCTTAGCAAGAAGTTGTTGGCTCCTAGTATGCAGCCAGTATGCAAGTTGACCGTAAGGGGAAAGAAGTAGGCCCTTGTTAATGGCGGCAAAGAATCGTTCCCATCCCGAAGAGTAATTTCGCTTGGTAGTTGATTGAGTGCCTTCATTCCATCTTTGGTAGGAATTACGAAAGCAACACTATCTGAAGAAATGTGCTGATTGGGTGCGTACCTTTCACCAGAAACGGTGAAAACTAGAAGGCAAATGTTGCGTCTCACTGCATAGATCCTACGGGGATGCGAGACCTTGCATGCCAAGTGTCTTTCTTTCCCCGACGAGGGCCAAGTCGCCGACCACCCTGGCCCAACAGCCATGATGGATGTTCTGTTGCATTTATTGAATCCTCTAACACCCCTCCTACTGAAACGGGCCGACGCACCGTTAAAAAGTATCCTTTCGTTTCCTAACGACCTGGTCAAGGTGGATCGTTGGATGATACACTGCAGCATGTTGCCACATGGGATGTCCATGGCATTCCAAATGTGGGCTGTTTCTCTCACTTATTCCCGAGGAACGATAAGCGGAATTTAATAAGCTGGTTAGAAAAAAGATGCCGGCCTCATTGAATATGTAATAGAGTGCTTGCTGGTTGCTTCCACATGTCAATGTGGCTATCCCCGAGCCACTTCCCAAGCGTTTGTTCTCGAAAGTCCCAGCCATTCTTTCACAGTGACAACAGTGATCGGCCAACAAATTGCAATCAACACAGAGCGTACCAATGGCATCGCTCGAGCAACTGCACTTGCCCCCCCCCAGAGCAGCAAGAAGCGATCCTCAATGGGCCAGCGCTGGAGCCACCGCCGAATGTAATACCAAACTTCATAGACCCTCCCAACGAAAACGGGTTGTTCATAGCGATCCTGACTGTTGGTTTGGCATTATCGACACTTGCGACGGCTCTCAGAGTATACACCAAGCTATTTATTACGCGAAGCGTGCAGATTGAGGATGGTAAGTTTTGACCTCTGTTTTGGTGCTAGCCATAGTCTTGCTCATTATCTTTCTAGGCCTCCTGTTTGTTGGATTTGTTTGTCCAGCCTCCCCCGCAGAAATAATAGAGAAATACTAACAAGGCTGCCCCAAGAGCATGTTTGTAGCCTTCGCGTACTGCTGCTACGATCTGATAATAAACGGAACCGGCTTCTTCGTTCACCAGTGGAATATCCAGATCAAGGCGACTCCGAATATCCTCTATGTTTGTGATACAGTGCCTTGATTCGTGCGGCGGCCAACTAACTAGATGATAGCTTGTACACATAGCATCCAGCTTCTACGCGGTAGCGATGGGCTGTCTCAAAGTTGCCATCCTCCTCGAGTGGACGCGCATCTTTTCGCCAAAGGGCACCCGAGGGTGGTTCTGGGTAAGAAGCTTCTTGACCGCTCTCCTGACGCAACTCTCGACCTAACAAGTACAACCATTGACAGTATTCCTGCTGGGCCCTGCTCATTGTCAACGCCCTCTTCTATACCGGTGGCACCATCGCCGGCAATTTGTCGTGCATACCGCACCAGAAGATCTGGAATCAGACACTTAAGGGGCATTGCATCAACCGGAAGGCGCTCGACACTGCCACAGCAGCCATCAACATTCTCTCGGGGCTTTTCATCCTGGCCCTCCCGCAAAAGGTCATCTGGTCCCTTAAGCTGAGCACTGCCAAGAAAATAGGCGTGTCTTCCGTCTTCGCAATTGGTCTCTTGTACGCCATTTCCAAGTTAAGATGAGCCAAGGTTGGGCACTTACTGACGAAAATACTTTATCTACCTGCAGTGCTGTGATATCCGCCATCTGTCGCCTTGCCGCGACGATCGACTATCTCCGCTCGCCAGACGCAACTTACTACGTGTCCGCAACGGCCCTCTGGTGCGTCGCCGAGCAGACGTGCGCCATCCTCGTCTTTTGCGTCCCCATCATGCCCAAGGCGTTCAAAGACAACAAGTACTTCCGCCGCCTCCTCACCACCGCTCGCTCCTCGAAGAACACGTCCAAAGATATCAAGGACTGGGGCTCAACCAGCCAGCAGAACCGGTACCGCGAGATTGACGGCGGGTATCCTCTTGACCACCTTAACCAAGGGCAGGCGGCGCAGGGCAGATACGGCTCAGACGAGCATCTACAAGGATCCGCGGACGGAACCGCGTGGGCCCAAAACGCCCACATCCCTCCGACAAAAGCCCCTGCTAAGACAAGGAATGCCGCAATACCTTCATGGGAGGGAGGAAGATAATTTTCTAATGCGGTCTTTAAGAGACATGGTTGAGATGTTTTATTCTATGCTTTTCTTATCATTTGTGTTGGGATGCTAGATGGAGTATCAAATTCGGTCTTTTCTAAGTTGAAGGATCACGTCGTTTTGTATTCGGGGATCGGAATCATCTGACGTTCCGTGTAACTATGTGGATGCACAAGTCACTAGTTAAAAGGCTATTTCTTTTAGACTTCCCCCCTGTCTAGGAACCCGCAAGGATTAATATCACTCCATCTTTGTTCCTAACCCAGAACGTGTGACCAGCGGTTTTCTACTACAATGTAACCCCTCTGGTGGATGCGAAGCCTGCGCCTCCACTGTTCATGTCATGTCATGGCGGCTAGCAAGTCACGCAGCGTACAAGTACCTTCAGGGATATCCCTGCAAGTCTGGACTCCCCCAGTTGCATGGATTTGACGTGGGGGATCCGGACCTCCACCAACAGGGTCACATTGTGTCAAACCTGTGGCCGAGGACTTGCCAATATACGAGATGTGGAGAGGCCCTGCGCAGCGTGCTTCAGCTCACATGTCTAACCAGAATCTAGACATATCGAGATATCAATTTCACTCTAAAATGGAATATTTTTAGTAATTTTGCATCGTCGTTTGTTTTCATGTAAATATGCCAAGTTTAACATCTCTCATGTATAGCTGGTACCAAAATTCATCTTCGCAAGATCTCATTCACGCCTTGTCCTTGCCGATCAGTTCCAGATACTGGGCAGCAACATCCACTGCAGCCTGCTCAAAGGTCTTCAGTGGACTCCCCAAGAATCGCTCCGTGTCACCGCAATCATATGGTGCGGCAAAGGTATCAATCTTGCCTTTTGAGAAAATACCGTCAGCCACAGCCTTTGGGAAGGCCTTCTCAACATGACCAAAGATGGTGCTGAAGTCAACTTCAGAAGATATCCCCCAGTTTTTGCCAATCTCCGGCGAAGTCGGGTCAAGGAAGGCAGCCTGAAGATGGAGCTTGCTCACATCATCAATGTGTGCAAAGCTGCCAGCTAATGGGAACGGCAGCTCGCCACCCACCATACCCAGCATGAAGTAGGTGTTGGAACTGTTAGCTGTTCGCATTTGAGTAGCATCAAGGATGAGCTCATTCCGGCCAAAAACATAACCAGGGAAAACATGTGAAATAGTAAAGTGAGGCTTCTGGTTCTTGACAAAGTCTTCCGAGGCTTTAAGCTCAACCATTTTCCCGAGGACATATGCCTCCTGGACATTACTAAATGGAGGTATAACGTCAGGGAGCACACCCCTTGTGGTAGCAGAGGGTATAGCTGAGGGCGGGGCGAGGCCAATGTTTGCTACAGTTGATGATGTGATGACGATTCGTTGAACACTGGGGGCCTTGAGTGCGGCAGCGAGAAGGTTTGCTGATAACTTGACGGTTGGCTCAAAGACTTCAGTCTTTGGGTCAAATTTTGGGTTGGTCACAGGTGACCCCACGTGAATAATATGTGTAACATCTCTATCTTTGAGGGCATCGTCGAAGGCGTCGGCCAAAGTGGGATCTGGGATAACAATAGGGAGGAGTCGATCGCCAGGTGCCAACTTCTTGACAGCCGGATTGGACAGAATAATTTGAGCCTTGTCTTCCGATCGAACGGTGAAAAAGACTTTATGCCCAGCAGCTAGGCTATCAAGGAGGATCCGGAAGCCAATGAGCCCAGAGGCTCCAGTAATGAGCACTGTAGCAGCCATTTTGGTAGTGAGAGTTTTTCTAATCTCACAGGGGGAGGTTCCACGATGGAAAAAAGATTGCAGATACTGCTTGATGTTGAGGAGAAGATATTGTTTGAGGAGCTGGATTATCGGAGGGGAAACCAGTTGGCACAAGTGGAAGGGGGCTCTGGGGGGTTTTTATATATCTATGTTGCCAGCATCTAGCACATGATTATTTAATACAGGGCTATATTTATTAGAAGTATATTATTATAGTTAAATTTTAATTTTAAGGTATAATAAAGTTATTACTTTTATTTTTAAAAGCTTTAAAAGTATTATTCTTCTAAATAAAATTATTTATTATAATAAAGCTTATAAAATTTTTTATTTTTAATATTACTTTTTAATATTATAAAGTTTAAAAATAAATAATATATTTATTTATTTAAAATATATTATAAATAAACAATATTTTAAAATTAAGTTATATATATAATATATAATTTATTTTATTATATAAGGTTTTTTTCTTATGTATGAGGGGATTTGGACCCGTGGCCAGGAGCTTGTGGGAACCAACAGGGCGCTTACGTTACCTCAAGCAGCATAAACCACAGCAGTAAGCTTGTATTGACTGTTGGTTGAGCGAACTTTTGTAGCCTCACTCCATTGGGGTAAAGCTGACTTCGGAACCCGATCGCTGAATTGAAGATTGATCTCGTTTCCACCATGGGTTAGGACATAATAGTCACCTAGACGTAGCCCAACATCGAGTCCCTCGAAGGGTATTTCAAGGGATATCGTCATCCTAAAACTACCTAATGAAGAAGTCAATAGCATGTGCGCTTTTCCTTCTCAAATCACTGTGTATGTATGCTTCTATACTTGATAAGGAACCCAAGTATGAATACCGTTAACAATAATTGCTATTCATTGCGTGAGATGTCGGGTCTCTCATCTTCTATTGTTGTTTTTAACTTTATACTCAGACTCTCACCGGGTTAACAACAATCAATTGCTGCGCTTCCTACTCACACCCCAAGATCTAATCAGGGTCCCGAAAGTCATTTGACTTATTACTCGTTCTACTCTACCTTTGGGCTTTGAACTTTTCGTCTGGTTATCAAGTTCCGAGATGTTGACAAAGTCGGGGCTGGAGTTGGCTTGATATTGGCACATCTAAATTCGTCAGTAAAGTTCTAGTCGATGAGAATAATTAGGTAGCTACATCGAAGACAAAGTATTCATAGTCCCTTGGTATACACTGACCCTTGCCAAGGCGTAGTTTGGCCAACGTGCAGCTCTTGACTAAGTTGCACACAGTGCACGGAACCCTGACGGTCATGTCTACAACTTTCACTACCGACGAACATTCAAAATGCCCTCAGAAAATATTTTCTGTAATAATCGGTCCAACTAAGGAATACAAAAATATTCTATGTTTGAAATCCTCAGGTGATGGTTACATTCCCTGCAGACAGTCACGTGCATGCAATCTCGTGTAAATTATTTCCCCCTTAACACCACCTCAGGCTAAATTGTCAACAAAGATGACACCTACTTGCTCTCCCAAAGTCACTATTTTCTCGAGGAATACAGAGCGAGTTAGAAATGCCTCATCATGCCAACAACAACCCTAAATTACCTCGATCCTCCACTACCAACAAATATCAGAAGAGTCATAGCCTATCAGGACGCGTGACATGTGACAATGGACACCGGTCCGATATCCCATCTGATACCCATCCAGATAGTGGACAGTGCAACACATCCACTAATGCTGAGATAAATGCCGCTGATATAATCGAACCATACGCCGAAGGATCCTTTCGGTACGTCGCTCCTGGCACATACACCTCAGGGCCTCGCAAGGGCGAACCATGCGTATTGAAGTGGTTCAAAACGGGAGTGGTTTTCGAACCCGATTACTTCACCCTCGACATCAGGGCCGTGGATAAGGCTCTGGAGATTGTGGACCAGTTCAACAACCTGCGCGTGACCCACAAGGTCATCAGGATCAATGTACCAGAGGTGTGGTTTGTCGAGCCCTCGAACCACCCCCGCTTATCAGGCTGGAAGGGCGCAAGAATGCTGTGCGAGCCCTTTATCGATAATTACGAAAAGTTCAACAGCAACTCCGGGTGGTATGACGTATCGGAGACCTGGGGGGAGGTGATGCAGGCCTTGAGCCACTTCAGCTACCATATCTCCGACGGCTCCTTTGTTCTCTGTGATCTGCAGGGCGGCGTCTATAGGCGCGAAATAGTTCTATCCGACCCCGTTATTCTGTCACGGAAACGTGAGTATGGGGTGACGGATCTTGGACCAGAGGGTATTAGCTCTTTCTTCTACCAACATAACTGCAACGGTTTTTGCAGTCCACAGTGGAAGCGGCCCTTGGACCCCCTTCTCTTCTTTTCCCCCAGGATGGGGACTTCTATGATGAAGCACTCAGAGCCTATGGTATGCACTAGACGCAAGAGGGGACGAGTTATTACTTAAGTAGAGCTATCGAGCCACACGGATCCTTTTCAAGCTCATGCGCTTCGTCACCCAAAGGTTAGTTCTCTCCTTCGCCTATTAAGTTGCAGTAATTTTCTAGCGAAAATTGCTACATCATTGGTTCCAATTGATAGAAGACCACTCATTAACCTAATAATAGTTAGTCCTGATCCCAACGCCTACTACTTACCAGATCTATGAGTCAGTTGGTATTCAGGACCCTGGCTATGTCGAATAAAGCATGTTCTAAGGCTTGATAGAAGGATAGGCATTTCTGGTGGCTTCTCAAAGCCACTGTAGAGCTAAGAAGCCATTGGGTAATATATCCTACAGGGTCTGAAATCAATGACCTAATATGACACATCTCTACTCCATGGATTGTTTGTTGAGAAAGAGGGAACAAGCTAAGATATGGTTTATAATTTAATTCACAAAGTAGAAATCAATATAACTTCTTATCAACCGCCAGGCGCTAGATAAGCCAATGCGGTGAAAGCAGCATAGCTTCTACGATATTTGCCACCGAAGAGGCCATTGCCCTTTTCTTCGAACTAAACCATAGGTCTGTCATTCGAAAAACAGAGGATAGCAAAGTAAACCTGCTTGATCTTTGCGAAGATTGATAAAGTTCATCTTTTTTGTCGTTCACTCAAATAGAAGAAGAAAAGCAGTCTCAAATGGGTATAGGCTACCGATTCACTTGAAACCTTCGTAGTGAGGTTGAGGGTTGCCTCAAAAAGCTCGTTCTCTCTCTAACTAAGTGATTTCCCTGCCTCTTGATTCATCCATCCCAGCGGGGCCCTCCTCTAGCTGTGTCTAATCAAGGTTGGTCCCACGAACCCCAACACGAAAGTGTTAAAGACGTGCAGCCAGACGGTATCCACGGGTTTCCAATGGGTAAGTAGCAAGTATGTATCAGCAATGCCGGTGCACATCCAGCAGATCAAAAACGTGCCCAGAGCTCTCCGCTGGCCAGTAAGAGTCATAGCCCACACAGCGAGCCCGGCTGATACATTTCGTCCGCCGATTCCAGGGTAAAAGACGGCCATGTCGCGAGTTACGTCGATGACACCGAAAGCGCGGCCCATCTTTGATGGGGAGACGACGCCGTAAAGACCGCTGCCGACCAGTAAGGCCCCGATGGCGCCAGTGACGATATCAAGGCGAGACCGGAATACCATCTTGTTCAGTCGAGGAAACTTTTTCTGAATATTTTCATTAATCAGATGCCGTTAGATGGAAGACACGGTTGGATTTCTGGATTTACCTCGTCTTGGAGGTAGAAGAGGATATTTCAAATTGACGCTTTAGAGTTTGTCTTGAGAGCCGATCTCAATGATCTATTAAATGAAAAATCAAAACCTTCATTTTTATATATATATTTATGTCAAAATAAGGTTCGCACTTTCATCAAAATCCAAAGTCCGATCAAATAGGAACTCCGGAACTCCGGATCATCAGTGCGGAGCTTACGGAGTTAACCAACGTTAGACTCATACCCTAAAGCATTCCTTCTCCGCTCAAAGAAAAAGGAATCTGTAATATTTCCCAACTACTTTTGAAGAGTCATCACGATATTCAATTGTACTTTTCATTGTGATTCAGATTGTGATCCAGGTAGTTTCTAAAGGCAGCATTAACCAGGTTGGCTTTCTAACGCGGGTCTAACTTGTAGCACTCTTTTTCAAGTCGACTTGTTGCTCTGCAAACATGTAATGCACCTATATTCTAGGCTTAAGAGTTTTACTTTGAGGATGAGTACAACTAGTCTCTCAAAATGGTCGATGAGCTGGAGAAGACTCAGCATCATCGATAACAAGGAAAAGAAGCTTGCGGAGTATCCGTTCCTCTTCATCATCCGTCTGTCGATGTCTATCTGATTTTTCCAACTTCTTGTGATATTTCTGTTCAATTTTGTCTTGTTTCCGCGCTTGCTTGGATAGATTCTCATGAGACTTCCTCTTGGATAGCAACTTTCGCATCTCCTTGTCATACTTGTCCTGTGCTTTAGCGGTGTCTTTGCTCCGGTCCTCGGTGACCTTGGTTCGGCTTTTCATCAACTTCTCCTCCTCTCGGCTCCTCTGCTTTTCGCTGACCACGGCATGCATTCGGCTTAGAGGATTAGTAGGCTTGTCAATGGGAGGAATGGACTCAATATCTAGCGGTGCGATCCAAGGCCCCAAGGCCGCTATGCGCCGCTCCTGCACCCCGATGATGGAGCCTCCCATGCTTTGAACAGGTGGCAGTATGTTGGACCTGCTATCAATGTTGCCGCCGACGTCCAATATCGGTATCTTGGCCAGGCGGGCAAGAGCATCGAGTTTGGCGATGTAGGCCTTTAGGCCACGGGGGTTGAATATTTCATGATTGGCCTGACGAAGAACCATTTCTGTCCTCCCCTTGGACACGACGACCGTCGTCAGAGTGGCCGCTGTGTTGACGGCGGTACCCACGATCTGGGCGGTGGCGAGTGGGACCATGCCCACGAGATTACCAACCAGCCCTACGACTTGGACTGGGGGGCTTGCAACGGAGGCGCGGTTGAGTTGATCGATGAAGCTGAGGAACAGGTCTTTGGAAATGTGGAGGTGCCCTAGGGAAGGAGGATAGGCCCTGAGAAAGGGAGAACCCAACTTGGCTGTTGTTGCGGGGATAGCAATGATTTTTCTTGGCTCTGGTTCGAACACTGACATTCTCGAGGTTGATATGTCGGCCGGAAGATGAGTCGGTAGATTAGCTTGTTGGAAAGGCGGCGTGGTGTTTCTTGACGCGATACGTTGCTCGGCCATACCTAGGATGGGCAAGGCTGAGTCTGATTGCTGAAAACGTTGATATGGGGGCGGAATGGCATTTAAGTTTCCGTTGTCGTAGACGACTCGCTCAGATGCAGCAAATCTATATTCTTGGCTAGACCTAGCAGATTCCAAGGATTGGGGAAGAGGTTCATATTTCTCATCGTCTTTTGAGTGGTCACGTAGATATGCCATTCTGGTTGGAGGATGATTTCCAAACAGATTTTCAGAATGATATAGGATGGGTATGCTAGCCTTTGTCAATTATCCAAGATTCATAGATTTTATAAGAAATTCTCCTCTTAGTTATTTAGACATCATCTGTTCATTATCTGCTTGCCACTTAGATTGAGCATCCAGTTCTGAATCAACCATCAACTCACCTCGCACTGGCCTTCGATTTTGGGTTTAGCGTAAGATCTTAGCTTGAGACCGACCAGGAATTACGTTGTAGCTTGACGCGCGTTACTGTTCTTGGAAAGCTGGCGCGAGGTTGGAAGAATAAGCAAAAGGCCCCTGATAGCCACGGCAAACACCCATCCGAATTTCCCCTCTGATGACGAGGCGCCTTGTCTTTCGACACTTCGTACGCCAATGGGCCACCCCGTGTTCCTACGCCATGTACCAATGATCTAGCATGTCCCCAGAGAGACAGGTCCGAGGTCGCCGAAGCGCCGGCTGCGCCACATGCCGGAAACGAAAAGTCAAATGTGGTAGGCATGGAATCCTGGTGAACTCATGTACTGTGTGTATTCGTAATCTGATTACGGCCTTTAGACGAGAAGCGACCAGTCTGTGACCGTTGTAGACGGGGATTTCACGTATGCCTGGGATATGATACAATTCCCATTTTCGTGTTTGAAGATAAACGCCTTGGGAAACCCGTTCCCTCTAGCCAAACATTCCAGTCGGAGCGGAGTCTAACAGCGTCCTGCATGGCCGAGGACAACAGGGCTATTCAGAAGCATCCCGGATTGCTGGCTTCTGAAATCCCAGCAAGTCTGAACTTATCGGCCTTTTCACAAGACATAGTTCTTTCTTATATGATATCAACACTAAGTGATACATTTCTGCAGGGCTCAACAGCTCCCGAAATCCATGGTGTCAACGAGGACGCACCATCATTTTTGACTGTCTTGTCATCCAAGAATAGAGATTCCCCGGCCTTCATATGCGGGCTAAGCTCGGCAGAGGCCCTGTTCGGCCATATGCATGGAGACAAATGTATGGTTCGCCATTCGTCTTCCTTATATGACCAGGCCCTGCGCAGATTTCAGCGTGACTTGGAGATGCTTGGCTCCCACGGAGGTTGGGCGCAACATTATGTTGCAATATGGAGCTGCTTATTCTTGGTATTGTATGAGCTCCTGTCAGGCATGGGACCAATCAATTGGGTTCATCATTCTCTTGGCATTGCTGCTTTGGTAAGTTGGAAAATGCGTTTTGAAGTCTATATGGCGTCAAACTTACCGCCTCACTGATGCTGACGGGGAAATTTGAAAAGGCCCAGAGCGCTGGACCGGCAGCATTTCAGTCGCCGATGGCCCGAGAGTTGTTACTCGTGCTCCGGAGCTTTATTGTGAGTGGATGAGAGACTAGCACGTACAAACAAGCCGAAATTAATATATATGTATTCACCAGGTGGTGGCGGATGTCGCAAGAAGGAAAAGGTCGTTTCTTGACCAAGACGAATGGAAAACAATACCCTGGCAAGTCGAACCGGATACCAAGACCATTGGCGACAAGTTACAAGACCTCTTCTGCCAAATCCCCGGCATATTGGAGGACAGTGATGAAGTATTGGAATGCCCTTCCAAGATCCGCCTTGCAGCATTGCAGGAAAAAGTGTCACTTGCCCTTAACGAGCTGTTCCGCCTCCAAGTGCAGTGGATGCAAGAAACTCAACACGGCTATTGGGAGATACCAGCAAAAAAGACCAATTCGGTTTGGGCGTCTGAGGACAATGAACCACTATTTGGCCGCGTGCTGTGGTTTGGATCTTTTCGTCTCGCCCTTGATTACATTTACTTTTTTGTCGTGTGGCTTCTGCTCCATGGTGTTTGTAACTCAGCATCCCTAGACGAGCCAACTAACCCACCCAAAAACTTACTCCACGGAGTGACATCGTCTCTATCAATGGTTCGTCTAGGAGACGCAACGCCACAAGAACACGCTGTTGAGGTTTGCCGAGCTGTTGACTTTTTGTTGCTAGGCGAAGATGGACATAGAGGGCCCATGTCTCTTCTCTTCCCCATGAAGATCGCTTCGAGGTATTTGGAAGACCTACCCGAGATATTCCAGTGCCTTAAAAGGACTCTCCATCGAATATCAGCAGATAAGGGGTTTGGTCTGGGGGACCAAGTGCTAAACATGGAGCGCACCGATTTCTGTTTTAATTCAGGAAAGCAGACTTGAAAACGCTAGATAGATAGAGGAGTTATTAAATACAGCCCTCTGATTTGAACGGTCGAAGATGAGACGGGCGGGGTTACATGAGTTTTGAGGCATCCTCCACTAACTTCAAACTACCAGACGAGCACATGTAATTTACTTTTTTCCTTGGCAAGAAACAGTATAGCTATATCTTCTCCATACTATCCAATGCCCGCCCGATGAGATTCTGTGTATCCAAATCTGCAATTTCATCCGACGGTTTGGATTGGCAATCCTCCAAAAACTGCTTCCACCGGGCCCAATACTCTGGCTTGAAAACCTTGGCTCTGGGGCCAGTACCGCGCGTGCGACCAAGTTGAGCATCCTGCTGCACCTTTTTGGGTGCATAAATTAGCCAAATACATACCAGGCGCACGTTTGATCTCGTCGGTTTGTAAGTCTCTTGGAACATGCGCGTCAATGGCCAGTGGTTCCAGCCAATGCTCTCCTTGAAGCTACCGAATCCAATCTCGGACAGCTGGGCCACAAACGCGACGCAATTCTCGTAGAGCCTCAATTGTTCCTCAGTTGATCCTAAGAATGGGTCAATTGAGAGAATTTATAAAACATCAAAAGCAAGTCAGGACGTACGGCTCAAGCCCTGATATTCTGATAATTCCAATCCCAGTCGGGGCATGCCAGTCCAAAAGACTTCGTCCTCCTGTCGCAGCTCTGCACCGGCCCTGGGATCAGGCACCGTGACCTTTTGAAGCTGGAATACAAAATCAAGAAGCTTGGATTGCTGATCATGGGGAATCTGCTCAGCACAGTCGATGATGAATCCAGCGACTGCGGTAGAATGTTGCAGCAAGACGTTGTGCTGCACCAAGTTGGTGGCCTTGAATTGCTCTTGTGTAGAAAAGGCCTCGGCCGCGGCGTCGGCTGTGAGAGCGACAATCTTCTCAACTGCCTCGGCTGTGGAGAAGTCGTCATTGTTCACCAGGTTTATGATGATGTCGCCCTCTGGCCTTGTGCCAAGCTAAATCAAGCAAATGTTAGCAATGTTCGAGCCCTCAAATCATGTGAGATTCAGCGATGACTTGCTTTATTCGTCAAGATCGCTGGCTTTGAAATGCTCATGATGATGGTAGTCTCTTCCAACGTATGTATGAATGTGAATCTATGATAGCAAGCGACGAAGAATGATTCAGTGCAAGCTTGATTAATGTAATCCGTTGATTGTAATGAGGGGCAGAGTTCAGGTTGTGTGGTGGGTGAGAGAAGGCGGGGCAGGCCTGAGCAAATATTGCCTCTCGGCTGTGATACAGTGTGCACCAAAGTCCTTTTTCGTAGCCCAAAGTCCCTTTTCGCTGCTGTTGAGGTAACAAGGGAGTCCGTCAGCGCTGATCTGATCAATGCCCCCTTAATATTTAATATCCCCTGTTGCTAAATAAAACCAAAAAGAGCACAAGTCCTTCCTACATGCGTCTTATAGATAGCACGATTGGTAAGAAGGCGGCACTTTGGGCATGTGGCTGAATCCTTCTTCTCTACCACATCCGTTCCCGCAAGCTTTTTACGGCTGACTCTGACGTAAGGTAAACCAAAGTCGCGAACATTTGCAAAGAGTTAAATCTTCATGTTTATTGGTGCCACCTCCTTGATCGCCTCCGGGGCCCGCCCTGCTTCGGCTCAATGGATTTTACGTATTTGACGTCTTACCACCACACATGATCCCATGCAATCTACACGAGGCTATGTGCCGCATATTTGTGTCTATTTTTAACATAATCTCGACAATATGGCTGGATTGAGATACTATCTTACTAGGGGTGCTACCAAGTTTGGTAAGCTCTGACTCTTTCTTCTAATTTTGACGTTCTTCTCTCAGAATATCGTAACCGGCCCAGGCTGCTGATCTCCAAGGTTTGCAAATGTAGAAGCAGTATAATAAGGCGGCATCGGAATGCTGTCAGACAATGCATCCAGACAGTCTTTCAAATCCAAAAATCAAATGTTTTAAGCAACACGCCATATCAAGCTATCATGCTTTTCGGCAAATTCCTTTTCGTTCTATTCTACCTGGCCATGGCCGCCGAGGCAGGCCCGAAAAAAAAGAAGAAGTTCCAGCCGCTCGATCTCAACGCGCCCGAGCCCGCCGGCGAGCCATCAACCCCTCAACCACAAGCACCACCAGCCCGCCCTGGGCAAGGTGGCGGCTCCTGGGCTCAATTTGCGGCCAATGCAGCTCCTAAAGCCGACGCGGCCAACGCAGCCAAAGCTGAAGCCGAGAAGAAGGCGAAGGAGGATGCCGCCGCCGCAGCTGAAGCAAGGATCCATCCGAATATCCCCAAAAACGGCATGACTCTTTCAGATGGGAGTCAGGTATCGAGAAAGCACGTCCAAGACACGTACGATCATGCCAAATCGCACATGAATAATCCGATTGAACACCCTGGTCATCCTGGTGATCAGAACAAGGCATATCCACACACTGTATCCGAGGAAATGGGACAAGATCTGGGAGCGCCTGCAAATGCGCAAACGGCTGTTAATACGTTTCCGATCCATAAAGAGGGACAGTTGCATAAAGGTTCGCTTTGCTCCCAGACGTGCAATCTATAACCTGTTTGTTTTGAACTGACAACTAATGTACTGTGGATGAGCAGAGGGCATGGACCCAGGACGAGATCGAATCGGCTTCAGCCCAACAGAAATATACGGCGGAGGTTCACATCCTCCAGGAGACAACTCCATAACCCCCGGGTGGAGCGCTTGTAAAAGGGGAGAAGGAGGTTCCTGTGCGATCAAGCCTGGACAGAAAAAGGGTGCCGGCAACAAGGCTGCCAATGATAAAGCCAAATCTCCCGCCAACAACAAGACCCCTGCAAAGAACAAAAACGCCAAGGGTAACAAGGGGAAAGGACTTGGGACTAAGAAGGGCCCTGCCAACGGCGCCAAAGGAAAAGCCAAGGGTAATAAAAAGAACGCTGCTGCTCGAAAACAGTCTGGATCCAAGAAGAACCCCGCCTCGAAGAAGCCAGGGAAGCAAAGCCAACAAAAATCTGGAAACAAAAAAGGAGCCAAGAACAAAGGTGCCTCTCGAACCAAGGCCGGTGCTCAGAAGAACAGCAAGGCAAAGGGAGGTGCTTCGAGGAAGGCTGGAAAGGGGGTGAACAAGGCTGGCACTGGCAAGAAATCCAAGACTGGAAAGAAAGCCGGGACTGGAAAGAAGACTGGCGTTGGCAAGAAAAACAGCTCCGGCAAGAAGGCTAGTGCTCGAAAGGGTGCCAACAAGAATACTGCTGCTGGGAAGAAAGCAGGTGCCGGAAAGAAGTCTAATACCGGCAAGAAGACTGGTGCTGGCAAGAAAGCTGGTACTAGAAAGGGCGTGACAAAGACCAACTCCAAGAAGGGCGCCAACAAGGCAGGAGCCAAAAAGACTGCTGCCTCCAAGAAACCCGGAAAAGCTGTCAATAAGAAGAACGGCGCCAAAAAGACCAGCACTAAGAAGGGATCCAATAACAAGACTGGGTCTGGCAAGAAGGTCGGTGCTGGAAAGGGTGTCAACAAGAAGGCTGGCACTAGTAAGAACACTGCTGCAAAGAAGGGTGCTACTAGCAAGAAGGGCGCTGCTGGTAAGAAGGGTGCCGACAAGAAGAACACTCCTGCTAAGAAGGGTGCTTCCAAGAAGGGCGCTTCCAAGAAGAACACTCCTGCCAAGAAGGGTGCTTCCAAGAAGGGCGCTGCTGCTAAGAAGGGTGCTTCTAAGAAGAGTGCCAGCAAGAAGAACACTGCTGGCAAGAAGAACACTGCTGGCAAGAAGAACACTGCTGCAAAGAAGGGTGCTTCTAAGAAGGGCGCTGCTGCTAAGAAGGGTGCTTCTAAGAAGAGTGCCAGCAAGAAGAACACTGCTGGCAAGAAGAACACTGCTGCAAAGAAGGGTGCTTCTAAGAAGGGCGCTGCTGCAAAGAAGGGTGCTTCTGCTAAAAAGGGTGCTTCTAAGAAGGGTATTGCCAAGAAGGGTGCCAGCAAGAAGAATACTGCTGGCAAGAAGAACACTGCTGGCAAGAAGAACACTGCTGCAAAGAAGGGTGCTACTGGCAAGAAGGGCGCTGCTGCTAAGAAGACTGCTGGTAAGAAGGGCACTGCTGCCAAGAAGGGCGCTGCTGCCAAGAAGGGTGCTTCTAAGAAGAACACTACTGGCAAGAAGAACACTGCTGCTAAGAAGGGTGCTTCTAAGAAGCCTGCTGGTAAGAAAGGTGCTGCTCCTAAGAAGGGCGCTGCTGGCAAGAAGAGTGCTTCTAAGAAGCCTGCTGGTAAGAAAGGCGCTGCTGCCAAGAAGGGTGCTTCCAAGAAGGGCGCTTCCAAGAAGAACACTCCTGCCAAGAAGGGTGCTTCCAAGAAGCCTGCTCCAAAGAAGGGTGCTGCCCCTAAGAAAGGTGCTGCTCCTAAGAAAGGTGCTGCTCCTAAGAAGGGAGCCGCCCCTAAGAAAGGCGCTGCTGCTCCTAAGAAAGGTGCTGCTCCTAAGAAGGGAGCCGCCCCTAAGAAAGGCGCTGCTGCTCCTAAGAAAGGAGCCGCAGTAAAGAAGGCACCAGCTGCTAAGAAAGCACCGGCTGCTAAGAAGGCACCGGCTGCTAAGAAGGCACCGGCTGCTAAGAAGGCACCGGCTGCTAAGAAGGCACCGGCTGCTAAGAAGGCACCGGCTGCTAAGAAAGCACCAGCTGGTAAGAAGGGAAAATAGAACAGACTGGTAGTAATGTTTTCAAGTTCTAGTAAATAAGCTCTGTATAAGTATTAGATAAGAGATGTAATTCAAGATGTTCCTAAACAATAAATATATTTAGTGATTTTCCAATTAGGGGGGTTAAGTAAACTTATTACTATAACCTAGAGCTCTAAGGTATAGCTATTGGGCCCGGGCAGAGATAAATTTAATAAGAATTCTTCCAATAGGAGTGCTATTTGAAGATGAAGAGAAGAGGCTAACATAAACGACCGGGAAATACTCAAGGCAGAGCTAAGTTGTCCTTGACCTGCCTTAGCAATAAGCTATCCAACGAAAGTGTTTGCCTGCACAGACGACTTTAGTTATCACAATCGCTTCAAGTGCCTGGATAAGAAGTCTTCCTGAAATTATAACTCAGCTGTGAACTTTCTGATGTCTTTTTGATGGGATTGGGCGTTTTTAGGTAACATTGTCTCGGACTCTCGGACTGTTGCTCGCGGTGAAGCCGCTGGCAGCGGTTCGGCGTCACGCACAGGAGGCAATTCCAGATGACATACACAGATCGACACGAGCATAGATCAGTGAACTACTGGGGCGACTTTTTATTTTGTTTATTCATCTAGGTCGAATCAATCGTTTACGTTCAGTGGATTGCATGTACGGGGAAAAGGATGCATGGAGTCTATAGGCGGTATTGGGCCGAATTGGAAACGCCACATATTTACACCATTTCCACTCTAACCGACCATGAATCCAGCCCGAAAGAACATTCCACTCACCGATTATGGTTTACTGCTGACCTCGGACAATATGGTGGGCCGACGAGTGACAAAAGAAGGGTGCGTGCCATCGGCCTTTCAAGGTTACAGACTTTGGAGCCCCGCGATGGATGCGAGCGAACCTTTGAACTGGAATGCAATCCCATACCGCAAGCATCCGGCCGTGGCTATGACCTATATCCCCCTTACCGCCGGCCCTCCGGATACGCGGGAACTTGTCTTTTCTTAATTTCATGAGCAATGTCGTAGTTCCAGCAGATTTGGATCTACGTCGCCTCGTACACTTTCCAACCGTCCCTGAAGTCGATCGATATTAGTCGAACATACGACGCCGATATAAATGATGGTGGATTGGCAGCCACCGCCTGATTCCGCGGGCCATTACCTTACAAGACTTAATATTGGGCTGATCGTGATCACTTCGGTCTTCGTCATCACACGATTATGTATACGATTCTTCATGGTTCGATCCCCAGGATGGGATGACTTGATGGCAACCATCGCATGGGTATGTTGACCTAATCAAGCCTTAATATCAACTATAGTGACTCATCTTGCTTCTAGACTGGAGTTGTTGCGATCTCATGTCAGGGGATCCTCGGTAAGCTGCCATAGTTGTATGTGTTTCCAATTTATCCAACTAATGTCTCCGTTTTGTAGCTGTCAAGCAGGGCTTAGGCACGCACATAGACCAAATCCCTCCGAATGCGCTGGATGAGCTGTACAAGGTATCTATAAACCTGGCCCGATATCGACATTGCAGCAGCGAAGAAGCTTACCCGCTAGCTAGACTCTACTCACGTTTCAACTGGTGTTTTTTGCGTCCGTTGGATTTGTCCGATTCTCCATCATCGCTAGCTACTTGAAGCTGAGCTACGAGAGTTCGTCCTTCCCCAAGCTGTGGAATTTTGTTTTGATGCTATGATTGTTGCTGATAAATGATGTTTTAGGATGGTTTCGCTTCGGATTGTACATTCTAGCCTTCCTTACCTTCGCCATCACCATGATCGCCTTTTTCTTCTTGCTCACCGAGTGCAAGTATATACCGTACGTATGAAATGTTTCCCTTGGATCGGAGACTAGCAAGGCTGACTGACCCGGCCCCGTGGCCATCTAGTGATCAATGGGATCTCACGAACCCGAATCGACAGTGTATACCAAAATCAGAAGAGGCAAAAATGTTCTACGCGAATGTGTTCACTATCGTCGCTATCGACATTGGCCTTCTCGCTCTGCCAATCTGGCTGGTCTGGTCCACAATGAAGTTTTCGGGCAAGAGGTTTCAGGTAATCCTCGTTTTCTCTGTCGGAATCTTTGCCGTTATCGCTGGCATTGTTCACATGATCCTGATTGTGACTACCGATTTTGCGGTGGACACGTACGTATTTCCCCTCAAAATCATCCCTTCCTTAATCACTATTATCTGCTCTTCATTCAATTCGCTTGAAGTCAGTCATCTAACGAGGTGGATTCTTTGTAGATCATACAAACTCATTTTCGTCTGTCCCTGGTCTGCTCTTCAAGGTCACGTCGGCGTCTGGACGTCCTGTTTCCCAGCCTTCCAGCCTCTCTTCCGCTTGGTCAAGGAGAAGTACTGGGGCACCAAGAACACCGTGCCAGTCCAACACTTGAACACGATCAGTGAGGTTGATCTAAGAGATTCCTCTCTCAGCACAACACAAAACGGAAGTACATTGTCGGACAGCCTCCAGAGTGGCAACTCAATTTGCAAAGGCCGGGAAGTTTGTTGAAGTGTCAATAGTACGAGATGGGATGGTTGGAGTTCTCTGTGGTCTCTTATGCTAAGCTGAAATTGTAGCATCGCGAATGGAGGTAGCAAAGGTTGGATAAATCGGAATAAATTGATAAATCAAGGATAAAAGTATTCAATAAACATTACGATGTATCTAGTCTAGTTAACAAATAACCTGGCGTCGAGCTTGGTAATAAATGAGAGAAGAGTGATCTCGATTTTAATATAATGATGGAATCGACTGCTTAGTCACACCTCCGTCTGCTGAATACCACTCCCCTAATGTTACTTGCCAGCGATGATTTTTTGAAACCGAAGGGCTGTTGACACCTTGATTTCGAGACATTGACGAACGGGGGTGACCGAGTTAGCGCCGGGATGAGTCTAGACATCCAAACTCTTAATTACAATTCATATTGAAGATAGATGTCTATTTGCGTAGAACGATGGTATTCCTAGATAGTAGCTTGAAGGACATGTATCAGGGTCATCTCATGAATATTGTCTCATCAAAAGCACCATCATCGCATACATCTCGCTTCCTCCCGTAGATCACGAATATTGACGGATCAATCCCACGCCTTGAAGCCCAATGATAACCTTTTATATGATCGCAATGCCCCCCGCTGCTCCTTGCCAGATTCAAATTTATGCCGACTCAGGCAGAGAGATGGCTCGCTTGAATGATTGAGATTCATTGGCCTGCCACTTGCGTCCCGCGGGTTTGTCCCTTCGGACGATAGAATTTTGAACGCTCCGAATTTCTATAAGCCTCCATTTCAGATGATCTCCGCTGGCTTACTGACGCCTAGTTCCCCCCTCTACGATTCATGGTTTTAGTTGCGGTGCCCTGGGTGGTCAATTTGCTTGCTTATGCTGGCCACGCATCTTGGTTTCTGTGCTGATGCAACTCCGGGAAATTCAACCAAGCGAAAACTCCCCTCCAGGGATTGGACCTATGCAGGAGCATACATTTCTTTTCATTACTTTGTTCTATGGCATACTAAAAAGACTCTCATTACCTTTCTAGCTGATCAGTCTAGCATTTCGCACATGGAAGGACGCACATTCCTCGATCGCGTGAACGCCTCAGGCATCCTCCCTTCTGCTTGCTTGCTGCCTCAGGCTGCCGCATTCTCCTTCTTCATTCTGCTCTCCTCGTACTCTGGCAAACTTCACTTTTCTCTCATTCATCACACTTTGTTGGTTTCTTCCGACAGTGATCGATCACCCTTCTCTGCATCCGATCGCTATCCCCCCTCGAACGACCATGACATCCAGCCAAGACGAGCCCGAACAGCCAAAGCTGTACCTTCCCACCCTCGTCCTCCACCGCATATGCGAATTTCTTTGTGACCATTGCGAGCCGCAGCAGCTACGAGATGGTACACACTCCGCCGCTGCTTGCCGTCAAGGCAAAATGACCCTGAAAAATCTCTGCCAGGTCTCCAAAACACTACGATTCGTTGCCGAACCCGTACTTTATCATTACTGGAAGGGTACCTTTGCACCCGACACGCTAGGTACCGACAAGCTAGGTGCCGACATGTTCGCCGTGTCCTCGATAGGCTTTATATCCAGGCTCCATGCCCGCCCTCATCTCTGGAGATACGTCAGAGCCTTGAATATCAGGGACAGTGCACGGGACGAATATTCCTACGGTCCGTCCTTTCCATTTGGCGACAATCTCGAGTATGAAAACAATCCAATAATCACCGGGAAGGCCGTTTCGAGAGTCAAACGCATTGCAGCCTCTGCCGGCATCAAGTGTTCTAGCTCTGACTTCAGCGCGCAAAATTTTGCGGAAAGCATTGCTCAAATCATGCTCGCCATGGCCCCTCGCCTAAATGAACTCACTCTCATTGCGGCGAGAAGCTGGGATTTCCGCCTCTTGTCATCCTAGGCCGCTGATAAGAACGAAATCAATGCTCTGCCCAATCTACTCTCCAGTGTTTCCAAACTCGAACTTGACCTTGCGCCCCGTCGATGCATATGCATGGATTGTAGCCATTATGATGCTGATATCGACGACGCCTGGTTCGAGCGCCGTGCTGAGAGGCTCCTTGTCGGAGCCACCGCATCTCATTTGAAGAGTTTGATCTGCACCTCTGGATGTCTGAAAGAGGACTTTGACATGCCTCAACTGGACTCATTGAGAGTTGATATTCGACACTCTTGGCCCAACGAGGAAGCCTTCCTAAACAATATGAAGTGCCTACGCCGACTTGCTTTCCAGTCCTCCTGTCCCGAAAGCTTTAGGTTTCCGCTCAAGTCGAGTACAACAATCGAAGAATTGAGTATCGGATTCGGCAGGGAAGCTCGGCAACTGGATGCATTTGATGGCCTTCAGTTCGATGAGGCAATTTTCTTTTGCATACCACATTTGAAGTACTTTACTAATCTCAAGTGGCTGTCCGTTCATGTTGAAGCGATTTGCTGGTTCGAGGACGACCTCGACGACGAGACCAAGGCTGAGGATGAAATTGAAATCTTTATTTCTTTACTCCCCGACAGTCTGGAAATACTTCATATCGACATGACTGACGAGAGAGGAGACCCCGAAACCATATTCGAATCGATCTTGGTGGCCTTAAGCGCTAGAAAACTCAAGAAGTTGAAGGCAATCCTGTGGTCTCCTGAAGAGATTGCTTGGCTCGACGGCAACTTCCGTATTGTTAGGCCTGAGACCAATCCTGACGGTCAACCTGGATGGTCCATAGTCACAAAAGAGAGCCAAAAGAAATTGGGTCGATCGGAAAACGCATTCTTTCCCAACTGGGAACGTGTCTTGGCCAAATAAATGGTGGGAGGAAATCAGTAAAGGTTTCATCCAGAAACCACCCGGTACGGAATAAGTCAACGGGTGTTGAGGGCGGAGAGACTTTTTATGAAACTTCGGAGCTGAAATGTTTCTGTTCATCGAAATTAGCCTTACTGACGAGATGGTTGTGGTAATATTGTGGATTTCTATTTTCGTGGACGATTACTTGAGGATTAAATGATATAAACTAAATGTCTTTAATGACTTGGGTTTATATTCTTGTTTTCTCTCTCAATCTTTGTCCTTTCACTTTTAGCTTCTAATGAGCTTTAATACATCGTTTCAATTTGTATTTTTAATTTCATGCTTTTGAGCTTCAGCGGCTTCATTTCACTATTTGGGTGCTCATCCAACGCTTACGCAGATATGTCATCCTACGAGAGCTGGCCGCTACTATTAAAATATTTCAAAGTACCGGTCAGAATCATACTCGAGAAGAGCTGCAGGGCTGTGCAAGTCCACTGTAAATTCCTTTAGTTCTGTTGCCCATCCACATCGTCGCAGAATTTCCCGCTGGGCTCCTTTGTTCAGGACATGTAGCCGATCTCGTATCGCCACTGGCTATTTGGTCACCTGTTTCTTCATCCGTCATGCATGCTCCGGGCGCACTAGACAGAAGATGGGGCATCTCACGATTACCCATCACGACGAGCCGGGTGATACGCTTCTCGCTAAGCTGCCCGGGCACCTCGGACAGAACATAGATAGATCTGTATTTATGATGAACTCTAATGGGAGCATACCCAGTAAACTTTCGAATGGATGGGGCCTGACTCATCAATGCGACCTAGTCATCCTTTACCCATACACCCTCGAGCGCTTCCATAGCAATCATGGATCATGATCTCAGTCACCATCTTCTCCAATAAGCAGACGCAGGCTTCACTCATTGCATAAAAGGTGAGTGGTGTCTTTGGGAATGGCTCTCTTCCTGTCACATACCTACGTATCATTATATGCTCGGTAAAGATATTTTGGGTTGCCAACACAAAATGAGCCTTACCGACAATTACAGACTAGTTTATCACCGGAGTTGATCATACGCGAATGACATTGGATCTTATCCAGATTCCTGCCTAAATAGTCTGGAAGTAGTATAGGTAGAATGCTTCTGTGCATGGTCAGTCAGAATTGATATGTTCACTTAAGTCCTTAGCTTAGATGGTCAGAATCGATTTATATTGATAGTAATACTGACGCATCCTAAACAGAAACAGCCCGATCTGGTTTCCCATATTAAAGGGTGATCGAGTTTGATAATGAGATCTTACCTATATTCTTTTTGTAGCCTTGCGTTTGGTTTATTCCGATCGGTATAGAAAGAAATCCCTTTTTTTTTAGACGAAAAAGTGCTTGCCCTACTTGGGGGGCCTAATGTATATGAATCATCCGCTGTGGAGGTTTTGGCTCATCTCCTTCAAACATTTCTCCCTGCATGATTCCCTGTACATAACATTGCCCAACGAAATCATAGTGCTCAGTCAGAGTCTCACCCGGCGTTTTTGGTCTCACAACAAATGGCACTTCGCCGAGACTGAATACCCAGACTTCATCACCAGGCTTCGTATCTAAATGCCCGATGCCCATCAAACCCTTTTCTGTTACGAAGAACCTCTGGTTCCTTGCCATTCCGGAGATGCTGATATTCCGGAATTCTTCTGAACCAGTCTCGATGAACCTTGTTACCTTATCCAAATCTTCATCGGTGGCCTCCCGCTCGACCTGCCACTCAGTATTTCGGATGGTCTCTCCAATAACAAGTTTGTTGAACGTTCTGAGAGCTTTTAAGATCGTTGATATGGAAGTTGATGACGGATTTGGCTTGGAAGATTCAAGATCCCGGATGTAAAGCTCTATCCAGCCCCTGAGCAATGAAACAGGAGGCTCCCCCCCTTCATCCTCTGTGAAATATAATCCATCGCCGATCAACTTGACTCTATCAACAAAACTCCCGCTGAGACCCAGAGTATTGTCCTCAGAGTTGTGTTCAACGGGAACCGTCGCTAACCCGTCGTTCGCATGGCAGTAACTATAGCCCCAATAGTTGTACCAGTGAAAAATTGTATGGTTGGGCCATGACTTCATGTCAAGCGCCCATCGTGGTAATCCCGGCGTGGCTATCTCACGCTCCAGACGTGGGTCGAACCCGAGAATAATTAGCCCGAACTTGTTGATGAGGTCCACAGTGAACTCGGAATAGAGACGGACGACACTGAGGCTGTAGTCGCACTTCTCGATTCGTGGAAATTCCCCTGGCGGGTGCAGACCGGTCAGTGCATATATGTTGTCTAAGGGGTCCGTCGCTTTTCGGCTGCGCCATCTTATTACCGACTTGAAGAAATCATCGTCGCCACCTTTCGCTATTCGGATCCAGATGATTCTTGCCATGAAGTGGCCCAAATCGCCTTCTTCAATAGCAACATCCAAGTATTCACCATCAAGCCAATCCCAGAAAGTGCCCTCAACCCATGCTTTGGATACATTCACCAAAGTATCCCAGGTTATTTGCAAAGGACCCCAGATAAAAACTTTGTCGGAGGGAAGGATGCTTTCTTGAACTGTCCATACTCGATGCCACCATGGACATTCTTGAATAGAAATACTTCTCAGGGCCTTCATAGCTGACAGGAAGGTAGGCATCGACCCAAGGCGCAACCGAATCTGCTCAGAATCTTGGGTGGCCGGGCCTAAGCTTGACGCCATATCTTCGAGAAAGGAGAAGGCCCTAACGGCGTCGGGCATTTCAAATGATGGCTCTACTTCTCCCAACCAAACCAGGCAGCGTGTGCAGTTGGAGTAGATGGATCGCATCTTCTGCACCTGGGCCGCTTTCTCTTTCAGATCATCTTGATTAATGCACAGCTGGTCGATCCACAGTGATCTGCTTTTATCAGAAAAACGAAGCCGGCAAAGAGCAGTGTGCAGCGTCTTGGTAATCTGTATTGATCGTCCAGACACTTCGATCGTGGCCTGGTTCAGATGGTTACCCCAGACGTAGGAGAGTGCCTCATAGGTTATTTCACGCGACTCCAGCTCTACGCGCGATTTACACTTGATGGGGGCACCCTCTTCTCCAGGAAGAAGTTCGATGATCCTGATTTCATTGTCGGCGAGTTGGTCCATCTCGGCGTCTTGAAAGATTGGAAGATGCAAGAAATCGGGTGCAAGATGATTGCGGTTTGATGTGTTTTATTAGGCTCATGACAATGGCCTTATGAGCCCAAACCCCGCCGTTTTGCTTTCATCGCCAGGGTTTTGCCCCATTTCTCTGACAGCAGCCATTCACATCCACGTCGGGTAATCATTCCATGCATGAATCGGGGGCCGAAGGATTCGCTGACGAAATGCTATCCTTGTTAGGGTAGAATTTCTTCTTCAAGGCATATGTTTCGCTTTGTTAATACTTGTCTAATATTTATTAACGGATTGTCCCTTCGAGCGAGGGGCGTATTGGCCACACCATATAGCCGTGACTGAAAGTAAGGCCAGGGACAAAGTTAGAGCAAGGAGCTAGATGGTGAAGCCTTCGATTCAGCGCTGGGGCTGTATCTTAAGAAAATAGTTAGATTATTGGAAGAGTTTCCCCTTCAACCAACGGAGCGGACTACATATGCTCAAAAATAAGCAGACTTTAACATCATAAAATATTTGGGGCAAACAAATATCAGTAGAGATGCTTGTAGGTGGTATCCTACAAGGCTCTTCCAGTTTATGCCTGCCAGCACCCTCAATCGCCGTTGACTACCTTAATACAAACTTTGCCAACATGGCCCATCGACTCCAAATATTCAAATGCATCCTTTGCCTCCTCCAGTTTGAAGATTCGATCGTCAATCACAGGCTTGATACCCTTGCTATCAATGAAACGATTCATCTCCTTGAACTGAACTTGAGGACCAACGATTGCGATGCGGATGGTGCAGAAGCGAAAGAAGATATCCAACAAAACCGGCTGTTCAGCAGGGCTCACTCCACCTCGCAAGCCAACAACTGAGATAAGTCCATCTAGCTTCACGGCACTCAAAGACTGACACGAATCAGCGCTCTATCAGTGGTTAAAACAGTTTGATCATGCGTCCGCTTACCTGTTTGAGCGTCGCACCGCCGCCGATTTCGATCACTACATCGACGCCTTCTCCCCCAGGGGTAAGTGCTTTGGCACGATCACCCCATTCAGGGACTTCTTTATAATTGATGACATGGTCTGCCCCGATTTCTCGAAGTCTCTCAGCTTTCTCAGTGGATGAAGTAGTTGCAATGACATTGGCGCCCATTGCTTTAGCAAACTGCCGAGTGGTGTCAGCCTTGTTTCGGGTCACTTCTGGGGCGGGGTCTTACCAATATCACAAATGTGCTTACACCTCCAGTACCCTGGGTGAGAACCCATTGCCCCGGGAGAAGGGGACGACCTTGGATACCATTTATGGCGTTCCAAGCCGCGAGACCGGCAACAGGCAACGTGCTCCCTTCAATGAAGCTCAGATTTTGTGGAATAGATATCAAATGCTGCTCCGGGACTACAGCATATTCTTGGAGGACGCCATGCAAGGCATTTCCGAGAAGGCGGTCGATATTGGACTGCTTGAGTGGGCCAGATTCCCAGGGACTCATTACTGTTGCAACTTTATCCCCGGGTTGAAAGCTTGTGACATCTGATCCGATACTTATGACGACTCCGGACCCGTCTGAAACAGGCACAACGCCTTTGAAAGCATGTTGGTAGTGCCCCTTGATTTGTTAGCGGGATATAGGCAGGTGGGTAGATGGAATATACTCTAAGAGTTCCGACATCGTGATAATTCAACGAAATAGCGTGAACTGGGATATTTTAATTAGCTAAGAGTCAGACACATTAAGAAATACGAACCTTTGATGAGAACATCGTGATTGCCCAATGGAGGGATGTCAGCTTCTTTGAACTCCAACCCTGAAGGGCCATCGAACCGCTCGACGACCCATTGCTTCGTTTTTTCGGGGAGTGACATGATTGTCTTCTGTACCTTATTCTCTGTGATGGATTTTGAAGCGAAAATTCTCAAGGCTTCCTTTAAAGCGCCGTATTCTTATACTTTTGGGTCTGATATACTTCGACATATGAATTTCGGTTCGCCTCATGCCTCTTCTGGTGATAACATCACGGCACTCGTTGATTGGCCACACTAGATGAAGCTAATGCAACCTGCTTAGATGCGGAGCAGTTTGTGCTTACGAGATTGGCTCAGAGTACTGACGGGCTGGATACCCCGGCAAGTCGTCAGCACCAAACCTCAGCAAGTTGCATGAGGCCAGGAATCCAAGTTTCTTTCCTGCTTGGTCCTCAAACCTGAGAACTCGCTCATATTGCCTTCCAAGATCTGGCCAGTATGGCAGCTTGCCCTAACGATAAGACCATAGCTCCTCCCATAGTGCTGAGTGATATGATTCAGCGCCGAGAGATCCGGACTGTCGCCGAAGATTGGACCGGCACAACCGACAGCGCCAGGAGGCGCAAGCTACAAAATCGCCTCAACCAGAGGGCCTACGGTTAGTCCTGTCTTCTTTTGTCGCCAAGTTTAGGCCACAACTTTGCTGATGGCTCGTAGAAAGGAGAAAAACATCTCTAAGAAAGGCTAAAGTTTCAAATCCACAACCCGGAAGCCAATCAAAACCTCAATGGTGTCGAGTTACAGACGGCACAGTGACACTAGAAATCCTCTCTAGCTCTCCCATACTGCAGAGGCTTGAGGCTGCGAATCGCCGAAAAGGTGCAGCTCGCTGCGCATTGCTCCAGCCCGGTGTTCTTGGCGAACTCGTCCAGTTTGTTCAAAAAGCGTACGAGGACTACATCTTGGGCCACCCACAACCCTGGCACCTGTCTACTATCATACAGGTCAACATACTCAACGCCCTTATTCGAAATGGGTTGACTCTAGGTGTGTCTGGCCACTGGCAGCGAGAGAGGTCTATGTCACTATTTTCGAGGGAGAATTCAGGCCGGCTAATGCCTGACTCCTGTCCACCCAGCCTTCAGCCAACCAGTCTACAGTTAACAGTGCCTCATTGCGCGTGGATCGACCTCTTCCCATTCCCCCAAATGAGGGACAACATCCTACGCGAGTATAGTCGAGTGGATACAGATGAGCTCTGCGCCGATCTGCTCGATATTAGACCGGGTCTAGAGGGCAAGGCGAACTTGATCGTGTGGGGAGATGCTGCAGACCCCAGGGGCTGGGAGGCGAGTAGCTACTTTTTGCGAAAATGGGGTTGGATGCTTTGGGGATGCGGCGAGGTTTTGGATGCGACGAATTACTGGCGGCAGAGGCGAGGTGAGGATCAGTTGGTATTCTGAATCCATTGAAGAGCAAAGCAGAGATAAAAGACGACGATAACGGTAGTCCCGGATGCCCTATCTTAGCCCTTAAAGCAGTTGACAACGCAGTACATTTTTCTTTTCCTTTCTTTGCTATTACACGGACAAGATTTGTTTGAGCGAAAGCATGTCTGTTTGTTGGTGGCATAAGATAGAAGGCTTGTCTTAAGCCCGGCATAAGTGTATGATGCAGAAAACGAACCCAAAAGTATCCAGAAAATCTTTCATTCTTTTGTCCCGTTATGACTAGGAAGATTTACCACTAGAAACACTGATATTCCAAGTTAACATGGGCATAGGAGGCACTCCCATGGGCATAAATATTATTTTTGGGGATCCGGTTTGCGAATTTGATGCCCTTATTAGTAACATTTCCGCCTTGATCATGAGTCATAGATGAGACCCTTCTTTGTCTAGAGACATTGCCGACTACATGGGTCGCGACATTTAGTATGATACAAATGAACTTCACTCTGGCGGATTCCGCAACCGCATGAACTCCGCTGATCGATTCTCCGCTGACCCAATGTCCGCCATAAAAATATCAAGTGATATCTCCCATTATACTAGGCTTTCGGACAATTGAAAAGTGCGGAGGCTGGCTTATCCGTGTTCAGGTTCTTGGGCAACAGACAAATTCCATAGCGGTATCACCATTCGAGCAGGCTTTCGGGCATTTGAAAAATGCGAGGGTCGATGTAATTGATCAGCGCTTTAGAGCTCAATACCAAGGATCAAGTTGTTATAAGTCGCATCTGCCAGCTATTGTTCAATGTCAGAAACACCCTCAGCTCCAGATCAGCGCTCCGCTTGACTGTATATACTTCTATCACTTCGGTTTCCTATTGTATTCGAGAGGCAATATCCAAGAAGCTTCCTGGCTCTTAAGACCTAGCACGAAGTTCATCCCTTTCTAATAACTGGCGGATTTTTTGGGGCAATATGTTCCCGAGGTACTTCGCATTGTCGCTGGCATTCCTACCGGCGGCTTATGGCCTGAAGGTCGCCTATAGCCAAGACTTGCCTCAAGGAGCTGGAATCGAAAATCTCGCACTGCGGCCTTGTGGGAACGCCTTGCTTACTGATAACTCTGGGGCACACATATATGAGGTAGAGCCCGTGGCAGGAAGCGCGCCAAAACTTCTACACTCCTTCAACGGGACGCATGGCGCAAGTGGCATCACCGAGTCCTCAAATCCCGATGAGTTTTTTGTCGTGACAGGACATTACAGTTTTGAACTCCAATCGCCTATCCCGGGGTCATATGCAATTCATCGCCTGTCCTTTGACAACCGTGGCCAGCCGGTTGTAAAACAGCTCTCTCCTCTTGGTGTTGCTCAGCCAAACGGATTACTACACGTGCCACATACTTCCGATGTTCTTATCGCCGACTCCTACGCTGGCTACATCTGGAAATTCAATACCGTCACGCTTGCATTGACCTTGTACTTTGATCACCCGATGCTTAAGCCTCAGGCCGTCAGTGGGCTCATTTTTGGTGTCAACGGTATCAAATTCTCTCAAGAATACTTGTACTTCAGCAACACCAACCTCGGGTCGATTTACCGTATGCGCGCTACGGGCAGAGAAGATCAACTTCATGGTATCCCTGAGCTTGTGGCTCAAGGAACTCCCGCAGACGATTTCATAATTGACGACAATGGGGACATATACCTTGCCCAGCAGCTGCCTGCGAATAGCCTCGGCTACCTAAGCCGAAGTAGATTTGGTATGATGCCTGAGACAATCGTTGGCGGCCCGGAGAGCAATGCTGTGGCTGGTTGTACGGCTGTTGCTAGGGCCAAACCATCCTTCGAGCAGACACAGAAGCTTGGGCGAACTCTCCTTGTGCCGGTAAATGGAAATCTTACAGCAATTTTGAACGGAGATACTACGCAGAGGGCTAAGCTTGGGATAGTCTACCTGGACCAGAATTGACCAGCTCATGATAAATACTTAGATAAATGCTTTAGTTTGCTTATTTAGGAGGAGGTAGGCGAAGTAAACATCCGTTAGGCGAACCCAGCCTTCCTAAAACCTCGTATAATAGATAAAAAACAGAATTTAGTTTTACTTAAAAAAGTATTAATTCTGGAAGAAGTAGTTTAGAAATAGTATAAGTTTGCTTTTTAAGAGCTCCTACTAACTTGTTTTCTTTTCATTTACTTTAATTCTTGCTAGAAAGAGTTATAATCTTTAGGTATTTCTATAGCTAAAGAAAAATAGAATATCTTAATTAAGATAAATTACTAAATATATTCTGATTTATATTTATATAGCTATGATAGCTATTCATCAATGTATTTATCTAGTTATGCTAAATTCCGAGCTGTTGCAATATATGTAGCTACATAGCAAAATACAGTAAATACTAAGGCTAGGGTGCTCGGGATCATGATCTACATTGTATGATTAGCGGTCTTCGTATCTCCATAGGTAAAGAACTCCTCAACTCACCTCTAGGCTTTGGCTAGTGAGTATGAAGGACTTCCATAACTGCAGAAGCAAACCAATGGCAACCAAAGACGTACTCAAATTGAGCAGCATCAAGGGCATCTGCCAAATAAGCACTTGAAACTTCTTGGGCTCCCGAACCTGTTGTACATTCAGAAACCCCAATGACTCATATATCCTATCAATGCCGCTATCGGTACAACCAAGTCGCTGTAGCGTGGTGCTCTGCATTGTAGCCAAGTTAATTGCCGTCAGAACAAGAATAAGGGCCCCGAACCAAATGCCTTTGACCTCCGGATAAAGGCTGCCGACAGTCTCCGTGCTCCAGCTAAAGGCGGCTGCAATAACTCCGGCCACGAGGGCGCTCTAATTTCTCAGTCTCGGAGTTATATTCCTGTAGTAGTGGGTAGGAACGGTCTACCCGCGGACTTACACTGATTCCAACGTTGGTTAATTCGGCCAGCTTTCCCTCTCTCCATGCCCGAGTTGCTGATCCTGGAGCAGATGGGTTGGTTTCCTGAATCAGCTGCCGGATGGGCTCCAGGGTCATGTTTGTTTGCCAGGGTAGAATTGACAGGTTGATGCTACCGCACCATCCGATGAGCCTGCTCCATGCCCGTGCGGGCCTTATTCGGTTTGGCCAAGCTAGCTTCATGGTCGAGTTTAGAAGGTAATGACAAGGGTCAACGGAATATGTGGCTCGTGAGTTGATCCGTAAGGATTCCACCACGGCCATAGATGCTACATCAGTACTTCTTATAAATTAAGTAATATATAGGGCATTTTGCTTGGGCTTTTTTCGAATGGGTAAAAAGTGTGCGTCAGAAGTAGGACTTTTGCTATTAGGTGAACGCCACAACTGAAATATGCAGTTTCTTACTCAGACTTGGTCCTTGGCTCCCATAAAATTTAAGTCTAGTTTCAGAAGAATGCCATATTGGATCCATCATAGCCAATTAATGCCATCTACCCAAGCTTGCTTGGACCAGCTGGCCACGTAACTTGGTTAGTGTCAGAATGACAGGTCAGGCACACTGGTGTCAGCTCATCACAACATGCCGAAATTTGCGTCTACGGGAGTGGTGACTGAGGCCGATCACAACCTAAAAGGTATATATATGCAGCTCAGCCGCACAATTGTGAAAGTAGCTGATGAAGGAGGGCAATCATGCGCCGATTCCTGAATCCGGGCGGTGTATAAGAACCCAGGCCGTATTGTTTCTGGCTTAGGTTCAGATTTAATTGATGACTGCCTTGTACGATTCAGTTACTTGAAAGTTGACATTTTCACCACTTGCGTAGCTCGAGGAAGGCTACATTTTCAGCAACGATGCCGGCCCGGAAGATACAACCTAGTGATCAGGCACGACATGATCCACGGCCAGAAGCCATTTCGACGTACGCAGCCATGCTGCATTTAACGTTATGTATCCTGATGTACACCCCTGATAAATTACTTAGCTTTGGATCTCTCCAAGCCCACTTCTTCGATTTCTATCTCCCCATTGCAATCTCTGTCGGATTGGTCCTCTATGACGGCGAGTTTCGCTTCTATCATTCTTGGTCAAGTGCGCAGGTACAAAAGACACATGAGTGTAATACCTACCTTGAGTGCTATCTACCACTTGTCATTCCGTCGTCATTTTTCCGGGCAATTTCTCTTGAATTCCTAGCCTGCTGCATGATCTTCCTCCTCTCTACGCTGAAATACGCGTCAGATTTTGCACTGACCATCACTGCTTTGGGTCTTGTCGCTTTGGGATGGGTATCACTCTTTGCTCCCAATCTCGGGGCCTTTGGACAGCACCATAAAGGTGGGCAGTGCATAGTTCTAGCACGATTCTTACCTCAATACCAGCACAAACGAAGCAGCGCACCTAACCAACGTGTCATACCACATCTCATCGCTACTCTCATCGTATATTCATTGATTTGCCTTATGACATTCCCCATCGGGTATTGTTTAATATATACTCCTGGATCAGGTGTATACGCGCAAGTTATCGTTCTCAACATATTACTGCTCTCCTCAAGATTCATCAACATAATCCTGAGATACTTTTTGATGACGCAATCAGCCGGTTGCGGGGATACACTGCGCAAACATGCGAGAATCCCTCAGGGCGATGTCAGGCCAAGTACGCACAAAACAATAGATATCTTGGTCGTCCCTCTGGCAAGTGCTCAAGGCTCCAAGACATTTCTAGGACCGCTTGCCTCATACGTCCCGTTTCTTCGATCCGCTTACAGCAACGTAACGCATTGGGCTTTACGCGTGGATGGCGAGTGCTTCGAGCTTGACAACCAAAGGACCTTTCGGCAACCTTTCGGGAAGTCATACTATTTACAGCAGCCCTACTCGGTCTGGCGGCAGGGTAAAAATGAGCAGGCCAGACCTGTTGGCGTGACCTCACTTGAAGTCCACCAAATCGAGACAATCGGTAAGTAAGTGTGAGGCGAGGAAATCGAGATGATACACAAAATCTAATCCCAGCTTCTTAGCGCGAATGAGCATGCAATTTTTTGACAACAATTACAATACGAGAGCCAACAATTGCCAGCACTATGTCCTGAAACTACTACACAGCATCGCCGACATATCCATTGACGAAGAGGCTACTAAACACCGGACCTTTACTTCAACGTCTTTATACACTTCTACTCTCACCAACATTGTACAGTACCAGCTCATATACTCAGTTTGGCGAGCCGGGTGGTCGTTCCCTTCACAGTCGGTTGGATCACCGCAAAGAAACTTGCCTGGTCTAGGTCTTATATCAACGATGCCCCTTTTGCTTTCAAAAGTGTGGATAGGAACTACGGAACTCAAAAGCCCCTTCCAGCTATGGCCTATAGATGTCCTAAACGCAATATGCTTTATCCGGTTCCAGTACAGTTGGTGGAAATGTCTTGGATATGATGGCACCAACGCCGATCCTACCTTTCCCTTTGGCAAAAACTGGATTTTGGCCCAACTTTTGATATGCTGGTTGTTCATGAAGCAGGGAGGAAGCCCCCATCAGGACTCACAGCTGAGTTTGCTGTATCCCATCTCTGAACGTTTGATCATCGCGCGTTGGAGCTGGGAACACCTTCTGATCACATTTTGTGTCATGGCTTCTATTCTGCATACTGCTTTAGCCACTTTCCATGACGTCCATTTGGACGCTTACACGCAGATAGTCTTGATGTGGGGTTGTCCGTTCATCCTATTTTTTAGATGAGTAGGAAGGATACAGTCCTTCGATCATGATTCCTCTTAGCCGCCATAGACAGATGTTATCGGTATTAAGACCAGTTAATTATTTGCTGTCACAGATCAGGCCAATCAGGCAAAAGGATATCCTTTGCCTAACTTCCACGAGTTGCCCTTGTATAGCGTCTGTCATATTTGCTAATTCGTTCGTATTAAATAGAAATTCTAAATTTCTAATGTTGCTCGAGCCAATCTTATTAATGTAGTATACCATCTAATGTGTTGTGATACTGGGTATGGTGTCAAGTTGTTGAATTCTTGGTATTTGGGAATCCCCCCCCTTTTTTTCTACCAGCAGCTGCCACATGACTATATAGCTCTCTCGTTTAGTATTGTATTATACCATCATCCTCAAGATGTATTAAAACCAACAACTTTATGACTGATATAGCACAGCACAAGTCCAGAAAATGGGACCCAAAATTGGAAAAGTCGGAGCGAGCTCGATTATTGCTAGGTACTTATGGGTCCGATCTTCTACTACGTAAAACCGAGGGAACTCCACGGGAAGGGTCATATCCGACCACAGGCGGAGGACTTCTATACTTTCTTACATCGTGCTAACCACTGCCGGGCACTGTGGAGTCTACCCTTGCCCGGCATTTCATTGCCAGGATAAAAGTGGCCACCTTGCTCTCGTCATCCGGCGTTGATCAAAAGTTTCAGGTTGTCTAGTGGAGCTTCGAGCCCAAGACAAATAAGCCAAGAATGGAAAGAACTCGATATCCAGCTATCCAGAGTGGGCACGGCATGTATCTACCGCCAATTAAGGGAAGAACTGTGTACTGACATCGGCGACTACATGGATCATGATGCAGATCTTGCCCGGCCGAAGCCTCAAAGAGGAGGAGGCAAGGGACTAGACCAAGGCTGTCTTCAACTTCATTCACTATCGCCTCCCCAAATTGTGGGGAGCCGGGGAATCTAAAACCGCCGACCGGCTGACCATAACGATCATGCCTCTGGACTCCCGTAACGCTCATCTTCTGATTGGGCTGTTCAATCGCCGGCGATTTCCAAAGGAAGAGTCCAGAATCCACTAAGAAACTTACCGCTTATTCAAACACAGTCATTTCTCCAGATCATAACGAGAATGGATTGATTGAGACATGTTTTCTCCCGTCTGATTTCATCTCAGCGGTCAAAATGGGGACTGGGCATTGTCCAGGCGATCATCTCACCCTGCTAAAAGAGAGGTCAGTGCCCACTACCTCTCTTAGTTCAAGTTAAAGGAGGGGTTCGTTAGACGCGACGTCCCGACTCCCGAGTCCCTAGCACAGAATAAGAAGTTTACAAGCATGGGTTTCATGTCCAACGGCGGAGTTGTGAAATCGCCGGCTGTCTCGGCTGTGGCGTCTCTTAAAACATCCCAGCGTCGGTAGGTATCAAGACTCCGAAATTCGTGGTCTTTATAAGGCCCTGTCCGCACAACCTCTTGAGCTTAAATCTGCTTTCGGGAAACTTTTCACTTTAGACTAGATTAGCCTGGCCACGATGGATCTTTCAAAACTCACCAAGAAGACCCTCAAGGTCTCGCGGGGACACACCTACACCTACTACACCTCCCCTGCCCGAGGTGCAAAGCCCACCCTCATCCTCTTCCACGGCTGGCCGGACTCAGCACTTCTCTGGGCCGGCCTCATCAACGACTACCTCGTCCCCAATGGCTACGGCGTGGTCGCTCTGGACTGCCTCGGGGCCGGGGAAACATCGAGGCCCACTGACCCCAAAGAGTACGCGTGGCCCAAGATGGCAGGGGATGCCGCTGAGATTCTCGATGCCGAGTCGCTGACCAAGGTCATCTCCCTCGGCCACGACTGGGGAAGCGCCCTGTGCCAGCGCTTCTACAACTATCATCCTTCCCGCGTGAGCGGTCTGGTGATGCTCAACGTGGCGTACATGCCGCCGACGGGGCAGTTCAACCTGGACCAGGCAAACAAGGCCGCAAAGGCGGCGTTTGGGGCGGGCCTCCTCGAGTACTGGTACTTCTTCACGGCAGAGGACGCCCCCGAGATCATGGCCAAAAACCTCAACTCGGTTTATAGCGTTGCCTTTGGTGACCCCATGTCGTGGATCCAGAACTGGTGCTCGCCGGGCGGGATGCGCGACTTTGTCAGTAACGGTCGAACGCAGCCGGTGTCCTCCTATGCTACGGACGAGCACAAGAGGGACTTTGAGAACCGCTTCAAGCCGGAAAAGGGAGGTTTTGCGTCTTCACTCTGCTGGTACAAAGCCGCCACGGAGGGGGTTCAAAGTGAAGCGGAGAAGTCAATTCCGGACGAGGCAAAAATTGTCAACGTCCCGGCGTTTTTCTGGGGTGGAGAAGACGATCAAGTCTGTAGGCCCGTCGCATTGCAGGGGGGCATTGCTGCTGGACTGCTTCCCAACGTGAAGAGTGTGGTGAGGCCCGGTGGTCACTGGGCGCTTCTTGAAAGGCCAGCGGAGCTTGGCGAGGACCTGGTCTCGTGGCTTAAGGAAACATATAAGCCCTCTCATAATCTGTGAATGATTTCTCTATCAAAGACGTTTAGCTCAAGCAGGGGCAGAGAGCTATCGAGTCTAGGTAACCTAGGAATAAGGTATACTGAGATAGTCTAAGTTGAGCAAAGACTACGAATCGTATGTCAACATCTGCCATCAGCAGCAGATACCATCTCTCAGTATTCAGTAGCCATTTCGGGCTTACTAGCCTCCCGTCACTCACTTTATTGCCTACTTGCTGTCTGGTTTCTCAATTGTGTGACTTTACGGAGTAGGGTGAGCCATCGCATCGGAGCTTTATCGGTGCTTGAGCTGGCCAAAAATGGGAAGATAAGACCCTGTCCCACTGGCGAAAATGGTAGCGCGGTGCCCCAACCGCTCCGAATCATCGCTCCGATCCGGCCCAAGACGTCGCATTTACTAACCTTTCTCGATTCACAGATCACTTGTGGAGGTCTCTATCATTCTGAGAGCCTTTGAGAAGTTGCTAAACCATATTTACTCACACGACCTCCAGCCATGCTTTCCCGACTTGCGCTCAATGCTGCCAGGCCAGCGCGCAAGCTCTTGGCTGTGGCCCCTGCCAGGATGACCTCCCATGCCAGGTTCTTCTCCCAGAAGGCCATTCCTACTGGCACCACGGGCAGGAAAATGCCTGTTGACCCCCGTCGCGAAACAGCGGAGGCAAACAAGATACCCGCGACATTCACAATCCAGGTGTATTATGGGCGACGGACGATTACGACATGCTGGCCATTGGCTGACTAAATATAGGGAGGGCCCATCTTTCAAGGCACAGCGTTCGGCGCCAACGCAAACGTGAGCGGAGAAGCCGTCTTCACGACCTCGCTCGTGGGCTACCCGGAGAGCATGACCGATCCTTCCTACCGAGGCCAGACTCGTCTTCACCACTCCGCTCATCGGCAACTACGGTGTTCCATCGAACGAGCGGGATGAGTACGGCCTGCTGAAGTACTTCGAGTCCCCTCACATCCAGTGCGCGGGAGTGGTCGTGTCCGACATCGCCACCCAATATAGCCACTGGACGGCCGTCGAGAGCTTGAGCAAATGGTGTGCTCGCGAGGGCGTCCCGATCATCTCTGGCGTCGATACCCGGGCCATCGTCACCTTCCTGCGCGAGGAGGGCTCCTCCCTTGCCAGGACCTCCATGGGAGAAAGCTACGACCAGGATGAGGACGCTGGCTACACGGACCCCGAACAGCAGCATCTCGCCCGTACGTTAGCACGAAGGCCCCTTTTCTGGTGGAATCGGAGGGTGCATCTCTGCATATTGCCCTTATAGACTGTGGTGTCAAGGAGAACATTCTACGAAGTCTCGTCTCCCGAGGCACCTCCGTGACCGTGTTCCCCTATGATTTTCCGATCCATAAAGTTGCACAGCATTACGACGGCGTTTTCATCTCGAACGGCCCAGGAGATCCGTTTCATCTCACAACCACTGTTCAAAACGTGCGACAGCTTATGGATACATCCGACGTGCGGATCATGGGCGGTACGTTTGAACCCCCCTTTCCTCACCACCACCACAGCAAAAAAAACTAACAGACCAAGTATGCATGGGACATCAAGTCATAGCACTCGCTGCGGGCGCTCGAACCGTAAAACTACTACGGAAATAGGGCCCATAACATCCCAGCTTTAGATCTTACAACAGGTTCTGCGATCATCACCAGTCAGAATCATGGCTATGCCGCGGATTCGAGCAGTTTCCCCAGCGATTTCAGGCCATATTTTACCAACCTGAATGATGGCAGTAATGAGGGACTGATACACAAGGATCGACCCATCTTCTCTCTCCAGGTATGAGGAAGGTTTTGCCATTCAATGAAGAATGTATTCGCGCTGACACTCCTCAAGTTTCACCCAGAAGCCAAGGGAGGACCTCAAGACTCTTCCTATTTATTCGACAATTACATCCAAGCCGTCCAGTCGTACAAGAACAGCCAGTCTGTTTACAAGGACAACCGCCCGTCGCAGCTCATGCTTGATATCCTTAGCAAGCAGCGCGTGGGCGCCGAGCCCTAGAGGCAGGCAGTCGGTGCATAGGTGAAAAGATAGAAGTTGGCTTGCAGAAAATGCCCGATACTGGATTCAAGGCCGTAGTATACTTCCACAAAACTATTAGCAAAACAATAGTATGATAACTATGTCTGCCACAAGCATCTGAAAGAACATTACACTGAACTCACAAGATGGAATTTTTATCTAAATCGGTATATGTAGCGGTACACGTAGCTTTTTATTGGTTCATATAGCAGTCTGCACGGGATGATTAGAGGCTAGTTCCCATCTCCTCAGGATGGATTAGTCTAACATGCATGATGATCAGCACTAACATCTCAGCTCGACTCGATTTTCATGGCCCGTGCAGATCGGTCAGATCAGGCAGCATGGGCAAGGCTAAATCTCAAATGTGCTCAAGGTGCCGCGCTCCCCTTCTCTTCAACTTGGCAAGAATAACAATACATTACAACGGGCCATTCGAGGTCTTCGAAACGCCTCAGCGCTCTGCTAGCCTGTCATTACCCAATACGCAATTCGCCAGGTTCATCAAGCAGAGTTCAACAATGTCTTACCAGTATGCGCCGCTACCGCCAGCCAACAAGTCGTGGTTTCGTCGCACCCGCTACTTCACCCGGATGTTGAGAGTTTCCCCGGGCTCAGGGGACGACCCGCTACGCGGAACACTGGACATTATTGACATCGCATCTGAAGAATCTCCATATGAAGCTTTATCGTACGCATGGGGGACCGAAGCTGCGAGCAAGATGTTCTATCTGGATGGCTGTCGGATGCCAATCCGCCCAAATCTCAACGACGCGCTCATTTGGCTCCGCCACCCAAAGGAGGTGCGCAGCATCTGGGTCGATGCCATCTGCATCAACCAGGATGATGTCGACGAGCGTACACGGCAGGTGGGCTACATGCGTCGTGTCTATGAACATGCATCACGCGCCATTGTCTGGGTCGGCCTGCGCACTCCTGGTGTTGAAGACGCATTTCGACTCGCCGAGGCACTTGGGGCTTCAACCTTCGAAAGCCTTCAGCCTGCCGGCGACGAGAACAAGGAGGAAGGAGAACGGAGTGAGTCAGTCCCGGACGATCTTGACACCAGTCTGCCGCATCTCGTCGCCCTTGCGCAGAGACCTTATTTTGAACGGACATGGGGCATACAGGAAGTGGTGGTCGCCAAGGATGTGGTCCTCAAATGTGAGGACTTGGAGATCAACTTTGACCATCTCCTGGGGTCGTGGAATCACATAGCGGCCAACGTCGAGGGCGAGCTGGGACCAAACAATTCGATTTTCAGCATGTGGATGGCCATGTTGGCTACACGCAAAGCCACAGCAGGGACGTTGAAGCCTCTCGTGCCCAAAACCATAGGTCCTTTGTCCCTCACATTGGACTTGTCACGCCCATACTTATCTACAGATCCCCGCGACAAGATCTTCTCCGTCCTCGGCATCTGTTGGGAGGGCGTGCGTCCTGGCCATCAACAATTCTTTGCCTTGGATTATATTGACAATTGGGGGTTTGCTCGCCCTTTGGTGTTAATTCTATCCGTGCCAGTAAAATTGGCCATGCTTCTGTACTCGCCCAGTCGTCTGCAGATGCCAAAAGAGCTGCAGCCAGACTACCAGAAGACAACAGCCGAAGTATATACAACCTTTGCTCGATTTCTCATTGAACACCAAGCCGGGCACCTCGGCATTCTGAATAACGTTTCCCATACCGAAGATCCAGAAGATGGCGAATACCCGTCGTGGGTGCCCAAATGGTTTGAACCGAAAAGAGAAATCAATATGGCGGAAGACTTCAGGATGGGATACTACCGAGCATTTTCGTCAATGGCGACGACTCGTGGCGCCAGCTTTTCCAAGAATTCTGAGCAACCACACATACTTTCTCTTGATGGCTATACCTTTGACGTCGTCGATGCAGTCGCAGATGTGTTCAGATTCAAGAGCGAGGAGTTTGATGATACCTTCGGGGGTATCGTTGGTGCTTGGCACGAGCTATTTGATTCCTCATTCGTTCCACGCTCAGGTGAGACCTACTATGACGGTCAGCCCCTCGATGTCGCTTTTCTGAAGGCAATATCAGTCTGGCCTAAAGGAGACGCAGACTCAGACATTACGCAAAAAAATGCCGTCGGTTTCAACCACAGGATTCTGAATGGTCATTTCAACATGGAGAACCGCGCCGAAGATAAGAAGGGATTCAACGCCGAGATTTACATGTGGTACATGGCTATCATAATTCGCGAGATCGAGATTCGAGAAGAATGCGGTATCGCCTCCGACCAGGATGAAGATGATGACGAGATGGGACAGAGCGCTGGATCCAAAACCAGTTCCATTGCAGCTGATGAGCCTACACAGGCGGATCCCGTTCCTATACCCGATGGCTCAGCATCTAGACCTAGTTCAGAGGCTGTGTCTAATACAGATGATGATCCTATGGAATCAATAGGACCTTCCAATGAGAGCCCCTCTGCAGAGCAAAGATCACATCCATTTCTACAGCTGTCAGGACTGGAAAAGGCAAGGGCAATGGAAGTCGAGCCATACACATTTGAATATGAAGACATTGACTGGGACGATCTCGAAAACCTATCTGAGGCTTATCCCAAAGGGCTTTACCAGACAGCACACAACCGGTGTGCATTTACCACTTCGGACGGGTTCATAGGACTTGGTCCATCAACAATGAAGTCCGGGGACCAAGTCGTGGTTCTCTTTGGCAGCGAGCTCCCGTCTATTTTGCGGCCAAGGCCCCAAGGAGGCTTTTATTTAATTGGCCAGGCTTATATTCTGCACGAGGAACTACGATCAGGCTCAGTGACACAGTCTGTCGCAAGTGGGAATGGGAGGTTTCCTCGCAACACATATGATATTTACTGAATCGAGCCACTTGAGTACTCTGCTCGATGTTGTTAGAGATTAGTGATCATATTCACAGGTTGAGAATCAACAGGGGATGACACTTGCCCCCTCACTTTTCTGGTGACGGGATGAATCGATCAGCGAGAGCAGATGCGAAAAAAAGAGAGTGAGCTCTCGAGATGTTGAACCACAGGGCACAACACCAACCTATTATTGAAGGGTCAACAACTCATCGCTTGTTATTAGCTACGCCATTCACTGCGACAGTAGCCATTGATTTTCCCAACACAAGGCGATAGAGCGTCGAAACAAGGTGATGAAGCGTTTGATGCGCGTCTCCAGGCATCGAGGGTTTTCTCGAATCAGGCTACATGTACTTTCGCTGGAAATATCATGGACGATTGTGAAGCTTTTCCAAGCTGAGCCTCCAGGTGCAGTAGTTTCTTTGATTGAGCACCTCTTTACCTGTTGAGATAGTATAAGACCTTCTTAATTGCCCTCATGACCTTTTACGTCCAGGCGTGTTCCCGTTCGGTCAATAAAATCTTTCGTCTTTGGGCAAACTAATAACTGAACCGATGACACAAATGCCAATAAATGCAATTTTACTTGAGGAGTTGCAGCCTCAATTGAACAAGCGCGCCAGGGCATAGACAGTCTGAACCTGACAACCTGCTCGAGAACATTCTCGCGGACCGCAAACCCTCCAACCGGGAGGCCGTCGACCCATATTATAGAGACGTTTAAATTAGAGCCGGGAGGGAGCGCGATCCTTGATGCAAATAGGAATTGGGAATCAGGTGGCTAGTGGGAAATATTGAACAGCTGCATTCTCGCCAATGCTCCCAAACAGGAACAAACTGGGGATTATACGGTCATGCTTATGTTAATGTTCAACGTCCCCCGGCCTAAAATCGCCATGTGGCTACTTACCTGCCGTTTCCGCAGCTCCCAATGTAACGTCGGATGCGCGAGACAAGAGAACTCGGATCCTTCGAGCCTTGAGTCGCCGCCGCTTCGGGAATATTCATCTTACAGCCTTCCTGAACCGTTCTCCCGCACCTGAAAATATCGATATTTCTAAAATTGGGTTCGGTAAAGTCGCCAGCAAAGCCCACGTGCGGCAGACGGATGAATGTGACACCACTTCGTCTCCGAGAAACCGAACATGAGGCCCGCTCTCATTTCGTCGTGCGTTGTTGAAATAGCAACGGCCGTGCAAGAAGAACGAGGTTTTGTATTTTCTCTTTTTTTCTCACTGGATTTTTCTCTTCTTTACGGATATCTCATTCTTTTCCAGTCACTCACGCTCATTAATAAATAATTAACCATGAAGTACACCACCGCCATTCTCTCCCTCTGCTCCCTGGCCTCGCTGGCCACAGCCCTCCCCGCCGCCATCGACTTCTGCCCGAGCCCCGAGGCCAACACCGACCAGCTCCTCTTCGGGGAGACGCTCTCCTCCTTCTCCGACCACAGGGAGTTCAAGGTCCCCGCCGACCTGGACTGGACCAGCGACGGCTGCGCCTTTGGGCTGGGCAACCCCCTCGGGTTTCCCTTCGAGCCTGCCTGCCAGCGCCGTGACTTTGGCTACCGAAACTACAGGACGCAGAAGCGCTTCACCCGTAGTGCCAAGACCAAGATTGACACCTTGTTCCAGACAGAGTGAGTTTCTCCCCATCTAATAGGTCCCAGCACTTCCCTTTAGAACCTACCAGGGATAGAGCGCAGCAAGGGGACTAAAAGATACGATTGGCCAAGAAACGACCGATTTGCTGACAATTTTCAATCTCAGTCTTCACTCTCAATGCAAATCCACCCGTCTCCCCATCATCTGCAACGCTCTCGCCGAAGTCTTCTACGCCTTCGCCAGAGCCTTCACCGGCCTTGACGCCACGATTGGCAAGCGAGACGAGGAGATCACGGACACTGATGAACTCATCAAGCTTTATGAGGAGAAGCTTGCCGAGTATAACAAACTGATCGAGGAGGCCAAGGAGAGCGGGGAGATCACAATCGCCGTGTAAGGAACGTTGAGGTTCTATCACACCGACGGGTTAATTCTATATGTATTTATTAATCATTATGTGTATATAGCAGTACTTAATATAATGTTTTAGATATATTCGACATCTTTCAGAAAATATATAGTATTTATCGCTGAGTATCTGAAGCTACTGGGATACTGCTATAATTAAGTATATATTATTATAGAGTATTACTAAAGTCCCTATAGTAAGTTTACGATTAAAATTATTATTATTTATTTAGATATAAATAGATCTAATTAACTACCTAACTAAAGAACTATCCTCTATATTATAAACAAGTAACCAACCACCTGGAATATCGACACGCTTTAATGCTTTACCAATCAACTCCCACTCGGATATTGCCTGACGACGCTGATCGCTGACAAAAGCGAGTCCCGCTCATCGGAAATATTGAAAAGCGAGACTCTTTATTCCGCGCTGATGTCAAGATGTGCTTTTCGCCTTTCCGTCGCCCTTCGGGGGATTCGGAGATAGATAGCAAGAGAACTGACAATAGCCGAGAACTTTTGATTGAATTAACCAGGGTGGCGTCTGACGTTGATATGCCGACAGTAGCATTCATAGTTGTCTTATCACTCCTATATTCATTTTACGAATCTATGCAGGAAAAATGCGTATTTGGACCAAATATGCGTTATTATATCTTACAGTACTTGCCTAAGACAGCCATTAGTAGCGTGGTGTAGTTTTCGAAGTTTCCGAATTATCTGAAAGGTTCGAGGGTACTCTTGGAGGTAGCATTGAGCAATAATTTGAAGATGGAACTGAACTTTACTCGAGCTTTCCTATACTGCATGAATGTCTAGGGTGTAAGAGATTATTGAATACAGAACAATAGTCTACTGGTAATCACTTTATGAACTCGCAAAGAGGTGTGATTTTGCAGTGTCTATAGAGAACTAGGTACACATCTTGATGCAGGCACCGACCACAGTTGAGATGTACCAGTGATAATTCAGGTATATCTCATCAAACACCCTACCGCCAGAACTGGCTGCCATAGCCAGTGCCGAAACCACGCTGCATATCAGCATAAGTAGGCACAGCATAATTAACACCAGGAGAAACTTGCCCCTCAAGAACAGGGAGTGGCGTATCCCTTAGAATGCGTTGCAACCTGTCGGCACTTTTAGCAAACTCCCTTCGCACGCGTGGATAATTCTGCGCAGTCAGGCGCCCGTCCCACTTCACAAACTCGCCATCGATGGTCACATGAAGGATGTCCCCAATGCTGGCATGCATCATGACAGCCGCCACTGGGTCATTCCAGCCCATAAAAGCGGGAGAGTTCTCCGCGTCCCATATAACCAAGTCTGCCTTTGCCCCGACGCGAATGGTTCCCTCCGAACTAAAGGTCGTCCCTCTCAAATTTGGGCTTGGAGTGAGCTCCATTTATCCCGATGGGAGTGAACATCCACCTGAAGCTGCCAGCAATGCATGTATGAAAGCTGCCAACAACACCGGGACTTCAGAGTTCATATACGATACTTAGGGTTTAAGATGACTTATAGTGTTAGTCCATATTATATTATGGTCGTAGATGGAAGGTACGGAAGATATATGCCTTATATACATTACCTAGGAAGAAGGGTTAGCTTGGCAGACGAATGAAACGAGGCTCCAAGTTTAAGCATCAACCTAGCGAAGATCGTAGTTGCCCAGGTTCGGGCATTCTCATTCCCAGGATTCGTGTGTTCCTGGGGACTTTTCTATTTGGTTTCTGGGAGTTATCCATTCGAAGAGCTGTATTGCCTAAATTTCTTCGCTACCAGGATTAATTATCCCCAATTATATACACCAATCTGCTCTACCTACGACCCCACTCTCGACACAGCCCTTCAATCCACGTTCTGTCCAAAACGAGTCGAGGCAATGGAGAGTTTTCATGCGAGATTCGATATTGTGCTGGTATCCGTAGATGCTCATCAGGCACCCTGCTACAGCTGATACCGCCGAGCCCTGCTCAACAGTCGATCATTTGCACTTGCATTTCTTGCCCACCTGGGATTTATCGCAGCGGCATTTCGGGGTGACGCCGTAGAGAGCGCATCTATATCCGCCGTGAAGACGGTAATATACGCATTTCATATCGCGCCACTAACCTATTATGAATAAAGAAGAAAACAGAATCTAAGAGTCACTTACACGAGTCTCTAGGTCCCTGGCAGCCCGGTATTCCTCATGGAAACCTTCAACCATCTCACGGCGCTCGAGGGCAGCTTCGTCAGCATACTCGTCAGCATACTGGGCAGCAGCAAAAGTGAAGAAGAGGGTGAAGAGGGAAATTATCTTGGTGAAATGCATTTTAGAAAAAAAGAGATACGTATCATGAAAGGTTTTTTTTATATATATGAATTAATGCGAAGAAGAAAGAATACATACAGAAGAAGTTGTAGCGTAATTTATAAGTTGCTTCATATACAGCAAGGGTTATATCGTATGTAAGCGGATTTCTAATATAGACTTCTTACTACTGCCTGTACTAGAATCATGTACTTTCCAAATAGAGGCAGTTTGCAATGCCGCTTTGTCATTATCATTGAAAAAATCTGCCGAGCATCCCAGGCCCCTAACAGCTGGAAATAAGCCCTAGCATGGTTTTCAAACACTTTCCTTTCTAAGTAATACCAGGAGGATTTAAATTAACATTAAGTTGCTGGGCTAAATAAGGGGTAGAGCCGCTGCCTAACCAACCATGTGCGGCTGACCTCTTATGTTGCCAGTTAATCATGCAGATCGCCTGATGTGAAAGAGGCGGACCTAGTATTGGTGTTAGAGTAGCCTGATCTCAGAAGAAATTATTATTCTTTACTCTGATATAAATAGATCTGAATAAATAAAGAACTATTCTCCATATCACAAACAAGCGACCAACCACCTGGAATATCAACACGCTACGCTACTCGCAGGGCCAAACAAAACACCAGTCGAGGCTTCATCGTGCAAATGACAAGGCCACCACGAGCGCAGAATGGGAGCCCCTACGCCGAACCTCAAATCTTGACCTCCTCACCCTTCTTCTCCTCCTCGATGATGGGCTTCTTGAAGTCCTCCTCGTACGTCATGAAGGCGTCGTCGTTGATCCCGCGATGCCTCCACCAAAAGATAATGGTCTGAACAAGGAGGGCGATGCCGGGGGCGGCCCAGGCCCAGATCAGATGGGGGTCGATGAGGGACGGGAGGAGGATCTGGGCAAAGGCGCTGCTGAGGGCCACCATGAAGAGGAAGATGGCGATGACCGTCGCGCGCATGTGCTCCGGGGCGCGGGAGTAGGCGAGCTCGTAGGAGGTGACGTTGACGAAGATTTCGGAGGCGGCGCCCAGGATGACGTTGGGCAGCTGCCACCAGATGCTGATTGGTGATACGTCGTCACAAGTACTGGCCTCATAGCCGCTGTTTACACTGTAGTTAGCATCGCAGGAGCATATATGGACTAAAGGTAGGTCTACTCACCATGGGCTGGTCTCGTATACGCGCCACTGGACAAGGGCACCAACCAAAGCTGATATAATAGCCAGGGAGAAACCGAAGGTCATTCGCGAGATACGGCCGAACTTGATTCCCCGTGCCGCGAGGAAAGGATAACCAATATGAGCCATGAAAGGGGAAACGACAAGAATGGTCAGAGGGTTGAAGTTGTTGAGAAGATCATTGGGGGCTCCCTCGCTAGTCATGGCAGCGCCCTGGTTGCTCTGGATGCTACCAACACCACCATCATTCATGTACCAGATGGGAATGTACAAGAAGATCTGCACGGCTTGCCAGGTTCGCTTGGCATCATCGACATCCTTCTCTGAGTATGGAGCGATGTGACCTGTCTGGGCCAACGTAGAAGGAGAGATATCCTCCCAAAAGGTCCTGGAAAACAGATTGCCCTTGGATTTCTTGAGTGCCGCAACGGTGATCTTGGTGAATCGGTTCAGGTCTGATCCTTGAGGGGCAACACGGATTGTTCTCTTATAGGTAACAGCCAGCAGGAGCGGCAGCAGGAAGTAGACGATACCGGGCACGAGGAACGCAAGCCAGAAGCTGTGGTACTTCTCGATATAGACGACAGCGATGGAGAAGAACGCGCCAACGTTGACGAACGCATAGAAGATGAGCATGATATGGCTCACCGTGGTCTCGGGGTCGACGAGGACCTTCTCGCCCGACTTGAGCACCTTGGTGTACTCACGCTGGTGCTTGTACTGGTCGAGGACAGTGGGCGGTACATTAGGCTTGAAGATACCGGCTCCAAATGCCAAGAGAAAGAAGGAGATCAAGAAGGGAGCCACTCCCTTTCCTGCCTGCAAGACAGCCGGCGCGGCGCCTCCCACCATGATAACGTGGGCGACGGCTCCGATGATGACACCAAGGAGAATAGCCTTGTAGCGACCGATCTTGGTGTCTGCAATCCAGGCTCCGAAGATGGGAATGACATACGCCAGGAACGTGAAGAGCAGACCGAGTGCCGACGAGGCCTGCAGCCCCATGTTGAGGGCTCCCGCATGCGAGTTGGGCTTGCTCTTGTCAATCGCACCGGTGCCGGGACCGCCCTCCGGGAGAGGGAACTGGAGATAGTTGTTGAACACGGCCTTGACGCCGTAGTACGAGGCTCTCTCCGCCATCTCCACGAAGCAGAGCGTCCACGAGATCCAGGGGATCGAGTCGGCGACCTTGCGCAGCGTCTTGCGCTCGTTGTCAGTCGGGACAGGGTACAGCTCGCTGTCGGTGTCGGGAACATTGCCGGCCTCGAGGGACGCAGGGCTAGATTCCACATCGCCGCTCAGACCGACGGACGCGACATGGTGAGCCTTTTCTTCGATGCCAGACTCGACGACGGGCTCGACGACCTTGGCCGTGGTGAGGCCGACCGCGTTTTCAGCTGCGAGGGAGAGAACAGTCAGAACAGGAAGGGCATAGACCTCTCTCGTATTGATTTACCTACCCATGATTGATAGAAAAAGGTTGAATGATGATGGCCGGTGAGACGAAGCTCCTCCTCCATAAACTCTCTTTTTTCTTCTGGGCAAGTGAGACACGACACGCAACGGCCGGCTTTGGCTAGGGCCAGGCCACCATTATATGAACATGATCGCCACCGCGTCCGGTTGCGTGAAGGGGCAAAATGGTGCAATTGTGTAGCATGTCTTCCATCGGATGCATGTCAACTCTTTGGTAGCAACACGGATCGCCCAGCCGGGGGAGCAATGCATGCGACGGCGATTACGAGCGTAACAATGGGTGTCGCGCCATAGGCCCAATCTCGTACTTTGCCATCGGATGGCCCTTCCACCTGCCTGATACGGCCCTTCACTTCCTGATCTGGTCTTTGAATCGAAGACTTTTTGCGATTGTCTATTCTAGAAACCCGTGACTTTTTTGGCTGCCATGGATGACCTTCCCGGCGCCGAAAGGGGCTGAACCGAGCGAGTATGGCAGATTGCCTATGGCGCAATCCCCAGGATTTTCACCGTGCTACGTGGACTTTTGCAACCCACCCATCGCGTCCAGTCGGGATAGAGATACGCACCTGCAATAGTTCCTGGTCGGCAAAAACGTGCCGAAGGTGTGCATGTTGGCGATAATTGTTTGCAAGTTGACAACCATCAGCCGCAGAATATTGACACATCTTTTCCAGCCCCCACGCGACTTTTGCTTCCATACAGTCTTGGCTGGATGAGCGAATCTGGCCTAAAATTCTAAAATTTTACTCTCTTCGGTCCTATATCCACCCAGCGGTCGGGTTGTGGGCGGGTTGGCATATCAAGGGAGGCAATGCTGCCTCGAATATGCAGGGAGGGCGGGGATGAAAGATGATAACGGATCAAGATCATACGATGGAGCAACATCACTAGTGCGATAGATCACGAATAGAACTAGATGGGAGGAATTGAGAGTAAAACTGATTTGTATTGATACTAGTTTAATCTGTTTGTGTAGTGCTCAGCAAAGAAACCAGGCCACCTTGGCCTCCCACAACTGACTGTGTACAACTGTCTCCATGAACCCCGGATAACAACAAAACTGGGTCTCAATTAGGGTCGTAACTACTGAATCCCGCAGAGCTGTAAGAAAAGCATTCTCCTCCCCCAAGTTCTCTCATCCTAGGAACCCAGGAAGAAGACAGCGAACCATGCATGCACGGTCAGTCCTCAATGATCAGCCATCAATGGACCATGGAAATCTCAGACTTGGATCGGGCATTGCTGGGTCAGCTTGTTGCAATATTGCAGAATGACCTCGATACTCGGCGCGGTCAGGAACCTGAGGAGGCCCAATTGTTCAGCCACAGCTTTTCGGACGTCAGCTGATAGGCCGGAGATGGTGGTCAGGATGTCTTTCAAGTCGGCGGCGGTTTCGGCTGCAGCAGAGCAGCTTTCCAGAAAACATGTGAACACGTCGGAGTCTTCCTCGCATGCCAAACTGGGCAAGCAAATCGCACCCTTGCCCGTGCTGCTGCCAAACGCAGCTAAGAGGGCAGCGTTGATCGCTTCGAGTTCCGTCTCGATGGCAGCAGCAGTCTGGGATTCATTGTCGACATTAGAGGCCGCCGCCGCTGCATCTGATGAAGGCATTAGCAACTCAATGTGATGGGATGCTAGCAAGGGGGGTGGAGTATGGAGACATACCAATCTTGACCCTGGAGGCATAGACAGTGTCTTCGAGCTTGGAAAGGCCGTCAAAAAGCTTGCACAATGTGTTGTCCTCGTCGCGAGTTTGAATGGCAGGGGTAGGGGTGGCCAAAGCCAGCGAGGCCCAGACGAGAACGGCGGAGAACTTCATGGTTGAAGAAGAAAAGAAGACGGCGGATGGAAGAGAATGGAATTGTGCGATAGCTGTTCGAAGCGAGCAAGCGAATGATGGTGTGGAACAAAGTATTGATGCCAAAAGGCTGCGGTAGTCAAGATGATGATTTGATGTGAGCTATATGGATGAAGGAGAGAAGAGAAAGAAAAGAGAGAGAGGAAAAAAAATGGGCTGGTTATATTTGTGTACCTCTTGTTTACTTGTTTACATGTTTACTTGTTTACGCGGGCAAGATAAACTTTCATCGAGCAGGAAGAACGTACCTCACTCATCCCGCTTGAAACTGCCCATTGTGGAAGTGGCCATGTTCAATTGCTGAGGAAAGCATCGTTTGATGACGTGTTTGGCGACAGTCTGCAAGTTTTAGGTCTTCGCACCTTCCCTCGCTCACCTGGCTTCGAATCTACGAGAAGCAGCAGACATGCTCATACTCCTCAAGCAGATGGTTAATCGCCGTCGAAAACAGATGGCCAATTGTCGTCGAAAGGCATGTCAGCAAGCCTTAATACCCCTGCAGGACCCTTAATGTGACTGCAGACATATCCGATGGGCCAACAGCAAAATACACCTGGGAATCTTCCCAAAGTAGCACAAAGTAGACTGTGGCGTCAATCCCACATGCTCGAGGGAGGAGCCACGATTAACGCCACGTGATCTCGTACAGTAGATTCCTTCCAAATCGTGGTTACCGTAGCTCACATGGGCTGCATGGGGAAAGTGAGGCGACCGATCAACAGGGCCATTACAAAGGGGCAGTAGATAATGAGCAAGCAAGTCAAGTGCCCAGCTCAAAAACGGTAATTACCTACCCCAAACACGTTGTTCATCTGCAATTGCTTCTCATTGTTGTGATCAGAGGTGGAAAGAGGATTTGGGGCTTTGTCAGACACGCGCCTTATTGGTCCATTCAACTAGGCAGCCACGAACCCAAAAAACAAAGACAAACCAAAAAAAAAAAAAAAGAGAAGCTGGTCCCGGAATCGAACCAGGTGTGGTTACTTTCTATGGCCGTTTTAAAAACGCGAGAAAGCGCAGTGGCTCGTACGCCAAGTGCCTTGCATGTGGTATGGGAGAAAGCGCTGCTTCCTAGCGCAGGCTGCGTGATATGGGCGAGCACGAAATATCATCTCCAGCAAAAAAAAAGAAGAAAAAAAGAGGCAACTCTCCTTGGGAGCAGTGTCATCCTTGTGCAGGGACCATGCTAATCTTCTCTGTATCTTTTTAATTAGACCATATGAGCTTTGCGCTCGGAAACAGTACGTTGTTTTATCCATCATATACAAAGGCTACGTTAGGCATCTATCAGCCTGGGCCTGCCATTGGTCAGTGAGTGGAAGTCACAGGCAGCAGCAAGCAATCGCAGCCTCGCGCTCTGATTGGCTACTCTGATCAACACCAGAAATGTCTCAGAACCGCGCTCGCAAATCATCGCGAACAACCACGTTGCCGCTCTTCCCCGGGGCCTGGCGAAGCTTCCGTCGAAGAATCTTGCCCGACGGGCTCTTCGGTATCTCCTTCACAATCTCCACCTCCGCAATCCACTTGTGCCTCGCCGTCTTCGCCTTGGAAAAATCAATCAGCTCCTGCGCCGCACGCTCTGGCTCCGACACTGCAGACTCCGCCAACACGACAAACGCCTTTGGTCGCTCCCCTGCCCGCTCGTCCTGTATCCCGCACACCGCAGCGTCGTTGACAATCGGGTGTCCCAGCAGCAAATTCTCGAGCTCCGCCGGCGCGACGCCAATCCCCTTCACCTTGACCATCTCCTTCAGCCGATCCGTGATTGACAGGAGGCCCTCCTCGTCGAAGTGCCCCATGTCCCCCGTGTGCAGGAACCCGTCCTCGTCGTACGTCTCTGCCGTCGCCTTGGGATTATCCAGGTACCCCATGGTGATCTGCGGCCCGCGGGCCCAGATCTCGCCCGTCTCGCCCACGCCGCACTGCCTCCCCGTCTCCGGATCGACGACCTTGACCTCGGTCGAAGCGACCACGGCGCCGACCCTGTGAGCGTACTTGTAGTCGTATTTCTCCGGCGGGTGCGCGGTGATGCAAGAGCAGGACTCGGTCATGCCGTAGCCCTGTTTGAAGCCCGTGCCGGGGAACTGTCGCTGCAGTAGAGCCAGAACTTCCTGAGATAATGGCGCGGCGCCCGACGAGAAGCGCGTGACGTGTTTCAAGTTAAACTGTCCAACCAGCTCTGATGATCGAACTAGGCGAATGATGATGGGCGGAACCAGCAGCAATTCTTTGATTTTGTAGTCCTGCACAGCCTTGAGAAATCCTTCCATTGTAAACCTCGTCAGGACGTAGGTATTGGCATTCAGAAGCACAGGTAGGTGCAGTTGATGAACAATCCCCGTGATGTGGTAGAATGGAAGCGCCGCAAGGCCCTTGTCGTGCGACGCGGGTGTGATCTGCTGAATCTGGAGGCACTGCGCAATTACGTTTCCATGGGAGATCATCACAGCCTTGGGCAGACCCGTCGTCCCGCTGCTGAAGCCAAGGTAGGCGCAGACTTGACCGTTCGTCTTGCCAGCCGGTAGCTTGAACGGGCTGACCTGGCCGCCATCGCCATATTGCTGCCCGCGTCGTATCAGGTCCTCAAGGCTCGTCTTACCGGCCTTGGCGCTCGCCTCCAGCAGCAACACATGGTCGTGCGCAATTCCTGCGTTTGATGCTGCCGCGTAGGCTCTCTCCAGCCCTCCTTCGGTGGTGAAGATGAACTTGGCTTTGCTGAGCTTGAGGCTGTATGTGAGCTCATCGACGTTGTATTCGGGGGACACTCCGCAGGCCACGGCGCCGACGCGAGCGGCAGCGAGAACAGCTACTGGATACCAGATGGTATTCCGTGAGAATACAATGGCCACGTCCCCCTCTCTAAGGCCGTAGTCCTTGACCAATGCAGTTGAGACGTGCGTGGTGTGTGATTTGACATCACTGTAGCTAATATGCTCTCCGGTTATGGCATCTGTGAAGCCTCTGATATCCTGGCTGGGGACTCTAGCAAGCGGCGAATGGGGAGACGCGAAGAGCCAAGTCCACACGGGGAGGTCTTTGGGCACTGTAGGAACATTGTGGTCAGTTGTTGCTCTGATCATTGATGTCAGGTACGCCGTCACTTACGGTCAATATCTGGGCTGCTACTCTTAAACAACATTGCTGCGGTTGCTTACTTGGCACGCTTCACGCCGTAGGCAGTCGAGGCAACAGGTTTAATCCCTATAACCAAAAAGATACTCCTGGCAAATGGTATGGACTCTGACGGGTAATCAAAACAACCCCGCTCATTCGTATGCTTGTGTTTTATACTTCTTCTCCGCATTCTCCCCGCATCATACCTCGGGCTTGGATGCTGCGCAACGGATTGCATGGGGCAAGGATCTGCTTTCATCTGCGTGCTGCTGCCAAATTATGCAATTGGTATGTAACGCAATCACCGCTCCGACAATCGGAAACCATCGAATTCAAGGCATTCTCTCGTATTTGATCCCACAAGCGACTACAAAGTGCAACGACCAATTGTTGGTGACGTGATATAGGGTAGGCGGAGAGCAAAAACACGCGCTCATGGAAGGAGCTTTTTTGTCTGGCACGAACCCACCACTGGCGACGCGCATTCACAAAGATATGCAGCAATGAATCAGAAATTGTGAACTATGCAATCTCCCATCTCACCTTAATTAACAGGCACCCAATTCTCCTTGATGACATCAACAATGACCCCGTGATCCTGCTCCTGCTTCAGCCCGCTGACAACCACGACGGCCACGACCCCCTCCACGCCCTCGACCCGGATGGGCACCCCGCCGCCGTGGATCGCGTACTGCCCAGCCTGGTCGGGCCCCAGGCCGAACTTTGCGGCGAAGGCGGCCTCGTCGCCCGCGAACTTGCAGTGCAGGAGCCAGCTGCTGGAGCCGAAGCGCAGCACGGAGCGCCGCTTGCGCTGGACCCAGGTCTCGTTGTCGGGCTGGACGCCGGGCCCCGTCGTGGTCTGGAAGAGGACGAGGCCGCTGGCCAGCGCGATGGAGATGAGGGTCGGCTTGGTGGCGTGGAGGAGGCGCGCGTACAGGAGGTGGCCGAGCTCATGGGCGTCGGCGGTGGTGAAGGACGTGAGGGTGAAAGAGTCGCCTTCAGCGGTCAGGGCGTCGACCTGTAGATTCGTTAATGAGCTGGGAGGGGGCGTAGGCGGAAGCGAGACCTTCATACAGTGTCGGGCGGGGCTGTGATGTTGATCTCAGCTGGGCTGGAGGACTCGAGGGCGGCGAGACTGGCCTTGAGCCCTGTGCCGGTGGGAATGTTTCGGCGGAGCGTCTGGCGAGACATTGTGTGAAATTGCAGCTATGCTATCTGGGTGGTGAGGAGCGAGGGGTCGCGGGGAGAGACATTTTTGAATATCTCAAGATTTCCACTGCTGTTGCGACTGCGTAATATTAGTCATGACTGAAGCCATCAGCGATGGTTCAATGGGGAAAGGCGGGAGTGTCGCCGAGCGATGCCGAAGCTAGCCTCCACTGCTGTAGATGTTGGCGGAGACCTCCCACGAGACCCCTGCTGGTACCTAAGAGGAGCCTCTGGACGGACCCAATTACAGCAACTACAAGAACTCATATGTCAGTCTCCTTCGCTTGCTGCTAGTCCAACCTGGACTTTTAGAAGAGCTTCATCAATGGTCTTATAGCTGGCCTAATGTCACACAAACTTGACTGGACCGAAGGATATAACACGAAGCCCTTGGTTAAGAGGTTTAATAGCAACCAAGAGGGAGCCGTATGTCTTATGGAGGAAGATCTGACTTGACTCAACGTTGGCGCTTTCAATTGACTTTATATGAATTTTCTGCTACAGTATAATTGGCTACGGTGCTCTCAGAAATTACTGCGCAGCCTTGGCGGCGCCCTCGGGATCGTAAGCATTGCACTCGATCTCGATATGGCCCTCTGGGCTGCCAAGCGCAGGGACGCCCACGGCAGTCCACACAGGCTGGTGATCAGGCATGTACTTCTTGAAGTTCTCAACGCAAATCTCCAAAGCCTCGTCGGTCAGAGGCACATGGTAGGAGGTGACACGGAACACCTGAGACCATCCCTTGCCCCCAGCGGTCTTGAGATTGAGTTCGCAGTTGCGGAACGCCTCGTCGATCTCGTCCTTTAGGTTGGTGTGGATAACGCCCGTCTTGGGATGCCAACCGCCTAGCCCGCATGTCAGTCTAGCTATGTCTCAGTGATTATCATCGCAGGAGGGGCTTACCCTGGCCCGAGGTCTCGATGCGGTCGCCAACGCGAACGGCTTGAGTGTAGTAGTACTTGACTTTTCGCTCTTCGCAGTGTCCCTCCGGAACGTAGTACTTAAGGCTCGACATTGCGGATGTTCGGAAGTTTGAGTTGAGGGAGAGAAACGATGTCTTTACGATAGTTTCGATGAAGCTCCGGAGTGTTTTCTGAAGAATTGACCGTCTTGGTGTCTGAAAGATCCTGCTGTGAAGAGGAACACGACTGTTTTTTATAGACGACTTCGACGCCCCAAAACCACTGTTGGAACTTGAACACGGGCATTTACGATACTTTTCAATGGAGCTAATGCAAGTATGGCTCAGTCTGGGTCAGCATGGGTTACAAGCCCACCTTGGTGGGCCCTCATCACAGGCTTTCCAGGGGTTTTGGAGGTCGTGTCGCTTTGAACCTTCCGCAAAAAAAGTCTTCCCTTTGCCCCTCGTACCTTAGGTATCCAAAGATAGCACCGACACCCACGACGACTTCCAGAATCCCAACCGCGAACTCTTGACGGCCTCCCTTAGGAGGCTCAACCACGGTGCAATCATGCTCGCAGCATTCCGTTTTACCCGTCTCTACTGGGCCAGAAACTTCTGTGCGTTCTGGTGCTTTAGCCCCCTCGAGACATACGATTTGCAGTGCTCAACCCTGTCGAAATGATCACCTCACAAGCGAATTCTTCGATCCGCAAATAGTATTACCCGAAAGTGCAAGTACGGATACTTGCGACCGCGCCTCCTACTCGATACGTGGTCTTGGCGTTGACGATTTGGGCCCGGCCATTGACCATGACGTGGTTCATTCAAGTCTCTCTGAGGACGCATTCGAGTCCCATGTCTCCTCCACATCAGGCATAGGCTCATGTCAGTAACTCTGGAGCTAAATGCCATCACCTAGCAACTTGTGCTCACTATGAGATAGACCTACCAGTCGAGAACTGTGACACCTTCGGTCTCGATGCATTCGATCTATTGCCGCCGCAACGGCTCTCAGGCACTTCAGATACAAGAAGAGACACCCTCAGGAACATAGAATCTAGCGCCAATTATACGGTGTGCCCAGCTCCGGTAACTTGCCCACCTCCGTCTACGCTGCCTAACATACCAAAGCGCCAGGTGTCGCCTTCGACACGCAGCAGCGGCATCTCAGGCGTTGAGCAGCAAAGTGCACTGATGCGAAAAAGACAGCGAAACAATCTGGCTTCACGCCGGAGTCGACAGAAAAAGATTGAAAAGATTGCCGAGCTCGAAGCCATGCTTAACATGGCTTTGCAGGAACGCAACGATTTGCAATTGCAGCTTGCGGCAAGGGACGCAGAGATTGCAACTCTGCGAGCCACTTTTGGGCTGGACCAAATCTGGTCTGGCCCTCCACAGACTATGCAGCCAATGGAGGAGCACCCATTCAACAGTCTTGGTGTATAAGAGTGTACGAACAACATGACGGCGGTCGCGCTCCGACTGGGAAGCATGGGCTGCCCATGATGTGGTAGGGACTCTATAGCGAGTGGAGGAGTCTTGGTAGTTAAATCTAGGTCTAATCGCTTTCTTTGATGACCAAAATTAAAACGAGAGTAGTCACCTTCTTTCATATAGTTACAAAAAATCAAGATTTCTAAGTCATACTACTAAGAGAAGAATTCAGTAATTAAAGCGGCGATAAGTCGTTCTGAATGATTTCCGTCTGTGACGGTAGTCTTAATACTTTGAGGAAAAGCGAGAACACAAGAGTATTTCGACCATGGTCAGTAACATTTGTCACTGTTGTAAGATGCTCTCGTGGTATCATCCGCCCTTTCTATCATTGAGCTTTGCTGAAAGACCTATGTTGCCGCAGAATTAGTTGCTCGGCTTTCCGCGCCGATGGAGCAACTATTGACGCTCTCCTCCGATGATGACAGCGCCATAGTCTCAGCAAAGGAGGGGGTTCCGTGCTCCTAAGCCTTAAGCTAGGAAGTTAACTATTCATTATAACCGCTTTGTCTGTTCCATTTTGGGAAACCAATATCTCGCTCTCCCTCACAACCGAGCAACAAACAAGACCCAAACTCCTTAAGGCATTGCCAAGATGGTAAAGGTACTTCTCACTGGTAAACCGTGTCCCACTTGCATCTCCCGTCTTTTGTTGGTTCTTTGACTGACGTTCAATAGGTGGAAGCGGGTTCATTGCGGCTCACATTCTCAGGATTCTCCTCGAACGGGGGTAGGAGCCTAATGTGTTAGCATCTTTCTGCCTACCAACGCTGACATATGTTAGATACACCGTCATCACAACGGTGCGCTCGCAGGAAAAGGGCGACCAGATTATCAAAGCGCAACCCGAGTCGCCGAAGCCCAAACTTTCGTATGCAATAGTGGGCGATATTGCTCAACGGGACGCTTTCAATGCTGTGAGCCCCTCTTGACTAGCTTCCAATGGATGTACGAATAGCGAGTGATACTAATCGTAATACTGCACAAGGTTGTTCGATCTAATCCTGATCTCGACTATGTGATTCATACTGCATCACCGTTTCTGGCCAAGTTTGAGGACCCTGTTTTAGATGTTCTCGAACCGGCCATCAATGGAACCGTGGGCATTCTCAAGGCTATTGACGAGTATGCTCCCAGAGTAAAACGTGTGGTTATCACCTCTTCTTTTGCAGCTATCGTAAACACTGAATCGCCACCAAAAGTGTATGATGAAAGCTCATGGAATCCTGTTACATGGGAGGAGTCTTTTTCAGATAAATCTAAGACATATCGTGGAAGCAAGGTGAGTAAAGGCCTTTCTAATTTCCTTGAAGTATTGAAGTTTTCTGATCATCGCGTGGCCATGCAGACGTTTGCAGAAAAGGCCGCATGGGGATTTTTGGACAAAGAAAAGCCTTCATTCGATATCACCACTATTAACCCGCCACTTGTTTATGGTCCTATTGCTCATCACCTCGAGAATCTCGATCGGCTGAACACGTCAAATCTGAACATTCGAGATATTATCCAGGGCCAATACAAAGACAAGCCCCTGCCTCCCACGGGTACATTTCTTTTCACCGATGTCAGAGACCTTGCACTTGCGCACGTGAGAGCTATTGAGGTTCCTGAAGCTGGAGGGAAGCGTTTCTTCCTCGTTGCGGGACACTGCTCTCATAAGCAAATTGTCGACGGGCTTCGGAAGACTCATCCTGAGCTTTCGTCCCGGCTTCCAGAAAACCCGCGGGATGATTTCCCTTCCGATGTGTACGGTTATGACAATTTAAGAGCGAGGGAAATACTCGGGATTGAATTCAAACCGCTCCAAGAGTGTATTAAAGATACCGCCACTTCACTTCTTAATTTAGGTGCATGAGCAGATAGTTATATGCGACTAGGGTATAGACCATCTTGAATTTCCACACCATAATATCTCAATTGACGTTGAACATGGCTACTATATGACTTGGTAAATATTAGCTGCCGCTATAGCTGGTGCAAATGGCAATACACCACCACGTACAGATGATTCCCCACAAGTTACCTGGATGTTTCCACCGAGGCATGATCTTCGGGTGTCCTCGATTGCCGCATCATATCTCGCTTCGCGAATCAATAGATGTTGTACGACTAAGGAGAATAATCAATATCCGTATGAGAAGCCTTGGATAGGCTCGGAACACGGCTTCCATATTGATCGTATTTGACTACCCTGCCTCATATTGTAATCGCTGAATTCCGATGCTGAAAGTTAATTATTGGCCCACCTCTGGCTGGCTTATCGGAGGAGCCAAACGCGAGTCGCAAGTCATGTTTCATCGGCGTTCTCCGTCCGAGACTGTCCAAATCACGCGGTTCGCCGAACGCTTCTAAGTGAGGGGTGCGTCCCAAACTAGAAGCAACTCTCAACACCATCATTTATACAAGGTTTACATCACTATTTGCGATATTGGATTTTCGCTGGAATAGCAAATAATACGAAGCGCTTTCGTTCAAAGCATACATATTTCGCCATCACAATGTCTACATCAACTAACAAACATGTCGTCTTCGACGTTGTAGGTACGCAACATCTAATGATCTGCATTTATGCTCCTCACGCGATTTATCCTAACACGTTCCAGGAACGCTGGTTTCCTATGACGCCTTCTTTGAAGCCGTTGAGGCTAGACTAGGAGAGCGATTCAGAAAGGAGAGTATCGGCTCCCGTATCTTCGGCTACGCTTGGATGGAAGCGGGCGAGAGGGAGTACACCTACCTCAGCATTTCAGGCAAATATATCAAGTTCTTTGATATATTCCGCTCCATCTTCTATCGCACACTGTGGCAAGCGGGCATCAAAGACCCCCGTGCATTTGCCACTGACGAGGACCGCGAGTTTCTGTTGGCATCGTACCGCAAGCTGACCCCCCGACCTGGTTTGCTGGAGTGCTTCTCCAAGCTTCGCGCAGCTGGATATACCGTCTGGGCTCTCACAGCCGGTGACACTGAGCGTGTAGCAGGGTATTTGGAAGCCGCCAATGCAAACTTCCCTTCGGAGAACTTCGTATCATGCGACACTATTGGTGTTGGAAAGCCGGCCCCAAATTCATACCAGTACATCCTGGATAAGTTTCCCAAGGAGGATCTTGATGTGTGGTTCGCCGCCGCACATATGTGGGATGCTGCTGCCGCTCGAAACTGCGGGTAAGAGATCATTGTACATGAACTTTGATAAATTCTGAATACTGACTGAGATTCTCTGTAGATTCAAGGGTGCTTGGGCAGCGACTTGGGAAAAGGAGACGTGTCAGGATATCTTCGGCGAAATGGAGGTGATTGCAGAGGACCTGTCTTCTCTGGCAGATGGAATTATTGCCTATGCTCCGAGTAAATAGACTATCTATTTTAGGCATAGAAAATCAAATAATTCACAAAAGAGTCTCCCGATACATCTGCCATTCCCGAATCTAGTTACTTGCGGCCTTCGGGGGGCAATCAGTAGGCATTGAACTTGAAACATCCAGGCACTATACGCGGATGCGTGCAGCTACTACTTTCAACATATATCGCCGTATATCATTATGCTGTTCTAATTGTTGTTGTAAGTCTCTTCTTCTAGCTGCTCTTAAATTTGACCTGCCGCCCCTGCTGTCAACTAATTGATAGGTTGAAGATGGCGGGAATAGCTTTTCAAATATCCTATGGCATATGTTTCATAGAGTAAAAGAAGCAAACAAAAAATATTCAAATTGTTAAGCAAAAATGTGGGAATGTGGGAATTAAAACAGATATATCTAGGGGAAGATATCATGTTGCTAATCTATAATTTACTCCTGAGATTCTCTTGTTCCGATCCATGTCCCTCCGTGATTTCGTTCCTTGTGCTGTCCAGACGCTCTTGGGTGGCCTTGAACACAGAAGGGATACTGGTCTCCTCAAATGACTTCCCATGCAAGAGCATCTCGACGATTGCTTTAGCAGAAAGGAGGATCAATGGCATGCCGTGGCCCGAAAAGCCAGCCAAAACCAATTGACCTGGCTTCTTAGGGACTTCACCGACGTATGGCATAAAGTCGGAACTATAGCCCATGACTGTTCATGACACGGGTCAGTCAACACTCCAGATCACGAGATATTCTTCAGATATGACCTACTTCCAGTCCATATTTTATCGGGATAGGCTCCGCTCTTCTCCCAGCCGATGAAAGTCCGTTGCATTAAGCCTTCAAAATGCGGTAACGCCGGTTCGATGAGTTTACTATCGTCAGAGACATTATACCACTGGGAGGTATCTGACCACCAGGTAGGCTTTGCCCCGCCGACAATGATACTGCCGTCGTTTCGGGGAATAAGATAATCGTATAGCGACGGACCATGGCGAATGCTGTAAGTTTGAGGCAAGAATGGGGCCTGTGACCCCTTTGGTACAACGATTCGGCTGCAGATCCCCCGTACTGGAACAATGTGATTCTTGAATTCAGGGGCAATGCGTGATGTGTACGCGTTTGTAGCTAGCAAAATCTTTTTGGCCTTGATTGTTCCTCGCTCTGTTGTCACGAGCCAGCGGCCGTCAGGGAGTGGCTTTTCAGAGACGTGAGTGACGGGAGTGTTCGTCTGTAGATTGGCTCCCTTGTTCACTGCGCTTTCGAGGAGATGCATCACCAGCTTGTAAGGCCAGACATGCCCAGCCGTGAAAGTGAAGCAATTAAGAGCACCTTTGACACCGGAAACCTGCCATTAGTCCGTTAGCATTGTGTTGAAAGTCTGTGTATCCCAAAACATGGAGGGTTGATGTACTCTCTCTGCATTTTTACGAGGTGTGAAATGGACATCGGTGAGATTGGCTACGCCGGACTTTGAAAGCTCGGCGAATGCTTCCTCTGTCTCTCTGGCCAAGTTTTCGTCGAGTATGACATCGCATGCTCGAGTAAGAGTGAATTCGCAATCAATCTTCTCCTTTTCAACCAATTCTTTCACTGCCAGAACTTGTGATGCCTCGAAGTTGGCCACTTCTACGGCTGCCTTCGTGCCATATTTCTTGATATACTTGGGCACGTTGAAATAGACATCAGGCTTTAAGTGCCCCCCTGGATATGGTATCAGCTAAGAAGAAAGGATTGCTTCCTTGTTGGCACAGGACCTACCATTTCGGGCGGTTGCGCCAGAACATGCCTCGCGAGCCTCTAATATTACCACTGATGGTGGGGAAGGGTTGTTGGCATAGATGAAGTGGGCGAGGGCAGCCCCAGCGAACCCAGCCCCGATGATAACGACGTCACTCTCAGCCGGCAGCTGAGCTGTGCTGCGGTGACTATCGAGGCGATGTGGCTGCGTTTTCCAAAACGACTTGGTTGAATTGGGAACTGGGGTGGGACCTTGATCAGACATGATGGTTCGTTGATTCGGTAATCGATATCCAGGGCAACGCTGTCTCCTGCTTGAAGTCTTGTACACACACCCCGATCTCTTCTTAGCTTATCACTCTGTATTTGAACAAATCTAAAGCCAACATGACATTACCCCGGACATTTGAGACCCAAGGGCATGGTGCGGTGCGGTATCTCCGCATTTCGGTGATGCCCGTCAGATTCTCCCTCAGATATGGGGATCTCCGAAGGGCCAGACCGATTAGGGGCAGTCAGGAAATACAGATAAGTGGTCGCCGCTATTTCGACTCTTATCCACGCGACCCGCCGTTCCCCACAGGCGTTGAGAACGGGCGTAGTCAGGATTTGGGGGTTGCGAGTCGCCAACTGGCAATCTAAACCTCCTTCCACCGAAACCGCTGAGCCGGGGTATATCCTGGAGAGTTGGCTGGATCTTGACTCGTATAAGAGTCAAGCTCTTCTTTCTCCCCCCCCCTCCTTGGCATCACCAAGAGCCTCCCGCATCACCAGCATTGGCTTAGGTGCTTGACAGCAAAGCTCGAGAACTCAAATATTCACAATGGCGACCGAGGACGCCAAAGACAAGGTGGATGCAGGCTCGTTGGAGCTGGCACCCGTCGAATCGGTCTCTATGGGACATACCAATGGTGTGCACCTTGATATCTATTTTGTGAGGACCACGCTGACACGAATACATAGAATACACCGAGGAGCAGTACAAGAAATTGACAAGAAAAATCGATCGTTACCTAATTCCTATGATGTTAGTCGCATACCAATAGCATTTGATGCCAGAAAAAAACAAGGCAGACAACTAATTCCAACAGGTTTTTCATGTATGGAATCCAGCAAACTGATAAAACGTCTATCAGTATTCAGGCAGTAGGTTTCTCGCCTATTCGACGGCATTTGTAGCTGTGCTAACGAAGTTTAGCTCTTTGGCATGAATAAGGAATTGGGTCTTGTTGGCCAGGAGTTCCAATGGCTGACTACAATGTAAGTGCCATATCTTGCAATCGTCTAACTAAATTGACAGCTAACATCTTCGATTGAAAGCTTCTACCTTACCTACCTTGTTGGAGAGTTTCCCTCGACTTGGCTTCTTCAGAAGTATAAAATTGGTCGAGTCCTTACACTTTATATGATTGGATGGTGTAAGAAAGTTTTTAGAATTGTCTCGGTGATTTGTAGCTGACACAAGCATAGCTATCTGCCTCTTGTGCATCAGTGCGTGCAACAGCTGGTCTCAACTCATGGCCCTTCGAGCTCTCCAGGGGTTCTTCGAATGCAACATATCCCCCGGATTCCTGCTCATCACTGGAACCTGGTACCGAACCAAGGAACATGCCAACCGCTCTCTGTTCTGGCAGTCATCCCAGGGTTTCTTCACAATTGTTTGTAACCTTATGCTGTACGGAATCGCAAGATATGTCACAGACAACGGTTCCATATCTGCCTGGAGGACTATTTCACTGTTCCTTGGCTCCTTGACCTTGGCTGGAGCAATCTTCTGCTATTTTATTCTTGGATCGCCCCAGGAAGTCCGATGGCTGAGTGAAGAAGAGAAGAAGATGGCGTGAGTTCTCTTAAGGCCTATCTAGTCTCCGTTGCTGACCACTTGCAGCATCGCCCGAGTCGCCGAAAACCAGATTGGCGAGGAATCAACGAGCAAGAAGTGGAATTGGGATCACTTCTGGGAATGCTTCAGGGACCCCCAGGTCTATTTCGTCTTCGCTAATACGTTTTTGGCCTGCATTCCAAATGGGTACGCTGCACAATGAGCATCTGGACAACACTCATAACTAACCCAAATATCTTAGCGGCATCACAACCTTCAGTTCTCTTCTTTATGAGACTTTTGGATTCGATACCTGGGGATCTATGCTTTTTAGCTTGCCTCGAAATGGTAAATTGGATTCGACTCCGTAATATCACACGGAACTAACCAGGTCTAGCTATCTACGTCGTGGTTTTCGTTGCCGTGGCCCTGTACCTGAGGAAGTTCCAGAACCAGCGCATGTATATCATGATTGTAGCATGCATTTTACCATTTGCTGGATTGCTGGTCATGTCTTTGTATCCCAACACGCCTCAATACAAGTGGCTTAAATGGGGAATGTTCGACATCACGGTCGTCTTCTCGCTGGCCCTTTTCCTTGGATGGAGTCTTGGTGAGCTCTCTGTTATATAAAAGTTTCCGCACCATGCTAACCCGTGACAGTCACATCGAACATTGCCGGTGGAACAAAGCGAACTGTCGTATCCTCACTGACGCTTATTGCGTACTGTATCGGTAATATGGTTGGTGCTCAGGTCTTCCGCACCGCGGATGCCCCTAGATACCTCAGCGGCACAATTGCCTGTTCCGCCTGCTTTGGTCTCGAAGTGATTATCATCATCATGTGGAGACTTTGGTACGTATATGAGAACAGACGACGCGACCGCCTGGCTGCCGAAAGCGGCCTTTCTAAGGAGGAGCAGGAGAACGAAGGACGTTTGCTGGGAGAGCAGGATGTGACTGACAGGAAGAACCCCTACTTCCGCTATGCTATGTAATTGGCCGTATGCAACGCAAAGCATCAAATGCATTCAATATGCTAGTCCAGTAGATCTTTGGGGTTGAATATTTAATTTACAGCAGTTGGAGAAGACATTCCGGCTCTGTTGATAAGCGAGAGATCCTCTTCTCCCTATATGAACTGCTTCGTAGAATATGGCATGTTGATACAGTATTATGTATTAAACCACCGTTTCCACTGAAGACGTCTGGGACCATATGAGCTCGTACATCTCGTTCGAATTATTCAATTGCATTCTTAAGATAGCTCTAAGGGAATTAATATGCTTCGCCAAATGTGCAAATACCTGAATCCGCCTTTCCAGTGGGGTGCAAAATGTGTAAGTATCTCAGTGCACCGGAGGATATCTTTGTAAAAGTCGGCAACGACAATCCACCGTTTCGCAATCGCCGTAGCTATACAGCACCCGGAGACGAACGCCCTAGCGCTTCCTAAAAAAGGGGAGATAAATCCCTCCGTCCCCATCGATAGTGCGTGCACGCTGGCTATCAAGTTTGACGCCGCACTGGCAACTTTAAGCCGCAGAGCTCCCATTGTCTTTTGGTTGAAATCTCCATCGGGCTCCTGGAAGCAGAATATGCATTGCTTGTGGCGGACGCACACAGGGAGGAAAAGCAGGATGGTTTCGTTCACGATATCCTGGTTGCCTTGGAAAGTCCCTAATTTCTCAAGCAAAGTCGAAGCTTCTCCGACACAGGGGCAACCGTGGGTTTCGTAAATTCGACCACTGCCGTATATTTGATCATAAAGTTGGATATGAGCGGAAAATAGATCTTCTTTATCACTCGTTGTGAATTTAAGAGCATCCATCATACTAGGTCTGTGGTATATGGATTGTAGAGACCTATCCCAGAGGTGAGAAACGAAGATTAGACAGATGGTCTGAGGGAGGATTGGAATTGACTAGCGCACCCATGAATGTCTCTTAATACAGATACCAGCCGTTGTTGATCTAATGACGGTGCCTTGAATTGGTTCTGAGATCCCTCATTGAGGATTGATGAAGACTGATCTGTGAACTGAGGAGCATGGAGCCAGCCCAGCTGCAAGCAAGTCCGCGTAGCGAGATCCAGAAGCTCCCAGATAAGACCTCTCATTGGATCAGCCAATTCATATACGACAAGCAGAAGTATTATGCTCAGGGAATCTTTATCTTCCGTAGAGATGGTTGGCGATATCAGTTCACTCGCCCAGTCTCTACAGACCTGAGCGTACGCTTTCCAGATTGGCGCCCGGCAAGCTTCGCGCGCCGCAGCAATGGCACAAGCCATAAGGATCCTGACCTTCTGGTTGCTGGCTAGTTTCTTGAAATTTGCCCCATCATTACTGAGAGTATCTGGCTCCAAGATGGGATATTGAGAGTGCACGTAGCGACTGTATCGTCCGAGAAGCGAACGCACTATGAAGGGAGAGAGAATAGATCTCTCTAGCGGCGGGGGATTTGGGAGAGTAACTTCTAGCTCAGAAGGTATCTCCAAGTCAGAAAGGTCATGAGCTACTTGGAGCGTTTCAAATGTGGTCATGGTAATAAGGGATGGAAAAGAAAGGTCAAGATTCAAGTCAGAACCAGGCCCTGGGGCGTAGACATGCAAAGGTTGGTCCGATGAGGTGACAGAGGCATTCGAGCTGCCGGAGGATAGAAAAGTCAGATTATCTTCTTTCCCTATTATCGAAGCACCACCGAAGCGCATGGTGTCCTTACATACCATTGAGGACGTTGTTGATGCAGTGAGATTTGCGATTCTAGTTCGTGAATGCGATCATTCAAAGATTGGATATAGCTTCGAGCCGAAGTTAGCTTTTTGATGTACATTATTTGGAATAAAGAAAACAATGACCTGCTATGATGGGATGATAACTTACCTTCGAGGGATATCTTCTTGTACGGCTTCGTCTCGAAAGGTGCATTCAGACTCGCCTTTGGTGCAATTGGCGCAGGCAGGGAGCTGTGAATCGCACTGCAGGGTTTTGTTTCAAAGGTCAGCTCCATCGACCTAGAATGCACATTAAGAGGGCCCAGACGCCCAGCAACAAACCTTGATCCGCCGAGTCCGACATCTTGTGCATGTTGGAAGCATGGTAGGTGTACGAAGGTGGTGGCTGAACAGACAGCCAGGTTATGGGACTGCGGAATTTACAGCCGGGCAAAGCAGAATACAGTGGTGATTTGCAGTAAAAAGGTAGTCTTTAGGTCATGGTCAACGCTCAATCCAGGGCATGTGGCCACTGGGATGTTCCCCTCTCGATCTGTTCCCCTCTCACGTGCTCTTGTCCCCTCTCCTCGCTGAAGCCGAGCTCGGAACTCCCCAGAGTTAGTCCTAAGCCGGCCCATCCTTCAAACTAACAAGACTCATGGCAGCCTAGTGCCTTATCTGGCTCTAATATGAATCGTCATGACCCGCTATCAGCGTTATGGTGAGTTAATGCGGGGGTATAAGCGCTGTAATCTCACTAGATATGCCCCTGTTCATCCTTGAATCGCATTCATTCTTTCCATGCCGCTCACCAGCACTAAAAACAAGTCTCGTTCCTAGAATCAGCGCATAATTTCTGGACTAATCGCCAACATGCAGCGGTCACATAGACGGTCAACAAAGGTCTGCGCTAGGTGTAGGCAGCGGAAAACCAAGGCAAGGCGAAGAGCATAGCAGCTTTATTCTGACTCCCATTCCTCAGTCCTTCTTCCTCTCTTGCTTCTAGGTTGTAGAGTTAGAACTAATTTGAAAGAGTAGTGTGATTTCAAGTTTCCCGCATGCACTCCGTGCAAGCTGGCAAAGACGGCATGCCTCGGCTTCAATCCTGTCACTAAATCTGCCGTCCCGAGAAGGTAGTATACTTGTCTTCGCGTCTTATACCTTATGCTTACGCCTAAATTTATAGTCTGGTTCGTTCTCTTGAAGCCCGCGTAGCCGAGCTCGAAGGTCAGGTGTTGAACTTCCAGGCCGGGACACAGAACACCCCCTACTTAATGGCATCTAAAGTAGCCCAGGCCACCATATCGTTTGGGCTGCCCAGTTCCAACTCTTATTTGCATTCAAAAATATCATCAGCTCTTGTGTTCCGTCCATCCTGTCCTCCACTTGCGCTTGTTCGAGACCGAGGATCTGACTCAGTTCATGTCCCTCACTCTTCCACGGAACAGGACGGATCTCCAAGTCAGCCTAAGAAGAGCAACTTGATCAGTCTGAAGAGTATCCCCTCTTCCGCGATATCACGTATGATCAGGAACTATGCAGACATGCATTTGCCGCAATATCCTTGCATCACTGAGGCGATGCTACAGGAGATCGTGAAACGCACCGGGATGGACGAACTTGGAGACACCAGCTCCCTTCTTCTAAACGGAATCCCCGCCGACTCTGGTATTGGCCACTTCGAATATTTTGTGCTCTTCATCGCTCTAGCTATATCGGCTATGACCCTGACCTGGAAAGCTGAAGACCAGGCGAGAGCTGCCTCGGAATCCTTCTTTAACTCTGCATTGAAGCATTTACAGGTGCTTGAAGAACAGAGTGAGATAAAATCACTTCAAATCTCTCTTCTTCTCGCCCACTATGCACACATGTGCCCAGAGAGAGTTGATAACTGGACTTGTATCTCTGATGCCGTGAGGATTGTTCTCAACCTTGGCCTTCATAGAGAATGCACTGAAAACATTGACCTTGAGCATCGCCGGCTCCGTGCGGAATTATTTTGGGTCACTTATGGGATGGAGCGGTCATTATGTACTAATCTACGCCTCCCTCTTTCATTCCCAGAAGAAGCTATCACAACAAAGGTAAGCAATAGTAGCCTTCATCTCCCTTTTCCAGTTTTAATTTTTTTTTCTCGCGTTGACTGTAGGGGCTGACTTGTTTTAGCGTGAATTGTTTGTCGAAGAAGGATTCGACTCTCTTTTTACGAACGAGGACTTATTGAGAAAGTCCGCATCCAGCCACATTTGCCTTTACCGAGCCTTGGAGACGGAGGTGCACAGGGTCTTACACCTCGAAGACAACCTTCTCGAGAGTAGTGGCATGAGTATCGAAGCCTGGATCATTGACATTAATACACGCCTGGGGACTTGGTATGAGGCCGCACAGGTTTACACTCAATACGGAATGCTGGAATTCAAACATGTGCAGTACCACCATCTACGTGCGAGAATTCATCGCCCAACGCCACGCCTTATGAATCGCACGAATGAAGACCGCGAACAGGTACTTCAAGCGGCGGTTGTTTTGATTGATGACTACCATGGTCAGGAGAGTCGACGAAGACTATTTTACCCCTGGCATGGTGTCCACATACTTTTCGAAGTTGTCATTATCGCCTTGGACGCTTGCTGGACGTTGTACAATTGTCACGTAATACACCCACTGGCCGAGGAACTTCTCAAGAGTCGCATTCCACAATGCCTACAGATGCTTAGAAACATAGGAGAACGCTGGAATGAGGCAACAGCATGTGCTTGGCGACTTCAGCCGCTTCTGGAGAAAATATCCACGTGGTATTATCCAGGGAGCGATGATATTGCTGATAAAACATCCATATCAGAGGAGATACGGAATCTTCTTTTATCCGATGGCTCACTTACGTGGAACCAGAGAGTGGCATCAGATATTCAGTTGCCAATCGAGGCATTCCTCTTTGATGATGTGGAGCTGGATAATTTCCAATTCTTGGAATGGGCACCTGAGTGGGATATCATGCCTACAGACTTTGAACTAGCATGAAATTGCAGTACCTGGGGTGAGTTTAGTTTATCATGAATAGAAAATCATGTATTTGCGGGCAAGTTGAATAAGGACCTGGAGATTCAGTACCCTTCTCGACTACAAGTCTATGCCTAGCGGCAAAACATTCCAATATCACTGAATTTCGAAATGAGATTTGAATTTCTTCATTATGATGCATTTTTATTCATGGTAAATATGTGAGTTAAATTCTACACCTCTAAAATTCGAACTGGAGGGTTAAGGCACGGCTTGCCGAAAGATACCTCAGCCTTCATAGCTTTTAGATCAATGATGATTGTAGCTAGAGTTTCCATGCGCTCGATACCCTTTGTATTGGGTGGCGTTGATCGACAAATAGATGTAGGTGTGCCAACTTCGTCGGAAAGCCACGTTCGAATTTTGGCAATGCTTCCTTCCTGGCCATTGCTCAAGGTCTTGATTCGTTCCAGTCTCGAGAATGAGTTAGGAGATGGATGGTCTTTGATTCCTTGAGGGACGTTCGGCGACCAAAGGTGATTCGTGTGAAAAGTGGCAGAGGAGCCTGGATCGGGGAAGATTGGTGCCAATCCCTTGGGTGTACATTCGATGGTGGCTATCTTGCCGCTCTTGTCTCCAATCACAAGATTAGCACAAGAGGCAATGCCTTTCTTCGAAAGCATATCGAAAGCTTCGTCGAATGAACGACACTCTAGAACACGTCGCATGGCAAGATGAACTGGAAGCTGAGTTTTCGATACGGTGCCGCATCTGATGGCATTCATGCAAATGGCCACTCCAGCATCATTGATACCAAATTTGGCAACAATTCCTGCTTCTCCCATCATCCGAATCCGAGGCTTGCCAGTTTTTGAGATATCAAAAAAGACGGTTGACAGACCTGCCTCGCCAACCCAGTCCCAGTTCTGGGCGACAAAAACCTCTGAAGTTGACTGATTCTCCATGCAGATTGAAGTGCAACCGTCAGAGTAGTTGGTCAAGGAGATCTCGCTACGCAGGTTCAGGGCAAGGATATCCAGGAATTCCACACCCGCACCAGCGGCAATTCCCTTCATTTCCTCAACCAGATCAGGTTCATTTTGCTCAAGGGAGGGAAGGTATGTTGCCGCGCGGGCTTTTGACTCGGGCCAGTCAGCTTCGGCTGTCTCAAGAAACAGACGCTGGTAGTTCTCCATGCAGACAGCGATCCTGTCTGCAATCTGGCTCCCATGGGTGAAGCCGATTTCGTATGGAGACCCGCTGGCTATAATCTCAGGAACACCGTTCCAGAGAGGTGGAGAGGCTGTTGGTTGCGTCATGATGGCGGGTTTTCAGGAGGTTTCGAAGCTCAATGGTCATATTCGCTCATGCATTCAATAGAGCCTCGTAATCTTTCTCTATTTAACTGTACTACCATCCATCAAATGGATTTGACTCGGTGCTAGTAAGCAACTACTCCTAAACTAGAAGCCGCCATCGGCGAACCGCGCCCAGATGTGAAGGTTCTTCGGAGTTTCCCGCAAGATGTGTGGAGCGATTACTCCACCGCTACCGGCAAAGAGAGATATGATGAAATCCCTCCAGTGCTATGGCGACATCGGAGACGAAGTTTAGCCAAGCTAGCGTTAATTAAGCAAGAAACTCATTCTGTGGACATCTGTCTACGTTTGGCTATTGTTGTTGGATCAACCATGCGTTCACTCATGCGTCAGCCTTGATTGACCTTGCATACCCTAGAGCCATAAGAGGTTGACGAAGTCTCACGATTAAAATGTTGGTAATATTAAACTTATTGCCTCAATTGGCAAAAGAAATTCTAGGATACTGAAATCATGAGTTCATGATGTCACAATGTAAGGATGTTAAGCGATGACCAGGGTTGAAGCAGTTCTTCACTACATTCATAGTTAAGCGTAACGCAGTTGGCTATTCTGAATCCACGGTTAGAGTCCCAGTCTTTTGAATGAGATATTCCTCGATTGCGACATCCTTCCCAGCTTCCTTGCCATATCCAGACATCTTTATGCCTCCGAAGGGAGACTCAGCACATGAGGAGTTTCCTGTCGAGGACTGTTAGTTGACAATTCGAGATGTGATGGTAGGCGATTCTAACCTGTGTTCATGCCGATCATTCCAGCTTCCAAATTCTCGAGCATTCTCCATGTCCGGCTTGTATCTCTTGTGAAGAAATATGACGCCAGCCCCATTGAAGTGTCATTTGCTGCCTTGACAACTTCCTCCTCGGTCTCGAACTTATAGAGGCCAAGAAGTGGACCAAAGATCTCTTCCTTCGTGGTCAGCATATCCGCAGACATGTCAGAGATGATAGTAGGCTCAAAGAAATAGCCCTTGGCGAGATGATCTGGTCGTTTTCCACCACAAAGGACTTTGCCTCCCTTGCTTATGGCATCAGAAACATGGGATTCAAGTTTCTTGATCCCTCGACCTGTAGTGAGGGGACCCATGGAGGTGTCTTCTCCGGCCCCATGCCCAACCTTGAGCTTCTTGGTGGCATCGACTATCATCTCAGTGAACTTCTCATAGACTCCACTTTGAACATAGACTCGATTGGCATGAGTGCACGCCTGGCCAGCTGTACGCCACTTAAGAATCATAAGGGCCGCCAAAGCTTGGTGCAAGTCACCGTCGTTGAAAATGATGAAAGGACAGTTGCCGCCTAGCTCCATCGTGAGCTTTTTCAACCCCACACTACAGTGTCCGGCAACGATGCTTCCAACCACTGTACTGCCGGTGAAAGTGACCTTGCGGACAAGAGGGTGTTTGCAGAGTTTTTCACTGACATCTGGTGTGTTGATATTATCCGTTGAAATAACATTGAGGACTCCAGCTGGCAGACCAGCACGTTGAATGAGATCTGCAAGCGCCATGATACTTAGGGGAGTCTCGGGGGAGGGCTTAACAATGATAGAACAGCCGGCAGCAATAGCAGCAGCCACCTTTCGGATAATCATTGCCACTGGGAAGTTCCAGGGAACAAGGGCCACGCAAACACCAATAGGCTGCTTGATGACGATGATGCGGCGGCTTGAAACGGATGGCTGTGCTACAGAACCCCGGATTCGCTCAGCCTCACCCGCAAACCACCAAGCAAAGCCTAGAGCGTAATCAACTTCTCCAAGAGCTTCGCCCATCGGCTTCCCAGTTTCCCAAACGACTAATTTAGCAATATCCTCTCGGGAATTTGAGATTAATTCGTGCCATTTGAGAAGTATCTTTGCCCGCTCTCTTGGGTTTGTCTGACGGTACGAAGTGAAAGCTGCATGCGATGTCTCGACATACTGATCGACATCTTCGGCGGCATTGTTAGGACAACTAGCCCAAACTGTCTCTGAGCCGGGATCTATTGGAAATACATGAGTAAATAGGTTATGAAGATGTTACTGATGATCGCGATATTGGGAACTTGCCTTCTACATCAAACCGCTGCCCCGACTGCGCCTGGACCCATTCTCCGTTCAGTAGGGAGGCCTCGTGAAGGAGGGAGGGATCTTTGAGCTGAACATATTTGTTAGTATGTTTGAGGATAATACCTGCACCTATGACGCAAACCCACAGTAAATGGTAGAACAGACATATTGGGGAAACCGTACGAATCGTGTAAAGGAGTACTGCATAGCAGCGTCAAAATAGAGCAGATCTCGCGAATGTCGGTACTTAAAATATCCTTTTTGATTGTCCTAGAGACCTGAAAAGCTCAAACCATATTTAGCTTATCCCCAGGAACAGTTCTTCAGGCATCGGATATCTCCGTCGAGATTTGTCGTTACGGCCATCGCGTCGGAGGACGCCTGGGCAGCTCCACTGCCACTGACCATTCGGCCGTTCCCGCCAAGGCGGGTGAGTATTACAACTTCGCAAGGTGGCCATCTCGTTTATCGTAATAATTAGTAAGTTAATCTAGTGTCTTGATTCGGTGTATATCGTGACTTATGGTAAGTTCTCTTGGGTTCAGGACGCATAAGACAACACATAGAGCCCCGTGCTCTACCAATCTAGCTTGTCACGTATCGGTTTCTTATCCAATCTCCTAGATACTCAATCTTCTCACCACTTTGCGAAATGGCACCGACTGCCAAGGAAGTTTATATTGCAGTTATTGGTATGCTACCCCTATTTAAAACCAAGCCCCTTTAAACTTGAAGAAGTTGGGTCTAACTTAAATGAAGGCGCCGGAGGTGTCGGGGCGTGCTTTCTAAAGCAACTCGCTTACTTGGCTAAGAGCCGACCGTCTCCCCGTATCCGACTTTGCTATTTCGCTATTATTGATAGAGCTCTTTATCATGACGACTACTCCGATATTGATATTGATAATGCACTTCCGCTACTTGAGTCTAATGGTTTTGACCCACCGCAGATTCCTAATGTCATCAAGTATCTATCAACAGCCCCTGGAAGAGTCATTGTTGTTGACAATACCGCTTCTGGGCTGATGGCAGCATCATACCCAGAGTTCTTGAAAAATGGGATCAGCATCATTACCCCGAATAAAAAGGCTTTCTCGGGAAGCTACCAGCTATGGCAAGATATCTTCACCTCGGCCAGCGCTGGAGGTTCATTCGTTTACCATGAGTCTTCCGTCGGAGCCGGGATGCCCATCATCTCAACTCTCAATGAGCTTGTAGAGACTGGCGACCAGGTCACTCTGATCGAAGGCCTATTCTCAGGCACAATGTCTTTCCTGCTCAACAAATTCTCGCCACTGGAGGGACAAGGAGGCAAATGGTCCGTTGAGGTGAAGAAGGCGAGGGAATTGGGATACACCGAGCCAGATCCACGAGATGATCTCAACGGTCTGGATGTTGCTAGAAAGATTACCATCCTGGCTAGACTGGCTGGACTTCCCATCGAGTCACCCTCGGCAATTCCAGTCCAGAGTCTCATCCCTAAGGAGCTTCAGACAGCCACTTCTAGTGAAGAATTTCTCCAGAAGCTTCCTGATTTCGATCACATCCTCGAAAAGGAAAGAGAGGAGGCAAGAAAAGCCAACAAGGTTGTTCGTTTTGTCGGCAAGGTAGACATCATGTCCGGCGAGGCCAAGGTTGGCCTTGAGTGGTTCGAGAAGTCTCACCCCATTGCCAATCTCCAAGGCAGCGATAACATCATTAACTTTTATACTAAACGCTACGGTGATCTTCCACTCACAATCCGCGGAGCCGGTGCTGGTGGAGACGTTACTGCCATGGGGGTCACTGGAGATTTACTCAAGATTTTGAGACAGGTTTAGAGACTTTAGATAGGCAATTCATGATCAGTCTTTCAGATTCTCCACCCGATTTATAACTTTCATTTGCACGGAATGAGAACCCTTGAATTCAAGTAGCTTATCTCAGCTGAAGTGGGAAGCATGACGTATCAAACATTACTTGCATAGCTTGTCTAAAGTGGTCCTAATTTCAAGGGTGGCCTTCGAAAGTCAATAGTACCTCTTGCGGCCATCTGCTCGCTATCCCCTCTCCACAATGGATGCAATTTCCCGTGAGTGTTATTATGCCCCTGATTTCAGCCCCCAACTTGCACACCTCGTGATATCCGATGAAGAGATCTGAGGGTGGATACAGTGGGGTGCGAAACCTGGGGTTGGAGTTCCTCGGCGATACGCGATAGATTCGTCAAAAGAGACGCTCAACTCCGACTCCTTGAAGACGCGCGCGGGTATCCTAATCCACGGTCCTTTCACTTGGCAGCCGTTCACATGTAAACCGAAAGTATCTAACTAGAAATTCATGGCTAGGAAATAAATGGTCTTTGAAACACCAGTGATCCTTGCGAAGGTCACGTTTTCCCATATTGCGTGTCTTTCACCATGCCGCTAAGAACTGTGCATACTTCTTCCCTTTTTGACCCCAAAGAGAAAAAGGTGCTCCGCGATGTCTCCATAACGGTTGACTCTGGATCTGGATTGATCACGAGGGTCTTCAAGCGAGATGATACTCAAAGGCCGTTCGCTGAAATCTTCGGAGATGGAGATATTGATCTAAGGGGAAAGTTTGTTATGCCGGGACTAGTCGACGCACACACCCATGTATTTCTTCATTCTTACGAGTGAGTTTTTGTTTAATTGCGCTTTCGAAACATATGAAACGATTAATGGGCTCTCTGACTGTGATGTATTAGCGAAGCTGGTGCGCTCCAGCAGAAACGAGATGAGAGCATGACGGAGAGAATTGTGCGTGGTGTTAACCACTGCCGGACTGCATTGATGGCGGGCTATACCACGTATAGGTATTTTCTGCCGTAGTTTCCAGACTGCTTTTGACAGCATATTGGTATTGTAGAGCATTGACGCTGACTGGATCAACGTGCAGAGATCTAGGATCAGAAGGCATGAAAGAGTGTGATGCGAACTTGAGAGATGCAATTGCTCGAGGGTTAACCCCAGGACCCAGGCTATTTGTTGCGACACGCATCATTGCCAGTACTGGGTCCTTCGAGTGTCGCACAGAAAACTCTGAGGGTGGACACTGTCTCCCTGCTGGCGCAGATGCTGTTGATGGTGTCGAACAATGTCGCCAGGCAGTGCGTCGTCGTGTCGCCGCTGGGGCAGATATCATCAAATTCTTCGCAGATTACAGAAGACGCATCATGCGATCACCGCCAGCGCAGCAACATCCCTATATCCCAAGTGTAACACACCCGCCAAAGGATCCCAACCCGGACTACATGGTCTTCTCGCAAGAGGAGATGGACATGATTGTACGAGAAGCCGCGCTGGCGCGTTGCCCGGTCTCCGCTCATTGCTGCACCCTCGAAGGCGCACTTGGGGCGATCGAGGCGGGCGTCAACACTCTCGAGCATGTCTATTTTGCCACTGATGAAATGTTCAAGAAGATGGTAGAGAAGAAGGTGATCATGGTGCCCACGCTGGCGATTGCTGAGAAGCTGCATGCCAGGCGTTTTGACCAAATCCTTCATCAGGTGAAAAGAGCTCACGAGCTTGGGGTTCGCCTTGCCTGTGGAGGCGATACTGGCACATATCATCATGGAGACAATGCTAGAGAGTTAGAACTGATGATCGAGGCAGGTATCCCCATTGCTGATGTTCTAGAGTCCTGTACCGTTGGAGGTTGGGAAGCATGTGGGGGTGATCTTTGCGGGAGACGGTTTGGCTGGTTTGAAGAAGGATTGCAAGCGGACATCATTGCTTTGAACAGTGATCCGCACGAGGATCCTTCAGCATTGCGAGGTGTGAATTTTGTGATGAAAGATGGAATGATTTTCAAAATGAACAACGAACAGCATAAAGAATAGATAAGTTATATAAAAATAATACTTTAAGTGAAACCAAACGGAATGATGCACAACAAATCAGCACATGCCCCAACTCGGTTCACGTCCCACCTTATATCAAGCTTTGAGAGCCTTAATAATATGGAAACCAAATTCACGAAAGACCCTTTCGTATATTTTGATCACAATTCTTTTTCATCAGAAGGAAAAGAAATTCCTACTCTATGCTATGCCAGTATCCTCTATGAGGGCTGCAAAAATATCTCATCTAACAACTTTTGGTGTACCTAATAAAGTATCTATTTTAATACTGTATCATCATAACAAGTCAATTAACCTATCTAAGATAGGAGGGTATTTAAATACACACTTATTAGATAAACACATTTTGCCCGGATAAAAACCTCACCCGCGTTTAATACTGTATAATGTGGTAAATCTGAAGAAAAATTGTGTCTTCACAATAAAGGTTCGGAGTCGTCCCCAACATTGAAATCAGCCAAGCGCTCATCAGCTTGGATGAGACACCTCTCTAGCACGTCTCTATCTCTTGGAGTGAACCTGACCTTAAACTCTGAGGCGATTGAATTGGATTCGGTAGGATCGCGTTTGTAATGGATGTAATGCGTGTTGGCGGGGTTGGTTTGGCTTCCAGTAATGCGGAAAGAAAGAATTAATCGTGCATATATTGTGTAGAGCACCCGGTTGGAGAAGTTGACGGCGGTACACATGCGTCCTCCAGCTCCAAAAGCGAAGTGATATGGTGCTGGTACGTTATAATCCTTGTTTATCCATCGCTTCGGGCGAAATCTATCGGCGTCAGGCCCATATGACAACTTGTCTGTAGCTGAAGGTCAGTATGCTAGAAGTAAGGTTTCATGAAACACAAGGGAAATTACCATGATTGACAGCTTGGGTATTTGTGTAGACTAAGACACCTTTTGGAATCTTCGCTCCGTTATATTCAAACTCCTTGAAGGTCTGCCTGGCAGGAAGAATCTTAAGGGGCGGATAAAATCTCAGAGATTCCTTGACCATTCCAGAAATGTAAGGACTTTTCTCTTCAGATATACAGTCTTTAAACGCCTCCTCGGGGGAGCTGTAAGCGCTCATGAGGTCATGGTATGCTTCTTGCTGAAGGATCTGCCCCTCAGGGGTTGACAAAAGTCCGATCGTAATGATGGCTGTTGAAAAGACAGTTTCAAAGCCCCCGGACATCAACCCTCCCAAGATTGTCTTGATATCCACTGCATCCTTGTCAGCTTTAAGAACGCAATTGTGGACGGGATGGAACTTACTTTGTGTCAGGCCCTCAGTGTTGTCTTCTAACAACATCTCCGCAATCGGTTTCTTGTCACTTTCACTGGGCTTGAGCGCTGACTTCACCCTATCCAGCATAGAGTTGAGCCAGTTGTCACGACGTGCGCGAACTTCCAGAGCTGTAGCAGTGCGATCGCTCTTTGCCAAGTAACGTAAATGGGGGATGAAATCCTGGGGATTGGAGTTGGTTGATCGGAAGCTTCAAGCGAATCAGTCTCATAGATCTAATGCATGAAAGTCGAGTCCATTACCTGGCAATTGTAGTGGCGTCTTCAAGAATTTGCAACAGGAGTGGATTTGTGACCGAGTTCATCCTGGTGCCATAGCAAAATTTGAGCATCATGTTCAAGGCAAGACGCTTCAAATATACGTGAGGGACCACTTCTTGCTCGCCTTTTCCAGTATCGCGGTACAGTGACGCGATGACGGCTGAAGATTCCATGTCAATCATGGGACGTGCCCTCGCCATTGCAGGTCCCGTCGTGAATGAGCCAACAACACGCCTCTGCTTCTTTGTCCTTTCATTCCATGGGCTGGTACCAATGGTTGCAGCTATCGTATGCCGATCGTAAGTCTACGAGTACTTGGAGGGGATTGGGAGTGAACAACGTACCAGATGTTGCTGAAACGACACCATGGAAGGTATAAAACCAAGGTCGATCGACAGTAGCTGTGCTGTTCTTCACCAACCATTCTCGGGCAGACTCAAAGGAGTTGAGGAATATTGCCCGGCGGCGGCCCATCCGGACTTGGAAAACTGGCCATCGATATTCTGCAGACCAATTCTCGGCAGTGGTGGCATGATCAGCCCCAAGTTGGTAAAGGTGGCCAGCCAAAAGCTCTCCATTGGGAATCTCTGGAATACCATCGATCTTGGGAATATCAACATAAAAGTAATTGAAATATACCAACAAAGAAACAACTATCACCACGACCAAGGCGACAAAAGGTATTGGCCAATTGAGGCTATGGCCAATATTGGCTATCATGGCGGCGATGGGTTTAGGTTGACAACATCTAGACGCGCTTAGAGAGTGGGAAAGGATGACAAGACACGCGAAGATATGATAAAGCATGCATCCTTTAGAGCCTTTCTCGAACGCGACGATTAATATTCTAGAGTTAATCGCCCTATTCGCGCATGGCAGAGCAGTACCGCGGAAGTTACACTTGGAGTGGTATCTCCACATGGGCGAGACGGCGATGGCCGTTGATTTCCCAGATTTTCTCGCGATACACCGATACATATGGAGTCATGCTGATCCCTGTGCAACACACAACACCGTAAAAGATTGAGCAACTAGCGGGGAAATGCGATCAGCCGAAAGACTGATGGAACCGTTTACCGGAAGTGTGCACTTTGTAATTGGACGTTGTCTAGGAGGATCATTGGTTTCCCCTTGATCAGGTCAATAGGTCCACAGAGAATCCAAACAATCACTACCCCAATCATCCAACATCATACTATCAACTATGGCTGAACACCTGCAAATTGGATCGCTGTTCGATGTCAAGGGCCGATGTGTGGCGGTCACTGGTGGTGGTGAGTCGCTAGAATCTCCCGGGGCCCGAAACTGCTTTGTACAACCCCAATGCGATACTAATACTGGCTTTAGCATCTGGGATAGGGCTCATGATCTCGCGAGGTTGCGTGGCTAATTCATGCAGCGTCATTCTGATTGATGTTAATGAAGAGGCTCTTTCAAAGGCAAAGCTCGAGTTGGAGGAAATAATCAGCTCTTCGACCTCTAATCGTGCTCAAGTCCAAATGTGAGTGCACTGTAAACTTAAAACAACAAAGGAATTAATAGCTTACTGGTCGTTATAGGATCCACGGAGATCTTTCTACAGAAGCTGGAGTTCAAGCCGTGGTAGAACATGTCAGGTCAAAGGTCCAGTGTCTGGACACGCTGATTCACTGTGCGGCTATTCGGTACATGAACAGCACCACCTACAAACCCGGTGACACTCTAGAACAGCTCGAATCAGCGACATTATCTGCACCTTACAGCGGCTGGGAGCACACCATGAGACTCAATGTTCTCGCACCATACTTCCTGACGGCTGGCCTAATCACATTGCTCGGCAAGGCTGCCGCGAAGGGGGAGGGAAGAGGAAGCGTCATTCTATTCAGTAGCCCCGCGAGTGTACACAACAATCAGTTTGTCCCATGCTACCAGACGTCGAAAGCGGCAGTTGATCACCTAGTACGCATTATGGCGATGGAGTTCGCTGCATTTTACAGTAAGCAAAGAGTACCGAGATCTAGAAGACAGGAACTTCAAACAGAAACTAAATGCTCCGCTAGTTCGTGTTAATGGCATGTCGCCTGGGATTGTGCCTTCGGGGATGACAACCAACGACAGCACTTCCAACATCCATCTCGTTAATGAGACCCCGGCAAAACGGGCGGGAACAGAAGAAGACATGGTCAGCTGTGCGCTTTGGCTCATGAGTAAAGCCGGAGAGTTCATGGACGGAAAGATGATTCGTATTGAGGGCGGGCGCTTGCTCGTTCTCAAGGGTGTAATATCAAACTCAGACTAGACATATATAAAGTATCTTCCTCTTCCAAGTGGCCCGGAAGCACGCAACTGTCCGGTACCCTCCAGTGTCCTAACATTTCGCGGAACAAGTGATTTCGCACAGATCATTGATTACAACTTTGATGGATGGGATCGTACACCAGTACGCAAGAGCTGTTGATGTTTTAGGATTTAACAAAAGGGGAAGCCAACAGAGATATCGAAAACCTAGCATATCAATTATTCCAACGACGCAATTCAGAAAACTAGTTTCCATCCCACTATCTATTCTCAGACATATGGCTTGACCTGCTCCTCACTCCAGTCCCAAAACGCTTTTGCCACCCCGGTGCCCCCCTCCTCTTTTGTCTTGGCCGCATCCAGCATATCTTGCTGAAGCTTCCAAATCTTGCCCCAAGGCGCAACTACTCTATAGTTAGTGTCTGATTACTCTTGGGGTGCTGGATGGGGAAACGGGGAAATATCATACCATAGCTTCCTGAATTTTCAGAAGTTATTTGAGGAGTAAAGCCGGCAAAAAGTGCAGTGTAAGCTCCATAGATTGGCGGGTGTAGAACAGTGCTGCGGAGAAGAGTCAACGTGACTTTGCCTTGACTGCGCCAGAAGTCAGAATCCAGAGCGCCAGGATTGAGAGACACGGAGAGGACGCCACTCTCTTTGTACTGTCGTGCAAATTCGCAAGCGTGAAGATAGTTGCCCATCTTGCTGACGTTGTACTGATCCAGCTGGCCCACGTCGTCAATCTTAGGCAGTGTCTCCATAAAGAGCTCGGGATCAAAAGACTCGGCAGCGGATGAAGAAACCCATACGATGCGAACCGAGTGCTTTGGTGATATCTTAGCAGTGGAAGTCAAGGCAGGCATCAGAAGCTTAGTGAATAAGAAAGGCCCCACGCAGTTGACACCGAGCTGCAGTTCATAGCCTTGCTTTGTCTTAGAGCCTTTCTCAGGGTATCCCACTCCTGCGTTATTGTAGAGCAAGTGCAGATTCGGCTCCTTCTGGAGGAACTGGTTGACGGAGGACTTGATTGTAGTCAAGTCAGAGAGGTCAAGGTGAATGTACTGGAGTTCGCCCTTTGAGCTAGGGTTATTGGTCTTGATGCTCTCCATGGCTCCCTTAGTCTTTATCTCGGAACGCGCCATCATGTATACCCGCGCATTCTTTGAGTATAAGGCTTGAGCGATCTCTTTTCCAAGACCTGTGTTAGATCCAGTAACAATTATGACCTAGTAATGTCAGTGACTTACTGATACCAAACGGCGACATCTCAGCCGGGAATTGAGTTACCTTATCCGTCAAATCAGGGAGATGTTCAACCGTCAGCTGTGGCTTGGACGGGCAGAAGAACTGCTTCATAACACTGGAGTTACTAGGCATGATGGCAATTTCTGAAGTACTTGCAGCGAGGTGAAGTAGAGAAAAGAGGTTGAAGAAGATGGGGTTCGGAGCATTCAGAGTAGTTTTGCTAAAGCTAATGGTAGTCTTCTGTCGAAGGCAAGCTTATCAAGTTGATTCGGTTTGGAATATAACATTTAGAAAGCAGCGGGGGGAGAGTCTTTTTATAGCTGGACAGTCGTGGAAGATATCACCTCGGGTCCAATGGGGTTTACGATCTGAAGACTTGAGGGACAGCCAGTCCCGAGTTTCCAGCAACAACCTGAACCCTGAACTACCCATCCCGGCAATTAGACTGCTAGGGCTGACAACCAAGCAGGGGTTGATTCTCTTCTTCACGCTAGCGGCCGCATCACCGCACCATAAGCCGCGTTGCTCCCACATGGCCGCATCTCCCGCATCAAGCAGGCGATCTCAAACTTGAACCAGGCGCCTCCGTCTTGATCCACTAAGGTACACAATTGTTTGTGAATACACCAATTCAAGGTCTGGGCGTGTATTCAATTACCCGCAAGCAGGGCTCAATTCATGGCGAGGACTCACTAGCTGGCTCCCGATCAGCCAGCCGAAGTGAGACGAGGAGGTGTCAGTACATTGGCACTTCCATCCAGCATACATGGGCCACCCTCCACTGCGTGTGTTCTAGGCTGGATTGATATTTCCGGCCATTCCCTTGCCCCATCAGCCGCACAGCAATTTCGACCCCCCCAGAAGGCTTGTCATATTTCGCATTGACCAGGCGAGCGCAGAATTGAAACAAACACATCCATGGCCTCACTAAGAAGCAGGTGGTTTACAGATGCCACCGATTGGGTACTTGGCCCACGCCAGCTCTTCAGTGCTTATCTGTTTCAGAAATTAATCTCTGAGCGAATTTCAAAAGCACCTGTGGCCTAGAGCACTACTTTCTCATGTAAGAATTTCAGTATGTTCTGACAGAAGAGAAGAACACAAGACGCGGGTTGAGATCCGCAATGATCGCCGGATAAAACCCATCCACGCGGCCGCATGGAGGATCATCATCAGACCCACAACTACCATCATGACGATGCCTTTCTGCGTAAATCCGTTGTTGAGGCCGACTCGGGGAATCCTTTCGCCCATCTCATTTCGATCGTGGCGGCAGCGATTCTATTATAAATACTGCCCATCATTCCCATAGAAGTCTCACTTCATTATGAACGAAATCAGCAGCCTTAATTATTACTTCTCTGCGCCCAATAAGTACACCCACAGCTTCTCCACCTCACTGCCGCCATATTCTATACCGGAACAACATTCTCGGAACAATGTCCAGTTCTTTCTCTCCTTACGCTGAACAATATGCGAATCCCCATGGCCCCAATGATGGCAGGCCTACAGGCTCCCAGATCGTCAAGGACTACGGGCTCGAAAACAAGTTCAGCGGTAAGGTCGTTCTAGTGACCGGCGCCACCTCAGGCATTGGGCTAGAGACAGCGCGTGCCATGCACGAGACAGGTGCAGATGTTTACATCGCTGCGCTTGAAGCTACAAAAGCTCACAATTTGATCGAAGACATTAAGAAGTCATCCAAGGGTACAGGCAAGATTCAACTTCTTGACCTTGATTTGGGTTCCTTGGATTCTGTCAGCCACACGGTGCAGAAGTTCAAGAGTCTGTCCTCAACTCTCAACATTCTCATCACGAATGCAGGTAGGTTTCAGACTGGTTAAATTGTTCATTTTTAGTCTCGCATGTATCCCACAGCGCATAGAGAATGAGTATTAATATCTAAATTATGGCAGGCATTATGACCGCAGCTCCAGGCAGCAGGACCAAAGAAGGATTCGACATGCGATTTGGCATCAACCACTTGGGCCATTATGCTCTAACTGCCCAATTACTGCCGCTTCTTATTCGCTCCAGCACACCGGAATTCAACTCAAGGGTTGTGGCCATCACTTCAAGTGCACATCGGTTCTCCTCGATCCGGTGGGATGATTTGAATTTGACCCAAACTGACGACGTCTGGACCGCATACGGACAGTCTAAAACCGCAAACTTGTGGATGGCAAATTACATTGACCGAAAGTACGGTCCACGAGGGGTCCATGCTAGCGCAGTCAACCCCGGGATGATCTGGACTGGCATTCTTGATGACTTAGACCCTATCACTAGCGAGCAATGGAAGAACGACAAGAGTTTGATGGATGTCATGCAGTCGCCTGCTCAAGGATCGGCAACAACTGTGTGGGCTGCAGTTTCTCCCACGTGGGAAGGAAAGGGCGGGAAATATCTCCTCGCATGCGGCGTTGGTGAATCTTTGAAAGATGAGAACTCCGTTGTGGACCCAGGGTATGCTGCTCACGCTTACGATGAGGAAGGGGAGAACCGATTGTGGGAGCTCAGCGGTCAGCTGACTGGGATTTTTGTCCAGGAGACTTAGTTAGGGAATGTCTACTTATTAGTTACCCTCATAGCCAACAATGGATGAAATTTTGAGCAAGCAACTAAGTATACCGAGGTAGAATTGAGAATTACTCGTTACAGAATAATTATATCCTCCTCAGGTCCAAACCCAACCGTATGCGGTCCCTTGTCACCAAGCTTTCGGCCATATCGAAAGCGTTTCTTCCTCATTGCCTTGGATAATTCATCCCCATCCATTTGTGCCGCCTTGGCAGGTAGCCCGTCAATATCAGATTCTCGGATAGCAGTAGAGACATAGCCTAGGACCTCCGGCCCATGCCCTGAGTGTACAAATCCCACTCCCACGATGCTTGCAAGCGTAAGAATTAGACAGGAGACCAGACAGACGACCATCCAAGGCCAGTTTATCAAGTAAACATAATAAACGTCTGTTCTGGTGGCATTGCCAACAGTCCAAGCCGAAAAGGGAGCGTCAACCTCGTATGATGGCACTTGCAAGGGGTCCATAAATTCGGAGATCTGGTGCACCAGATAGAACGTGTTGATGGCCTGACTTAAACGTGTACTGAGATCGGTTGCTGAAATTATTGTTAGATTTGCCATGTTGAAGATGTAGCTTAGAGTTCCTTTCCCAGACAGTAACACGGAGGGGACGAGCCGTGAAATGGCGCCGAATATCTGGGGATGAGAAAGAATCGACAGATTCTCAGGCGGGTGCGGTTTGAGAGACGGACGCTGAGCTACCGCGTGACAGTCTGGTTGGAGCTTCTGAGGAATAACTGAACAAGAGAGTCGAGTCTCCACATGCTTCTGTGATACGCGACACTCACTCCTGGCGAAGAAATAGAAATCTTCTTCGGGCTTCCGCTCCCATGCAAAGTCAAACTGAACGAGCATTTTGGTCAAGCCTGCCTCGATTGCGGTTTCATTTTGGAAAACATTGAGACTAGACTCCCTGAAGGCGAGCCAATCTGTGCCAATGAAACGGTTCAGGGCAATATTCCATCGGTGTGCGCGTTTGAACGTAATCTCTAAGTCCTGCTGATATCCGTACCAGCTTCCATTGGTAATCGCTCCAGTGTAGTTGCGAAGCATTCCTTCTGTGTAAGAAGCAATTTCCTCCAGAGCTGTTTGATTCAGCTTTGTCTCGTACAGGGAAGAATTTTCAGGCCGCAATTTCGTTTCAAAAGGCTCGCATTCCAAATCCACATATGTTGTTTCAATGGAGACCATGCTGTTCCCAGGGAGTAAATGAGAGATCTGGACACCAAATAATGCTGAGTATGACCTCGTCTGATTGTTAGCCATCTCATGCCAAGATTGGCTATCCTTTAGATTCAGAGCCGCCGGCTCTAAGAAGGGAATTTTAGTATGCCCCCAAGGATCAGTTGGTCCAGTCGCGATATTTACATCTAAGTTCAAGCTCCGAATGTATGAATCCCCCATCGAGCCTTTAAGTATCTCATTGGGATAGGCTTTCTGAGTGTTCAGATAGACAAAGGTTGTAGCGTCCGACGGCGTTTCTTGGTGGAGAATCCGTAGTAACGACTGACTGCCGAGAGGAGAAAATGACCATAGAGCAAGAATCATAACAGCTAGAGGGTTGAAAGCTGCTGTTTTGAGATGAATAGCAGCAGCCCCGCCTACTGTTTGGCTCCCAATGAGTTGCTCCAGAGTACCAAGTGAGCTCCCCATTTCGAGCTGCAGCCGTGCAGAATGGTAAAAAAGTCTTCCCATAATAAATGCATATACCATAGGGAAAATTGGGGCAGCCTATGGCATATCAGTATTCTGTATCTCTGTGCTTTCTTATTCAAACGAACCTACCGTGGTTAGGATGGCCTGAAATTGCCCATACCTGAAATCCATGGGACGGCCGTCGTATGATGCTACTAAACAGACAAATACGAAATGACCAAAGCCGAGAGAAAGTGCAAAAATATCTGTGATAATTATCATGACCCTTGACAAGGCGCTCGGCTGGTGATGAAATCTGGCTTCATCAGGAGTCTCGTGAGCGAAAGCCTCGTGGATTGACTCATCAACACTCGACTTGAGGAAGCTTACAGCACTCGTCGCTGTGATGCTCTCCTCGCAGATGGACTGGATGGGGGACACAGACCTATCGCTTTGACTCTCATATGCCATCTTGATGTATGGGCTTGTACGCTGCGACAACGATCGGAACACTGATTAATATTACAGGCAACACAAAACTTGCTCCAGATGAAGGAAATACTCGAGTGGAAATGTTATCATCGGACACTTTTTCAGCCGAAGGAAATCAGGAGGGACTTTGAAAAAGGATTCACAGGTGTCAGCCCTCCATTGGCTGACAAGTACCGTAGGATATTGTCCGACACTACCCTTTTGTGGCGGGCGCCGTAGATCATTTCTAAAACAATATGAGAACGCCTTATGCGGCGGGTCTTATTACTGCATTAGAACTGTTCTTGTAGCATTGAGGTGTCGCCTGCGTCTCTCCTGAAAGTTTTAGCCCCCACAACCTCGGGTACAGAGGATCGAATGCTACATGTACGGTCGAGGAGCCCCCTGATATGCCAATCCACGTCAGACGGGATAAACAAGAACGCAAATCCTTTCGTAAGCCATAAAATTGTTGAGATCGCTACCTTATTCGATAGATTCCTCGTGTCTTATAATCGTAGACCCTTGTGTGGGCCTCCGGAAACTTCGCAATCGTTTTTCTTCAGCCAGTCACGAGTGAATTTCAATCTAACGAAATTTACTCTGCTCACTAACTGACACTTTCCTGCATTAAAGAACATGAATGGATCTAGTGCATGCTGGTTTACCTTTTGAAACCAATGACAAGTAAATTATCAATATCTATACTATTAGATGGACGAATGTAGGGTTGTTTTAACAACTTAGAGGGTACTCTTGAATGTTTTACGTGACTGAAAACTCATATTGTCCTATATAGCACAAGATGCTTGTCAACAAGTGATGAGCTTCGTATCTCAGTGGGATACCAGTATAAAACGTCGTCGAACTCCAGCTCGATTGATCATTGGTGAAATATTAGATATGTCTCTTGGTAAACTGGACCCGGGACACAAAACTCCTTGAAGCACTGACATGGACATTGGGGGGTTGGATACCAGCAACGTCGTCAGAGCCCATTGCCTAATAAGGAATCATTCGTTCTAAATCTGTTCATGATAGCCTCTTCCCAAGTCAAGTGCCGTCTACGACTGTGGCGGGTCCAGAACAGCCCCAGTGACGTGGGTTGCTCTTTCTATTCGTTGGGATATGATGCTGGAGGGCCTAATACTTCAGCCCTAAAAGTCTTCCCCGCATCCGTGTTTTATTTTGGTTCCTCCTTGATCCATAAACGGCTGTCAAATATCTTGGCTACGCTTAATTAGATCAGTCTAGGCCAACGGAAAGTTGACACTAGCGATCTCGAGTGCCGGCAGCCGAGATAGCATGCGTGGCCGTTATAGATATACCAATGCTGCCTTTCATGCCGCCATTCACGCATTTGTGTGTTGTCATCGGAAATTTTACTCATCCATCTTCTTTCTCAACTATGAGTTACGGCCATAATCTGCCCATTCATCCGTCAGAGAATTTCCCTGAAGTAGTTCCCGAACTACCTCAAACCTCTACCGATCCAGGTCAATCATCATCACCGCATGGTTTCAGTAATAAAGAAGTATCCTCACAAGAAGGCGAAGGCAAAGAAGTGAACCCACTGGAAAGCAGCCGACCCAATGAAAAGATATGGTCGCCTCCTCCCCCGGTGCTTGAACAGGGAGCAGCCTCCCCTCCACCGAAGAAGTGGTGGAAGACGCGCAAGGGAATATTAATCCTCGTCGCCGTCGGTCTAGTCATCATAGCGATAGTCCTCGGAGTCTCTCTAGGAGTTGTACTTGGCGGAAAGAGTAGCTCGTAAGTTCCATTCAATCAGTAGGATTTCTTAAATCTAACGGTGCAATCTTCTCCCAAACAGAACAGGAAACTCCAGCCCGAGCAAGGCCACAGCAACAGCGACCACGACAGCAACGCCAAACAGCTCTGGTTCCGTTTGCCGGTTGACGGTATGCCCTTCCATGATCGCCGTGGTTCAAGACTCCTCTCCATCTGCGTCCGCAGAGTCAAAGCTCTTTTTCGGTCTCGGATCCGACAGCGCGGTATGGTATCGGCAGTGGGATGGCTCCAACTGGCGGAATCAGTGGACGAGTCTTGGTGGCCAATTCGCTAGCCATCCCGCTGCTGTTACATTCGAGAGCCAGCAAACCAATGTATGGGTCGTGGACAAGAGTTATGGTATCTCTTCGATAGCTTACAAAAACGGTTCGTGGGATTCCTCTTGGCTCGGTCTCGGGGGGTTCGCAACATCGCCACCAACAAGCTGTTCCCACGACTCAGGCGTGCTGGACGTCTTTGTGCGCGGTTCTACAATGGCTCTCCACCAGATGAACTGGAATACGACGTCATTCATGTACTCCGGATGGCAACCTTTGGGGCTTTACCTATCGAGCTCGCCCATGGTCTCCTGTTCGCCCGGCCGAATGGATGTTGCAGTCTACGGCGGCGGGGCCAACGCACCGCATGATCTCTGGGTTGAAAGATGGGACAATTCAACTTGGGAAAGCTGGAAAGGTGAGGCAGGGAGCTTCAAGGGTGACCCGTTTGTCGTATCCTCAAATTCTAACAGGAGTGATTATTTCGGCGTCAGCCCTGATGGCTCCATGTATCATCTGTTGTGGACGACCGCCGGTGGATTTGGGAATTGGGAACATATCGGTGGAGCTTTTGAATCAGTTCCAAGTGCACTGGTGGTCTCAGACTCCCGTATTGATGTAGTTGCGGTGGGAACGGACGACCGCTTGAAGCATAAGGCACTCATTGGCTCCACCTGGAGTGCGGACTGGGACGACCTCGGCGGCAGCTTTAATAGTGCCCCTGTGGTCGTTCTTGGTTCTTCAGGCAAAGTGAGTGTCTTTGGTTTGAATAGCAAAGGAGAGCTATTCCATGGAACTTAGACGGTCGTCAATAACAACGTGGCGTGGAGTGGAGATCCTGCATGGACGAGTGATGGCGGTACATTTTCCCTACAATGGTTCAGGCCGGGGACAATGAATTCGTAGCCAGCGAAAAGCCTGGGGAAGTTCAAGATAGCAACTGATATATGTTTAACCATCCTTCCTATCCATCAATTATTGTTCCCACTGAGATGTGATACATGATAGAGGATGCTACTATTTCACGGGGCGCAACAACTTCGAATAGTCGTTTCTCATCCAGCGGAAGCCAGCTGCTTCACCAAGGAGATATGAACCAACTCTTTAAAGAACGAAATTCCACCAAACCCATCCATGTATCATTCATTTCATAGACTCATTGTTATGTCTTAGTTTCAGCAGGCTGAAGGCCCCGAAATTTCTCCAAATTCACCCTACCTAGTTATAGTTACATTGTGACAATCAACACATATCACTTTCACTTGAGGCCCTGCCACTTTGCATAGCCTATTCTTCCATGATAAGCTCCATCTTCGCTCAAGTCTAATATTCGTCATAACTGCCGTGCCTCATGAAGTAATCCTTAACTTTTAGTCCAACGCCGAAGTTTGGTAGCCTGTGATGATTTCTTGACACGTAAGCGTCAATACAAGTTCCATGTTCCATCTATTGATTAGTCGCACCCGAAGCCCAATGAAATTCACCATGTATCAACTTCTGTTGAAGCATTAGCTTTCGAAGTAGTTCTTCTTGTGTGGCACAATATCTAGGTTGCGAGATCAATCTCCATTAAGCTCCATCCGTCTATCAGCGGGAATATGGCCCGGGACCTGTAAGCTATCTCTCATAGCAATATGCTGAGTGTCTCCACCGAGCTCTGCGGGAGTTGAAAACATTTTGGTGGGTTGTAGTCGTGGGGTCGCTGATTTCAAAGCGGATGATGATCTATCCAGCCCGGGAGAAGAATTTGGGAGCTCATGGTGTTTCTCCGTCTGTATCCTTTGATATTTCCAGAAAACAAGGAATGTGGCTATCACTAGAGCGATGACTCCCGCGACTGCGCCAATTGATATGCCAGCAATAGCTCCGACGGAGAGACTTTGATTGCTGGACTTTGGCTGAGAGGGAGTTTTGTTTTGGTAAATGTCTTGGACTCCGTCACCCCAAGTTACAGAATCCACTCCCCTATAAGGCCATTAGTTGGTTTCGAAATTCGTCCAGTATCTGCGCACCGGCGTACTCACCCATCGGCATACCACTTCTTTATAATCTCTGGAGTTGCATATGGTTCAGCACCAGCATCATAGGTCTCCTTCCATTCCATCTTCGTCATATCGAAGATTCCCAAGCCTTGAGGCAACGAGTCCTTGGTACTCATACCATCTGAGTCTGACGTATTTACACCACCGATGCTGAGAATCTGTCGGTTTCCAGCACGTACGCAGGCATGATGTGTTCTCGGGTTGATTCCTGCGCCATCTGCCCGGTGCCAAACGAATCCTGGGAGACTCAGCACCCACACATCACCAAAGGCCGAGCCCTTTCCTTCCTCGTTGCTGCGATCCTTGGCCCCGCCATACATGAAACTAGATAACCAAATATTTGAAGTCAGCCACTCTCGTTCTAGCCCCAATCTTCTTTCAAGTTTATCTTCTTGTCTTTGTTCCATTCCACTCACATTTCGTAGGTATTGTTATCTCCCTGTACGCCTACTACACAGTGATCCATACGCCGCGTGGGCAAAGAACTCGAGACAGCACCCGAGACTGTTTGACTATACCACACCATAGTCACCGGGTCCATAAGGTAGATGGTTCCGAAATTGATAGCAACAGGGGAGTTCGCACTATCCAAACCACCAATGAGAGCAATAACCCCATTAGGTCCGAACGTAGGAACAAAAGTGGCTGAAGCAGCCCATGGACTCTTGACTGCATCCGGTACATTGGTGTGGTTCGTCCATGTCTTCGCGGTGAAGTTATAGGAGACAAATCCAGGAACAGACGTTCCCACCGCCGCTGCGTTCGATGTACGTTCAGTCAGTTCATTTGTGCTGCCTCCAAACCAGAACCCCAAGCCATGCGCTACAGTATGAGCGCTAGACTCGGTACTGACCACCCCAGCAATACCCGTGGTGATTTCGGAACTCCATGTGCCATTCCCTTTGCCATCGGGCAAAAGTTTCCAGAGCTGGCGGTCCAATGGTTTGATATCTCTCCTACCTCCCCAGAGGTAGATTGCTTGCGTGTTTTCGTCGGCAACTAATCCGCTTCTATAAACGCCTTTCTTTCTCGTTTCACTAGCAAGTTTGAGAAATTTAGCGTCTTTCGGGTCCCAAGACTTAGATATATCGATAGCGAACGTGTCCTTGGTCGTCGTGCCTAGATGCCTCCATTAGCCAATGTCTAGCGCAACTTAGTATTGAGCAAGCGCGTACAGCACTTTGTATTTGCTGGCCCTGAAAGGTAGCCTCCGTCGAGGTATAGATACTTGCCTAGGGTGACGGCTGTGGGTAGGTTCGAAGCATTACAGTCAGCTAATCTAGGAGTGAGTAAGACAATGAGTTCGGTCTTACCTCGTAGACCATTTCGACGAAAGACCTCCTCCGAAGGTGAGGGATCTGAAAGAACGCTGCGTATTTTGAGGGCAGCTAGCAACAGTACCCGAAACTTCATTATGGCGCCTGGGGATACCTAGTTATATGAGCACTCTATGTCGCTGGCCTTAGTCTGTGTCTATCCGCAAAGTATCAATGTACAGTCTTAAGTATCATCACCTTCGGAGAATATTTATGGTTAACGTAGGGTGGCGTGGGAATTGTTCCTATTATTAAGTCGTGGGACAGGAACAGGATGCCTAACAGGCTGTAGGCTCCGGACGTGTGGTAGGACAAAAAGGCAAAGCTAGCCACCGCACTTACCAAGTCACCAATAATAGTCTGGCTATGCCTGAAACCTTCACAAACATGAAAATCGTATGATGCCAAGAGTAACACAAAATATAAAATGACAGCTGAGCTCTTACTTTGATAAGCAAGACGTGTTGGCCTCCTGGCCTATAGGAAGTGATATTCGATGGAAATGTGTGTGGCGCCTGCAAGAAGGAGGGGCCATTGTATCTGCCAAGAGGAAAATTGGCCAATATCAACTGTCATGACTTGCATGTCTTACCCATGGGCGTAATTCAGGGGCCCGTTGTCTCACTTGCGCACTCGTACAGTCATCGTGATGAAGCCCACAATATCAAATTCTAGAACGGGCTCTAGAACCCCGATAAACGACCAGTCTATTCGATGAGGCCCTCCAAGCATAACCTTGGTTTGGGGCTCAGCTGCTTTGCCAATAAAAAGAGCAATAGCACGGAGCTTTGACAGCTAGTAACTGTGAATCTGAGGTATCCTACATGTACGATCGATATGGAAACAGATTCAAGCGCATCTTTGAGTTATTAGGGCTTTACGCAATTCTATTTATGCCTTGACGGGGCACGTAGGGAGGTGAAAAGCCCAAGCGCGTACGCAAAGCACAAATCATCTCACCTGTCTCAGATATCAGCCAGTCTTACCTATATCCGGCCGTTAGCCCAATCTGTAGGCGAGGCGACAGCCATGTTCGTTTCAAAGACTCCGTGCTCCGCTTCATATTTACCCGGCGCGTATGGCTGTACTCTCCGCCACTTTCGATACACACTCCATGAGTGACTCTCATGGCAAGCAGCTAGTCTGGTGTGTGTGCCGTCGATCTCACGGATCGGGCTGACTGCGAGGCGTGCCTTACCCATAAACCCTGCATCGAGCCAGTCGGCTTTAAGGCGAACGCTTATCTGACAACCTTAGGTATATTAATAGCCCCTGAAAGTACGTAGTGAGTGGGTCCCCTTTCCGCCTTGCGAGGCGAACATATTCTGCAGGTGGATAGAGCTCGCGATACGCCATCACGGCCATGACTCTGGCGGACGTTCGTAGTAGGCTGCTTTCCTTCAGCGGGAGAGGTGAGACCAGCCGCCAGTCTTCTCCAACGACTAGTTCAATTTTGGCGTAGAGTACGTAGCTGGTGGTCAGCCAGCTTTTGCGAGGTTTGTTGGATGCAGAGTAATGCACTATCTCGGCGGAACGTGGTGGACTCGATTTGTCAAAAGTGAATCGCGTCCTGCTCGCCAGGCTCTCGCCGCGTGATTCGAGTCCCCCCTGAGATGCTCTCGAGTACTTGACGAAGTTTGATACCTTGACGTTACAGGAGCGGGATAAAGAAGGTGGCGTAATATTGAACGCTGTTGTGAATAGAACATGTCCCTCTATCTAGGTAAGATCCCCCAGCCTCCCTTTCTTGCGTATTTCTTTCAAACAGGCTTGAAAAGCGCTGTGACATGATACCGTATCGGGATGGTCTCGACCTAGTACCTTTATATAGAGCTCTAATGCCTGCCGATATATCTGATTCGCCTCGCTGTATCTTCCTTGTCTCATTATCACAAGGGCCAGGCTTTCCATACCGTCGAGTGTATAAGGATGCTCTCGGCCTAACGCCTTCTCACGAAGCTCTAATGCCTGCTGATGCATCTGCTCTGCCTCGCTGTACTTCCCTTGTCCACCCAGTACTTTGGCCAGGTTATTCATACTGATAAGCGTATCAGGATAGTCTTTCCCGAGCACCTTTATTCGCAAGTCTAATACCTGCTGATGCATCTGCTCTGCTACGCTATAGTTCCCTTGTCTAACCAATGTGTCAGCCAGGTTATTCATACTGATAAGCGTATCAGGATGGTCTTTCCCGAGCACCTTTGTTCGCAAGTCTAATGCCTGCTGATGCATCTGCTCTGCCACGCTATAGTTCCCTTGTCTAACCAGTGTAGCAGCCAGGTTATTTATACTGATAAGCGTATCAGGATGGTCTTTCCCGAGCACCTTTGTTCGCAAGTCTAATACCTGCTGATATATTATCTTTACCTCGCTATAGTTCCCTTGTCCAAACAGTACTTTAGCCAGGTTATTCATACTGCTAAGCGTATCAGGATGGTCTTTCCCGAGCACCTTTTGTCGAGACTCCAATACGTGCTGATGCATTTGCTTCGCTTCGCCATATTTCCTTCTCCTTTCTAGCACAATAGCCAGGTTATTCATAATGACGAGTACAAGGGGATGCTCTCGGCCTATTATCTCCTCATAACGCTGCAGTACCCGTCGATACACTTCTTCCGCTTTCTCGTACGTGGCGGTTATTTCGTATGTTGCTGCGACGCAACGTAAAAGGATCCCAGTCGCGTGCTCATCTGTTGACTCTTCGCACACCGCCGCAACTGTCAGTGTATGTGGCATATACCTCGTCCATATGCTTCGATTCTCATGCCAAGGAAACGGGTATATCTTGGACAAATGTTGAACGACACTAGTAATTGCTTCTATCCTTTCTTCTCTTCTTAGATGGTTGCGCATCGCCAAACGCACGAGACGATGGATATCAAAAGCAGCAGCATTCTCTCGCTTCGTGATAAATGCGTACGCTTTCAAGGCCGCGGTTGCTTTGTCCCTTTCTATTTCGTCTTCTTCAAACGGCAACAAAGACTCTGGAATGTCCTTTTCTGCTAAAAAACATATGGATCTCAAATATCGCGCCGCGAGTGGTTTATCTCGCGAAAGATGGGTGAAGGAGATCAGCCAAGTCGTGGCTACTGGGTTTCGAGTATGTTTATATCTGCTCCTATCTTCGAAATCTTTACTCAACATGGTGATCGTTCTTCCATCACTTGATTGGCAGTAACTGAGATATTTCGTAGTAGTGATATCGTGTTTCCACATATATGCAGATGCTTGTCGAATAGCCAGGGGTAAGTCGGCAAGGAAATCAAGGAGCTTGGATGTATCGGCGATATCTTTCCGCTGGCTTTCCTCTGTATACCTTTTCAGCATCTCGAGGGCTTCGTCTCGGCTCATTTCCCCGACTCTTTCCACATGCCCCGGTGCGATATCCAGGCTAGTTGCGACGATATGATTCCTTGTCGTAAACAGAATAGAGCCTTTTGGGCTCGAAGGAAGGAAGCCGACTAAGCCGGCTACTAACTCGATATCATCCAAATTGTCGAGAATCAAAAGCCATTCGCCAGAACTCTCGTTATTCAATGCCGATTTTACCAACATTTTAATATCTGCCTTCTTGTCTTGTAATCCTGGCACCTTAAGAGCGTCACCAATCTCTCGATACGCATTCTCGAAGGAGGTTATGCTTAGCACTGGGACCCAGAAGACGGAGCAGTCGGAATGAGTGTTGCGAACGCGGTAGGCGGCCTCCAAGGCGATCTGCGTCTTGCCTGTTCCTCCTAGGCCTTCAATGGCGGTTCGCTGGCAGTCGTTCGGTCTTGTACCGGGAGGAATTCTTTCGAGCAGCCAGTTGATCGTCTCCTCTCTGCCGACAAATCTCTCGTTCTGTCCAAATGGGACGAGAAAGTGGCGTTTGGATTTTTGGGAGATAATCTCGAGTAACTGAGCTACAAGATCATGGCTAGAGGCGTCTTCCTCTTTCAGAGGGCGAAGGTTCTTAGCAAAGTGTTCCAGTTTCGTAGCAGAGTTATAGCCTTCTTTTTTGAGAGCTCGAAGGATTGGAGGTAGATTGGTAGGTTTGAACCTCCATTCCTCGGCTCCCTGCGCAAGCTGGATGATATGAAGTACGTCATATTCGGGCCTGGCCTCGTTGCGATTCTCCTCCTCTCTCTCTTTCATATACTCTGCACCAACTTCCACCATAATCGCTGCTGCGTGTATCATATCCAGGACTATCTCGTCCTTCCTTGATAGCGGCCCATGGGCCTTTTTATAATACCAGTCATGTGCAAGGAGGTTGTACATCTGATCTCCACAAGTAGTGACTTGGATTTCGAAAATAACACCAGGACCACCAGCAAGATAGTTAGAATCTCCATACAGTGTGACATGATGATTATTTGATTCGTAGCTTCCAAATAGCGACTCCCAATGGACACCAGGCTGGCGATCGCGAGACCAATGCGTTGGCTGCTGGATTGCGTGAAAGCTTTGTGCGATAAACTGGTTCACTTTCTGCACATCACTTCGACGCTGTAGGATAACCATAGATCCGGCTAGATCATGTATCGTTTCGAGAATGTCTCCAAGGCCTATACAGGGACGCTGGCGGTGTTTTTCGCGACGATCGAGTGATTGCTGGACCGACTCGGCAGTTTTCGCTCGGCCAATAACCATGCAATTCAGATTTCGAGTTTGCAGCTCTTCCTTAAGGTAGCGTACAACTCCATCGACAAAATCTTCATATTTGGGTTTCAAACTTGGCCATGTTTCGGAGCAAAAATTGGTTTTGAGGCTCGAACTTCCGTTCGCAGGTAAATGGATCGATGCGTCGTGTATCGCCGCTTGCACCTCTCGATGCAGCGAATGCAAGGTAGTAAGCCGCGACGCCATAACTCTTCACCAAGCGCTGTCCTCAATACGAGACTCCGGCCTGTGTTGTCGAGATAGGTTCAGATGCGAGAAGTCGGCTGTGAAAGGACGAGACACGATGCAATTTTATCGTAAGGCCCGTTGGGTGCGTTGGGTAGCAAGGCAGTCCGCGAGGCACCGCGTAATACGTGCATACGAGGTGTGCCAACCCACACCCGCCTAATGCATGTAAGTGTATCCAAGCCAATCATGATCTGTACTGCTTATCACGTTAGCTAATCGAATCCTACGCACCGCCCGTTTATTGTCTTATTGCGGATGAGTACTACCCCTCGAGGATGTCCATCCCTATTCGGTCGAAAAGCTTGGCAGGTATTACTCGCCATTTGCTATTAAAGAGCCTCTATGCAAAGTCAAAAATCCAAAAGGGTTGTCATTTATATTATAACTCGTCGCGGGTTCCAAAAACACTTCGTCCAAGAGCGGGATCGACTACATCAAGTATTCCCAACTCTTCGTGGTCTGGTTGAAGCTTCAAGATATCATCGGTAGAGATCCTAATATAGCCTGCAGTAGATCTAACAGTACATATTCTGATTCTATCGCCGTAGCCTCAGTTTCGCCATCCCTGAATCTCATCCAGCGTCAGGACATATTCGTGGTTGAAAATCTACCAACTTGTCAGTCATCACCCCTACCAGATAGGCCAAAATCCACGCGACATCAATGATCCCACTCACAGTTTTAAGGATGTCAATAGGGTTATAGACAGGGTTGTTGATGAAGGTATCTCCCCAAACCGCAAACCAAAGCCAGTGAGCCTCATATGCAATCAGTTGATCCGGCAGCGGAGCACTACCAACTTCCGATGCTGCAATAAGCTTCTTGTCCTTGCCGAGCTCAATAAGCTGTCCGTATTGGGTCGACATGGGCTATTCGCGGTTAGATCTGATCACTCAAGGGGGACTGTAAACACTTGCCCCATTTCCAGTGCTATACACATCTGCACTGAGAATATCAACAATGGAGTCTCCTGGATACCAACTCTCGGCGATCGAGTTCCAAACCCAAATCAAATTATTAAGCTTGTGGTAGTTAGTCAGCCTATCGTAAAGCAACGCCCATAGCCTTTTAGATGGTTCCGGGCCTTGAGCTCCCCACCAAAACCAACCGCCTTCTGACTCGTGCAAGGGGCGGAAAAGGACTGGGATATGAGCTGACTGGAGCCTCTTGAGTTGGACGGCAATAGCATCAATATCGCGGAGAATGAGTGTATAGTTGGCATTTGTTGTGTCTGCAAGAGCGGTTGCGATGTTGAAATCAGTAGCACCTGCGAACATGTCAACCGAAGTAAACAAGAACGAACATGTGATACATACGTGTATAAAATCCGCTCCACCACGGGTTCTCCTCTGTGTCATACAGGCCTGTAGGCGCGTTCCAGTGCCACAGAATAGAGATTATACCACCGTTCTTGGCATGGCCGATAGCCTCCTCAATGGCAGTCCCAGTGGTGCCGTGCTCGACACGAGATGGGCTGTAGTCCATAAGATCAAGTGAGACAAGAGCTGGGAATTTCCCCGTCTGCTCTTGGATCCAGGTTGCCCAGTCGAGGCCCTGCTGGCCAGATAAGATTTTCTTTCCATAGATGGACCGTAGATAGTTGTACAGCTTCCTGGTATAAATATCTGCCCTCTGATTGATCAAGCGAGAATTGATGTTGTGTGGTGGACGGGATTCGGAGGGTGTTAGAGTTATGGAACCGATCAAATACCTAAATCATTAGTTCAATTTGCGTCTCAAAGACTAGGATAGCTCACCAGCCCCAATTGCTAACAATATCGATTGTGTTGGAACCTTGGTTTAGGAGTAGTTGACCACCGCTCGCAGAGGCCCACGTAGTCGTTTCCTCAAATTGAACCTCACTACTTGCACCCCCATTAAGAACAAGTGTTGTTCTCTTCGCACCATATATGCCAGCATATCGAATGCTGACATCGTACAAAGTCAAGGCATTACTGTTGACGGTAAAGGTGATCTTATCGGAGCTGTCATCAAAGCCGCCCACATAGCCAGTGCCTAGAGTAACGGGCTAGTTAATACAATTCAAGTCGTGGCAATACGGCATGTCGCCAAGCAGGTACCTGTATATCCTGTAAGCTCGGTGAGAATTTGCGTCCCAGTAAGAACCGCATCCTCGGCTTCAAGTGTTTGAGCGGCGGCAACGCTTGCTCTGTCTGATACCGGAGCCGCAAAGGTTGCAGCTGCAAGAGCTAAAAAGCTCAAGGAGGTGGCTTTCAGAGACAACATTGCGGATCTATTTTTCAGGGCTTTGCTCGATGTCGCCTAAAGAAAGGCCGACGGTATGTAGGATATTTATATACCTTTTACCATCAATTTGGTATTGACCTTGAAATCAACTACTTGAGTCCCAATCGAGCAATGATCCCCATTAAGGTCACGGGCGGTGATCATCCGGGGGGGATTGAAAATCGGCAATACGGAGCTCCTTACCGTCTACTAGCAGGGTTAAGTTCAGATTCTAGCAGCTCAGAGGCCTCATCGATGGGCAGGAGGGGTAATGCCGAATCATATCGAGACTGTCTGATGTATACCCACGTTTTCAGAAAAGACGAGTGATGGATTTAATCACGTCATTGGCAAAATCCAAATTGCCGGGTCGACAAACATCAGACTGTCATTGTGCCAAGAGACGACGGAAAAAATAAAGCCGTCTGGTGGAAATTATGCTATGCCAGGTTAGTTTTGAAACATATTATTGTAGGCGGTGTATTAAAAGAAGAGAGTGGGTGAGGAGTCCCAGATAGGCATATATCAATGAATAAATTGCGTAAGAGTTTATTTATTGGTCAGGCAGAAATGATGTGACGAGGAAGAATATCACCCTTCGAAAAAAGTCCATGATGACTCCTTCACCTAACACCATCTGTGTCACAAAGCCCCCCGATTTCTGTCATTTATGGAGGCTGAGATAAGAGGTGCGTGACTTTCATAGCCTTGAGCTCAACATCCGCCTCATTATTGATGATCAGCTAGGCTACCTCGTAGTGGCTAGTCATCCGGGCTGCTGCTAATAATCCCCTCGGATCTCTATTGCCGGCAGTAGACGATGCTCTCCTCTCGAAAATAAGACCTCAACATCTATTTAATACACCGATCTACCTTCAGGAGGCATTCACACGCCGAGTTTATACGATAGGATTCTTCCGGCTCTGTTGAAAGGTCCAATAATGAGGGTATTTGGGTGTCAGTTCGGGCTCATGCATCAACTTTACCAAGCTTAGCGCTACCCTCAGAAGCCGTCGGGTCCTATGCTAAAAGAAGCCGGGAATATATTTATTTCATTGATAGTATAGGCCAGGAGAGTAAAGTTTCGCTAACTTGTCTTATCCAGAGAGGCTGAGCCGATGGTTACCGGCTTCAGCTATTGATTGTCAGATCGGAGTAATCCATGCTTCTTAAGCCTTCGCCGGGCTCCTGCTTCTCAATTGAGCTCCTGAAAGGCTTTCCCAATTTACCATGTGTTATTGTTAACTGTTCCGATATATGACTCCGACAAGTTATTAAGGAGATAACGTGCATACCGGCCAGACAATTGATTCTCAGCAGTGAAAATGGCTTCTTCTCTGTTATCAGGTACTATTGGGGATGCAAGGGTCACCCTCTTAGACATAATATTGCATGTGTAGTGACTCGTGTGGTTGGTTGAGGCCGGTTGATGCCCAAACCCTGGTCAAGGGCCATCCCTAAAAGGTTTAAAAGGGAGAATATACTCCCCTTGCACACCTCCAACTCAAAATCCCAATATACGACAAAAAGAAGTTGGGAAAAGGAGAGCAATCAAGTTCATATCCTCCGGGTCTGTACTAGTCATTTAATAACTCGCAATCTAGCCCAGTTCGGGTAAGTTGGGAGTTCATACTATTCCGTGCTAGGTTTTAATCCCGAGCCGAGGCACAGCTTTCGCATCCTTATTTCTACTTCTCTGTCACCATCAAATCAACCACATAAAAATTTCTCAGCCAGGCGTTCTGTGCATCTCTCAACCAGCACCATGTCTCAAATCATACAAAATCTATTTCCCGAGACGAACATCTCAGTCGCATCTCTCCCAGCGACACTCCTTCTCTCCGCCTTGCCACATTGGTACAGTATCTACCTAGCACAGTCCAATAGGGTGGAGGGCGGTTGGAAAAACCAGAATCCACGAGCCTTCGTCGCGCGATTGAACGCCAAAGCTGGGAGTGGCAAGAAGCTGACTGACTTGGAGGAAACCATCCTGCGAGGACAGAGTGCACAACAGAACGGGTTCGAGTGGTGGCCAGTATGGGCAGCTGCAGTCGTAAGTTGCTTCTCCATTGCAATAAAGGCTCAGAGTCAAGAATGCTAATATTTTTCCAGGCTTTTGGGTATCTCAGCAACGTGTCGGTAGATGATATGAATCAATATACACTGATTCATCTATCTATGCGCATGCTGTACAACTATCTCTACGTCACGACAAAGACTCGCCGTGGGAGCTACTTGCGCACAATTGTGTTTCAAGTTAGTTTATATCCAGCGGTGGCTATTTTCATACATGCGGCCCGTGCGATGAGGTAGCGAGCATGCTATTGCGCAAATTATCTAGGCTCTTCAGTGTGGAATTAGGTAGGAAAGGTATAGGACTATGGAATTATGGCCAAATTTACAATCTTATGTAGCCTACTCTCTACTTTGGGTCTATCCTTTAGAATGCTTATTCCCTCTACTACTTCTACTCCCTTGAAGACAATTATAAGCCTTTTGAGAGCAATCTGTAAAACATCTTCCGAGTGAGCAAATACAAGCCTGAAACTCTCCGGCTTCTCGGCTCCAAGTCCAATGCCACCAGCTGGCGGTCCGACACGACCTTCGGCCATTATTCCAAATAGTGCTTCTTCAGCCTTCCATTTGTCCTCAAACTGGGGCAAGAACTCACTACAGTCACTTATTCATATTCATGACAATTCCAATGTTCA